GGGGGGGAGATTAATGTCAGTAAGATATACACATATAAATCGTTCGTGATTTTTATATGACACTCTCTAATTAATTTTCTATATAAGGATTATATACTTATCTCTACTACTCTAAAAGATAGGTTTGTCCATCCACCCCTATCATCTGTTCTATTCAAGGCATTCCCTCTCTCACCATGCATATAGGTCACATGGAAATCAATATGGGTGCAGCTAAAAATTGTCACACACTATGATCATATTCAATCTATGATCGTAGATTCGTAGTGTGTTATATCTATAATCCTGTTACAAATCACGACAGACACCTTAGTCTTAGTAATTTATTTAAATAATATAAACCATTACAAAATGACTACTTTTACTCGGTCATTCGGTGATTGATTAGTTAATCGACTATAGATACAAAGCAATCAGTTTGATTAACTTTTAACCGCAGTCATCAAAACACCGACACTATAATAGGAGGGTTTTTACTTGTAAGTTTTATTCAGGAGAAATGTGAGTGGCCGGAGGAGTTCAGCTTGGAAGCTAGCTTCTGTGTTCCAAGAACCATACAGAAGACGAAATATTCGCCGCGTACTTAAACTTTTCTTAAAATTTTCTTTTACCACCCAACTTTTTATTAATACTCCCTGTCGATTGATATATATTTATTTTATCTTTGATTTGACTGCACACGGATTATTACTAGTACTGCCATTAGTTCCCCTCCTAGAGCAAGCAACATTGTCCCTCATTTCGGTCCCACATTTTGGAGACCTTGCATGGTGATGGAAGATACACGTACATTTGCTCCTCCCTTTTTTTTAATAGAAAACGTTATTGATTTTTCAATAAGACGAATGATCAAACGTGTGACAAAGAGTCATCGACATTATCTATTAAAAAACAAATGTAGTATTTAATTACTACTAGAAACCAGGAAATTACATGCATTTTCGAATGAATTTGTTCATTTCTCATGAAAATCCTTCAAAATTCCTCCTTTCTAATTAAGCTTCTATATGAAATATTTAACATGATTTTTTTAGAAAGTGTACTGATTAATTGATCTATAACAAATAAAAGCCATTTTGTTTTACTCCAAAGCTCTTTGGTCTATGTCTTCAAAATTCCTCCTTTCTAATTAAGCTTCTATATGAAATATTTAACATGATTTTTTTAGAAAGTGTACTGATTAATTGATCTATAACAAATAAAAGCCATTTTGTTTTACTCCAAAGTTCTTTGGTCTATGTCTATATATCTCTACTAATATAAAAATTGAAGATGCTTTTGCCGGTATTTTGGTACATCATCTATATTAATTTGAGTCAGTTTTTAAGTTATTTCACTTTTGGAAATAGAGATCCGTGTATGAGTTGGATTTTAAGTTCGTTTGCTTTTAAAAATACAAAAGAAGTCGTATAAGAAATTTCTTTAAAAAACTTGTATGCTAACTTGAAAGGAAAGTCAGACTTCTAATTGAAGCTCATGATTTTCTAAAAAAAAATCCAAATGAATTCTCATGGTGAATTTCATCCTAGCTAAACCGTATAACAATAATAAGATTAAAATAGCATTCACCTGTTGTAACGCACATACATTTTTTCTAGTTAATATATAAATGACAAACTAAAATATATATGCACGCATGTACAATACTACTAATTGGAGTACCTTTGTAGCTGTGTTGATCGGTAGCATAAGCCAGACACACACATATATGCATCCCTACATATACGAGGCATACAGAAATTATAGAGGCTATACGAACTATAGTACTATCGACAATATAAATATATGAATGTAAATTGAGAAGGTGATAGCCTCTACTCTCTGCCTCAAAATAAATAAATAAAATATAGAATTAATGTGACGTATTCTAATACTATAAATTTAAACAGAAATACTAAGATATATCACATCCCCGTATTAGGTTAATTTATTTATTTTGAGAGGGAAGGAGTTTCTTAGCTGGTTAATTAATTACTAGTAGATATTACTATATCCCTAATCCATGGCCATTAATTTACATCATAGTAGTATTGATCATGACAATCGTCCTTAAAAAAAAATATTGACTGTTACCCTTACGTGCAGTACATTGACAAGTACATGCATATCATGTATTATAATTATTGGGTCATCAATCAATTATATCGATCGATCTCATTACTCTCTCTCTCTCTCTCTCTCTCTCTCTCTCTCTATAGATTTGTTTTTGTGAGGTCTCTATCTCAGAATCTGTTTCATCCCGTAAAATTATATACGCTAGTAAGTAGCCTGCATATATGATGCATTATTCCCAAATCATATACAGAGATGGTGGACTGATGCACATGGGTACGTGTAAACTAATTAAGCCTTCTAGCTAGGTCCTTAATCAATTACCATGGGGGAACTGATGACAAATGAAAGAGAAAATCTTATCAGATCAGGTCTTTTTAGTCAGGGAGGTGTGTGACCTCATGACTGGACACGGAGAGATCTTAGTCAGAAAAATTCACCAATGTGTAAACTCAGCCAGTCATTCTTTAGCTAATAAGGCTCGTTATGAAGCTGGCTTAAAAGTTTGGTTAGAGAATAACTGTGACGAGTTACTACATCTTGTAAGAGTTGATTTAAATCCTGAATAAAGATCTCCCCTTTTACCCGAAAAAAAAATATCAAGGTGCTAGCCATCTTAGATATATTAATTATATATTTTTATTTTTTTCTGTTTGCATCAATTGGTGTAGGTATGGAAGGCGCAAAAATTAATTACTCTACTGAATAAATGTCCAGATTTTTTTTCTTGGTAATCATCAGCTGGGTTGAAAGTTGAAATTAACAAACACTCTATAGCTAGCAACGAGACGATCTCTGAGGCTCCCTATTTCAATATTTGTTGGCTAGCTAGCTTGCTTTCATATACATAAATTTGTCTGCCAATGAAATGAAACTACAGTTCGATCAACTACTTGCTGTTGTACGTGCAAAAGATCGATATATATGTATCACACATCACGTCGGTCGATCGAGAGCGATGTGCATCTTGAAAATTGATTGATCCACCATAGCTAGATGGACGGAGCAATAATGGGTGACAATCATAAAGGAGAAAATTCCATCGATCTATAGCACAAACATCTTATCAGTACCAATATATAGAATTGAGATCTAGTGCAGTCCTAACTGTGACAGCAAGTTAGGAACTACACATCATCTCAGCCATCCATTTTTTCAATGAACGGTCTAGATCTGATGCTATAGTATTGCTGCTACAGTAGTTATACAGTTTTTTTAGACGTGAACAGTATTTTGTAGATTTTGGACCCTCAGATTTGCATCAAAAGGTCCTAGTGTGACTGCTTAGGTTACAGTCACACTAGGTACTGCACCGGATCCAAATCCCAATATATAAATACCATAAAATTCCCCCACCTTTCAAAAAATACGATATGTATCACACATCATGTTGATGATCTATTGATTGAGAGTGATATACATATTGAATTGAAGTGCGATGTAATGTCCATGTATCGCTCCTTGTCTTTCTAGCTGATAATAAAAATTCAGGTGGGAAAACTCTTTCCTTCGATGATATATTGTAATTGATTGATCGACGGTAGCTATGGACTCATGGATGGATCAATATAATGGGTCACGATAAAACGTGTGCCTCGCAACAACGGAAGTAGCATCGAATTGCTCCAACTTCCATAGCTTCCTCACAGACTCCATAGATATGATAGCACGTACTCCCTCTGTCCCATAAAAAACGAATCTAGAATCAGATGTAACATATTCTAGTACAATAAATCTGAGCATATGTATATCCAGATTCGTAGTACTAGGATGTATCACATCCGATACTAGATTGGTTTTTAAGGGACGGAGAGAGTACATCTGTGGAGTAGCAAGCTAGGATGACGTGACGGCACTCACTTGATATTACTTTTTCCTCCGTCTGCGACTTTAGGATCGGATTTATGTATTTCAAACCCTGTTTTAACATTGTCAATATATATTATATGTACTACCTTCATATTTTAATATATGACGTCGTTGATTTTTTTATTTAGACCATTCATCTTATTTAAAATTTTTGTGCAAATATAAAAATATTTAAATCATGCTTAAAGAACATTTGATGATAAATCAAGTCATAATAAAATAAATAATACTTACATAATTTTTTCAATAAGATGAATGGTTAAACGTATCTTATTAAAAAAGTTAATAATGTCATGCATTAGAAAATAGAGGGAGTAATTAATAAAGTTTACACAAACTATTGGAAACATATAAGGTTGATTGTTACTGGATTTATCATGACTGAAGTAACATATTTTCAGACTCTGTCGATTGATGTCGCAATTAAACTCTACTTGTATTTCTTTCGGTTCGAGTCTGAGAGAGTATGCACCTGATAATTAAACTAATGAATAAGTGCATGAAATTATGGAATTACTTGCCCCAGGTGGGGTTTTAAGTAGTATATTATAGTGACAACATGGTTGTTTAAAACATTATCCCAATGACAACAACCATGGAATGATTGAGATGAGAAATATGATTAATTTTAATTAGTTAGCACTACTGTACTAGCATAGCAAATTTGAAGGGAAAAAGTCCACTTAGACTCCCTTAATTGTTCACCGAATCTAATTCGTGAATCTTAACTAGAAAACCGGGTAAGACGACTCCCCGAATTAGTGAAACTAGTCCAATTTGACTCCTCCGGCGGTATTGGAGGTTGGTTTTGCTGACGTGGCGCTGATGTGGCGGTGCTAACCCGGATTTCATGCCACGTGACGCTTACGTGGCATTAGAGTTAAAACAAATATCTATGGGACCTATTTGTCATTCAACCAAAAATTATTGTGGGACCCACCGGCCCACAAAGCATCATTTCTCCATCCTTTCTTCCTCCTCCCTCTCTCTCCCTTCTCTCTTTTCTCTCCCCATTCTCTCTCTCCCTTCCAAATCGGCGGCGGCGGCGGCCGGGGGCCATGGCGGCGGCGAGGTTGGGGTCATCGACGGGGAGAGGCGAGGACGCGGTTGAGCATGAGCCCGGCGCCCTCGATGAGGGCGAGGAGCATCCCGCCCATGAGCGCGGAGCGGCCGGCGGTGTTGAGGCCCTGGCGCATGGAGAGGAAGCCGCTAGTGGCGGCGCCGGCGATGATGGAGTTCCACAGATCCTCCTTCTGGTGCATGAAGACCTTGGTGCAGTCGAAGGCGGAGAAGAGGTCGCCCCACACCGCGAAGCTGTCGCCCACCCGCCGCGTTCATCAGCACGGCCTGCGCGCCGCCAACGAGGCGCTCGCCGTTGGGGGAGTTGTAGGTGCCCTTGAGGAAGTGGAAGAGGGAGCCCCTAACTGTGCCCATCCCGAAAGGCCTGCCCACGTCGTCGGCTGCACGGGTCAGACCGGGCGCCGCATTAGAGGGGGCGGAGTGGGAGCAGCGGCGGGCCGGCTTGGAGACGGGATAGGCGGTGGCGCGGCCGTCACCGGCACGCCGCCGTCACCGCTCTAGCCCTCGCCCGCGCGCCGCCGTCGCCACTCTGGCCCCCGGCCGCCTCCACCGCCGATCTGGAAGGGAGAGAGAGAATGGAGAGAGAAAAGAGAGAAGGGAGAGAGAGGGAGGAGGAAGAAAGGATGAAGGATGACATGTGGGCCCCACGTGTCAGTGGGTCCCACAATAATTTTGTGTTGAATGACATATGAGTCCCATATATATTTTTTTTAACTCTAATACCACGTAAGCGCCACGTGGCATGAAAACCGGGTTAGCACCGCCACATCAGCGCCACGTCAGCAAAACCACCCTCCAATACCGCCGGAGGAGTCAAATTGCACTGGTTTCACTAATTCGGAGAGTCGTCTTACCCGGTTTTCTAGTTAAGGGTCACGAATTAGATTAGGTGAATAATTAAGGGAGTCTAAGTGGACTTTTTCCAATTTGAAGCGCTGATATCAAAGTTGCTCAAAGTGTACAAGCATGTTGCCAATGAATTATGGGCCGTGATTTTATATCTAACTGGGCTTTAATTTGGTGTTGGGCTTCAATTTAGCTTCAGAGGTTGGGCCACTTCCAGATTTTTAATAAGTAAACTGTACTTTAAAAAAAAAAACAAGCAATACCATGCCAGATGGCAGCATTTTTTTTTCCAGAAGGTACACTAATTTAATCTGCTGCTGCCTAACCTTTGAATTCAAATTAGAAGCAATTCCACTCAATTCCACCCCCATTCATTCAAAAGTGGCTTAAAGAGTTGGTTTGAATTGTGGCCTAAATAGGCCTTACCAAATTTTGTCAATGCTAAATTTTGACAAGTTTTGACATAACTAATTTTGGTAAGGAAAATCGTGTTTGGATTAAAGTTAAAATAGCCTAAGTTTATACTATTGAAATGACTTATTTTCTTAGGCATGTCACTAAACACTATTGAAATTACGAAATATTAGTAAATCTAATTTAGGCTTCAAACCAAACCAGCCCAAGCCGCAAAAGTGGACAATTTGCCATCTTCAATTCGGTATCTCTTCACTTCATCCATTTGCCCTTCCAACTTCCAACATCCAAGGCATATTCCACTTGGAGCTGGACCCACTGACAGTGGGCCCCACCTCGTCAGTGACCTACTCTCCATTAATTACGCTAACTCCTCACGTCGTCTCGCCCGCAAAATGCTTCTCTTCCTCCTCTTCCTCCTCGCCGCCGGCGAGGCCGCGGCGGCGGCGGCGGCCACCACGCTCACCGCGACGCCGGCGAAGCTCACCCAGTCCGACCGCGAGATCACGATCCGGTGGTCGGGCCTCCCGGACCCGGACGGCCTCGACTACGTCGGCATCTACTCGCCGCCGACCTCCTCCGACCGCGACTTCCTCGGCTACCTCTTCCTCAACGGCTCGGCCACCTGGCGCACGGGCACCGGCGAGCTCACCCTCCCGCGCCTCCCCAACCTGCGCGCGCCCTACCAGTTCCGCCTCTTCCGCTGGCCCGCGAGGGAGTACTCCTACCACCACATCGACCACGACGGGAACCCGCTCCCCCACGGCCGCCACCGCGTCGCCGCCTCCGGTGAGGTCGCCTTCGACTCCCCCTCCCGCCCCGACCAGGTGCACCTCTCGTTCGCCGACGGGGTCGACGAGATGCGGGTCATGTTCGTCTGCGGCGACGGCGGGAGGAGGGTGGTGAGGTACGGGCCGGCGAAGGAGGAGGGGGAGGGCTGGAAGGAGGTGGCCGCGGAGGTGAGGACGTACGAGCAGAAGCACATGTGCGACTCGCCGGCGAACTCCTCCGTCGGGTGGAGGGATCCAGGGTTCGTCTTCGATGGACTCATGAAGGGATTGGAGCCCGGGAGGAGGTACTTCTACAAGGTCAATCACTTGCCTCTGCTTTGAATTGATTGTTAATTACTACACTATAAAGATGAATTTCTTTGTAGCGACTTCACTTCTGCTAATTATATGTGTTCAGCCTGCAATTGCAATTTGGGATTTAGGGTAGTATTGTAGGCACATGAAAATTTAGGATTCGAGTCTTGAGAGTGATCTAAAGCTCCTTTTTTATTTCGGATCCAGGGATTGAATTTTGTTGATTTAGCGAGTATGACTTATAGTACGTTTTGACCTACGAATTCAGTTTGAGGTGAAGATGGCTGAATCATCAAACTTTTAGAGATACTAACTTGAGCATGAGCACCCGCTTTGGAAATTATGTTTGATTATCCCCTTTTTAGAACTGAAGTTGGTTATAGTACTACACTAAAGATGAATTTTTATGTAGCGATTTAACTTCTGCTTTATATGTGTTCAGCCTACAATTGCAATTTGGGATTTAGGGTAGTACTGTAGGCACATGAAAATTTAGTGCTCGAGCCCAAGAGTGAGCTGGAGCTGTGTTTTTTGGGCTCCAGGGATTGAATTTTGTTGATTTAGTGATCGTGACTTGTAGTAAGTTTTGGCCTATAAATTCAGTTTGAGGTGAAGATGGCTGATGCATCAAACTTTTAGAGGTAATTACTGGAGCATGAGCACCCACCTCGGAAACTATCTTTGATTATTCCCTTTTTAGAACTGAAGTTGGTTGAAGTTTTTGTCTCAACATTTCATGGGTTATTACATGACTCGATTGGCAATACTTTCTTTAAGGAGGAGTTTAGAGATCAGTTATGTCATCTGAAAATCATGATTTTCTTTTTTCTGACTAGCTACTAAGCTTCTACCAATCAAACATGCTTCAGTTCTTTCCTGCAGTTAGAATACAACTGTATGTGAATTGAGGTTTAGGATTTCAGTTACAAGGGATTTCACTCAAATTTGTTGTTGCTCTATCTTAAGCTTTGGTTGTTATGTGACTTCCTTCTTAACTGTTTGCTTCATTTGAGTGACATATGCATTGCTTAGTTGCTCTTATGGATCATGATTGGATTTTTACGGATGCTCCATTTAAGCACTGTAGTTCATACTATTTTTGAATGTTGGGTGAGTTCTTAAAAGACCTGATGAGATACCTTTTAGGCAGAATTTCAAACGCCAGTTTTTGTTTTTGTTGGTTGGTACTCATTATTTTCAAAATTCTGGTTTTCTAGTACTTCTCTAAAATCAGTTTTGGTTGTAAGTACCTTTGTTATCTATTTGCCTTTTTGTTCTATTATTATTATGTATGGAAAGCATGTATGCTATACTTTTGATGAATGATGATTAATAAGATAGCTGTGGTTATGCGACTTACTTCTTCACTGTTTGCTTCATTGAGTGGCATGTGTATTGTTTAATTGCTCTATGAATTATAATTGGATTTTTACTGGTGCTCCATTTGAGCACTGTAGGTTATAATATTTCTTAAAGTTTGGTGATTCCTTAAAAGACCTGATGAGTATACCTTTTGGACAGAAATTCAAACGCCATTTTTCTTTTGTTGGTTGGTACGCATTATTTTCAAAATTCAGGTTTTCTAGTACTTTTTAAAATCAGTTTTTTTAAGTGCCTATGTTATCTATTTACCTCTTTGTTCTATTATTATTGTGTATATGGAAAGCATACATGCTATACTATTGATGAATGATGATTAATAATATTTGAATTTTTATTTGCTTCTTTTTGCTGACACAAATGAATTGTCATTTTCTTTTTCTTTTTTTTTTTGGGGGGGGGAGGGAATTAGATAAAAAATTTCTCTTATTTCAGAGTTTCAGCTTTGACTTCAGAATTTTCTCCCCAAATTAGCTTAATTTAGACTTACCAAATTAAACAAGACCGAGCCATGTTGTGTTTTTAACTGCCATCAGTTTCATGTTTAATCCCCTCTAAAAGATGTACAAGCTTTTGGACAATGGCTTCTAGAGCAAGTAGGCCCAGTAAAATATGCTAGGGTGCTATTGATGCTAGGCCCAGTAAAATAATAGTGAGTAACTGAGTAGTGACACTTGAGCATGTTTTGTATATGCCTTTTGTTGTTCAATTTGATTGACTGGGCTTTTCTGCATAGGTTGGTAGCAACTCTTCAGGATGGAGCGATACGTACAGCTTCATTTCACGTGACAACGAAGCCAATGAAACTATTGCATTTCTCTTTGGTGACATGGGCACTTATATACCATATAACACCTATGTCCGCACGCAAGATGAAAGCTTGTCGACTGTAAAGTGGATACTTCGTGATATTCAAGCCCTTGGAGATAAGCCTGCATTTATTTCACACATTGGGGACATCAGCTATGCTAGAGGTTATGCTTGGGTATGGGATCACTTCTTCAACCAGATTGAGCCTATTGCTGCCAATACCCCATACCATGTCTGCATAGGAAATCATGAATATGATTGGCCATTGCAACCTTGGAAACCTTGGTGGGCAACTGGTATATATGGAACAGATGGTGGAGGTGAATGTGGCATACCTTACAGCGTAAAGTTCAGAATGCCTGGCAATTCTTTTGTGCCTACTGGCAATGGAGCTCCCGACACCCGAAATCTTTACTACTCCTTCGATTCAGGGGTTGTGCATTTTGTTTACATGTCAACTGAGACTAATTTTGTTCAGGGCAGTGACCAATACAACTTCATAAAAGCTGACCTAGAGAAGGTCAACCGAAGTAGAACTCCTTTCATTGTGTTTCAGGGCCACCGGCCAATGTATACATCAAGCAATGAAGCTAGGGATTTTGCTCATAGACAGCAGATGCTCCAGAACCTGGAACCACTCTTGGTAACATACAAAGTGACCCTTGCACTCTGGGGACATGTCCACAGGTACGAGAGGTTCTGCCCCATGAAAAACTTCCAATGTGTCAACATGTCATCAAGCTTCGTATACCCTGGTGCCCCTGTTCATCTTGTGATCGGGATGGGTGGTCAAGATTATCAACCATTCTGGCAGCCAAGGAAGGATCACCCTGATGTACCTGTCTATCCGCAGCCTGAGAGGTCTATGTACCGTGGTGGGGAGTTTGGATACACAAAACTTGTAGCTACAAAGGAGAAGTTGACACTAACGTACATCGGCAACCATGATGGGCAAGTCCATGATATGGTGGAGATATTCTCTGGGCAAGTATCTAATAACAATGGTGTTCCTGAGGTGATCGATGATACAAAGCTCAGCACAGGGGTCAGCACCAAACTGAAAATCCCTCTGTTCTCCTTGGAAATTGTAGGCAGCGTGATGTTTGCACTGGTTCTGGGTTTCTCTCTTGGATTTCTGATCAGAAGGAAGAAAGAAGCTGCACAGTGGACCCCAGTGAAGAACGAGGAGACCTAAAATCACACACTGTATCTAATGCAAATGCAAATGGTTTTTGATCAACAACCTGTTTATAGGATCGTGCCCCATTTCTTGGGGCTCTACAGTGTTGTACTATAGTGCATAGAGTATTGTAACATGTGCTGTGTCAATCGTGGGCATTGTAGAGTTTGATCAGCATATCTGTTGCCGTGATTCTACGATACATAAAGGTTTCAATAAGTGACATTACGTTCACATCAATTGGTTGGTATGAGTGGTTAACCTGTTCCATAACGTAATGCACGATTCATTGTTTCATCTGTGTTTTTCTGTTTGGGACTGAATCGAGTAACAGAGAAAATGTATCATGCAGCAATTTACAAAATCAGTTTAACTGTATAAGCATTTTTACACCCTGTTATTTAACGCCCCCATTGTTTGGTTTATTTATGGAATAAGCGAAACGACATATTTGTAAACGAGAAATAATTTGTGAATATAACTTTTATATACATGTTCTTAGCAACCTACTCTCTCGGCTTCACAATGTAAGTCATTCTAATATTTCCCATATTCATGAATATATATATATATATATTCATTAATATTAATATGAACGTGGAAAATGCTAAAATGACTTACATTGTGAAACGGAAGAAGTAAAAGCAAAGGCTGGAAAATAAATTTCGATGAAAAAAAATCTTAAAATCAGCTACAAATTTAATGTTAAAAATTCAAATTTTGGCTGATAAGCATAAACGGAAATATGTGTACGTCACGATGTAAAGGTATCATCTTTATTCTGAATGATGATGATTCATGATGTAAAGGTATCATCTTTATTCTGAATAAAAAATGATGAATAGATTTGACACCGATTCAGGTAGGCCAAGAGGTATCCCCGGATTGGATTGTGATCAAATGCAGTAGCTACTAGGACTGCACGGTAACTACTGCACACAATCTGAGCCCTCTATATCAAAATCTAACGGACAAAACGGATTTGGCACAGTAAAATCAGAACAGTACCTTTCCACATTAAATCACTACAGTGTTTTGCTACAGTGCTCGGATATATCTGGGACGTCCATTTTAGATCATGCGATGCTAGTTTGACTGCTTATTTTGCAGTCCCACTGGCTACTGCACCTGAATCGGATCCCCCCGGATTGGGATCCTCTGACTTTACTCAGAGAGCTATAGTACCGTGACTTTGGGAGTATTTCTAGCCGTCCGATCCACAGCGAACGGACAAGATCGATCGCTAGTTCGCTACAGCGAATCGGTGAATAGTAATTCTGAACAGTATTTTGCACTGTTTGCTACAGTAAAACTACAAATCACTATTCCGCACTGTAGCGACAGGCTCATTTTACTGTGCATGTCTGCCGTTCGCTTCAAAAGTCAGAGGAGCCGCTTCCCCCATTTGCACACTGTGAGGACCATGTCTGCACTATACGAGCAGGTACAACAGAACAACAGACTATAAGCCAACTATGAGTATATTTTAAAGAGGTAAAAGAAGAGAAAGAAAAGCATCAGGCTACAGATATATCTGTAGCTAGCTACAGTATGGACTCCAAAACATAATGTATGTATAGCAGATGAGACTAAATATTAATAGTATAGTAAGAGCTAGTAGTGGGCTATACTATTAAACTTGCTCTACTACCATCCATTTATAAAAAAAAATATCTATATGTTCAGATGAGCACGCCATTGAATTTGGAGTTGGAGAGACTGTCCATGTTGAATCCAATCATGTCGTCGGATCGGAGCTCCAAGAAGGTGTGTGTCGTCGGCGCCGGGATGGCGGGGCTGGCGGCCGCGCGCGAGCTGCGGCGGGAAGGCCTCGACGTGACGGTGCTCGAGCAGCTCGCCGGCGTCGGCGGGCAGTGGCTGTACGACGCGGCGACCGACGCCGGCGACCCGCTCGGCATGGCCGGCGTGCACAGCAGCGTGTTCGCCTCGCTCCGTATCAACGGCCCGAGGGAGTCCATCGGCTTCTCCGACTTCCCGTTCCGCCCCACCAACGACGCCGGCGGCGACGCGCGGCGGTACCCCGTCCACGGCGAGCTCCTCAGGTACATCAGGGACTTCTGCGACGCGTTCGGCCTCATGGACGCCGTCAGGCTCAACACCACGGTCACGCGAGTCGCCATGGCACCGCCGCGGCGCGACGGGTCGCTGCGGTGGGCGGTGAGGAGCAAGCGCCACGGCGAGGCGGAGACAGAGGAGGTGTTCGACGCCGTCGTGGTGGCCATCGGGCACTACTCGCAGCCAAGGCTCCCGACCATCGACGGGATGGATAGGTGGAGGAGGAAACAGCTCCATTCCCACTCGTACCGCGTCCCGGACTCCTTCGCCGGCGAGGTCGTCGTCATCGTTGGGTGCAGCGTGAGCGGCGCAGAGCTCGCCCTTGAGCTCCGCCGCGTCGCCAAGGAGGTCCACCTCAGCACCAAGTCGACGGAGGAGACCATCACGTCGGCGATGTCCAAAAGTGTCGCCAGGTACGAAAACCTCCACCTGCGACCACAGGTCGAACACCTGCGCGAGGACGGGACTGTGGTGTTCGACGACGGCTCGTTCGTCGTCGCCGACGCTGTCATCTACTGCACCGGGTACAACTACTCGTTCCCGTTCCTGGACACGAACGGGAAGGTCACCGTCGACGACAACCGCGTCGGGCCGCTGTACGAGCACGTGTTCCCGCCGGAGCTGGCGCCGTCGCTGTCGTTCGTGGGCATCCCGGGCAAGGTGGTCCTGCCGGTGTTCATCGAGGTGCAGGCGAGGTGGGTGGCGCAGGTGCTGTCCGGGCGGAGGACGCTGCCGTCGCCGGAGGAGATGCAGCGCGCCGTCGAGGAGCACACCCGCGGCATGGAGGCCGCCGGGTTGCCGAAGCGGTGGACGCATGACATGTTCTTGAACCTGGAACGCTGCGACGACTACGGCGAGCGCATCTGCGGCTTCCCGCGGATGGAACAGTGGAAGAAGGAGATCTTTGTGTCATCCCTCTCCGACATGGTCGACGACATCGAGAACTTCCGCGACGGCTACCACGACAGCGACCTCGTCCGCGACGCCCTGCGCCGGCACGGTTGGACTCCCGCCGAGGAGGACGACGACGCCCACAAATAAAAGCACTTGGATTGGACTCCAATAAATTCAGGTTAAGATGAAGCAAACCAAATAAATACACGACAATTCAACAAAAAAAATGCTGGCCTGTCTGTCTCAAGAGGATTTTTCATTGTACTAAAAACTGAACCTTTTTATTTTCGGAATTGCTATAAATATGCCGCCATCTTTCTTCTCGGATTACATTCGATTTTCTCACCATACAATTAGTTTAGAGATATGTGCGTGTCCGAAGACTGATAATGCCATCGTTAAGTGCTGATACTGTACGTTTATGTGCATCCCAGTCTCTAGTTATCGCTGGCCATTACTGTTGTAGCAGGGGGTGAACACCATCCCCTATACTCGGCCAAAAACTCGCATGATGAGGAAAGTGTTTTTGAGCTTTGCTCAAATCAAATTCTAATATGTAGCCGTTTCTGACCAAGAATTTGCATTCGCCCAATAGGGCCTGTTCCAAGGAAAATGTGTTCGAACAAGATTACTTGCTCGAATTGGCATCACTAAAGGCATTGTGTTTGAGCAGGTTCTTTGGCTAAGACAAGTGAAGTGACGAGGAGCTAAAAGATGGGAGAGTATTCAAGTCCAGGCACAAGTGTTCGACTCGAGCAATCGAAGTTGAGGAAAAGTACCATCCAGCAAAGCATATATTTTAGAAAAGTGTTATGGGAACCACGTCAACTGCTCTCACCAGTTAGCATCAAATGTTACTTGGGGACCACTAAAATGTTTTAATATGCCCCTAAGGTCATAAACTTTATAAGGGTAATATGATAACTTCATGTAAGCCTGCAATAGCAAACTAGTGAATCTTGGGTACATGATAACTTCCTACGGTCATATTGACTTTGTACCATCTGTAAAGTTCCTTTCTGTTAGATGAAATGTGTTGTTGTATAGGACTTTAATTACAAACGCGCGTGCGTTGCAAACGGTGATTACTATGTACAATTAAAATGTGATTACTATGTACAATTAAAATTATATAACTCCACTGGTGGAGAAACCATCTTTGGTCGGTCCGGCAAAATCCATAATAGTCCCGGATCCAAAAAGAACCGGAACTAAAGATTGTTTTTAGTCCCGGTTATAAAAATTTTGATCTTTAGTCCCAGTTCATCCCCTGTCAAATGTGTGTCAGGAGGCCGAGGATCTTTAGTCCCGGTTGGTGTAAATAACCGGGACTAAAGATCACCACTTTAGTCACGGCTGGTACTACCAACCGGGACTAAAGATCAAGATGATGTTTAGTCTCGGTTGGGAGTACCAACCGGGACTAAAATTAAACACGTAGTATATAATTCCTATCCCTTATCCTCTCCTCCACAGTTACAACGTAGACAGATCGAATCTCACCCCCTCTCCTCAGATCTATCCTCTCTAACTCTCTTCTCCAACTCCTCCCCTCATCCTCTCCTCCCCCTTCCTCCTCCCATTCCCAGCCGGCCTCCCCTTCCCATCCGGCGGGCCGGCCGGCGGCGGGGCCGCGCGCGGCGGGGCGGCGCCCGACGGGGTCGTGCCCGGCGGAGGGCGGCGGGGTGAAGGCCGGCGGAGCCGCGCCCGGCGGCGGGCGGCGGGGCTTCGGGTGGCGGCGGGCGGCGGGGCTTCGGGCGGCGGCGGGCGGCGGGGCTGCGGCCGGCGGCGGGCGGCTGGGCCGCGCCCATCGTTCATGGCGACCGGCGGCGGCATTCTTTTTTTTTAATTTGTGATGATTCACTGAGATGTATTTGACTGAGAAGTTACAAATTTGTGATTCATTGTTTGGATCTGTGATGTATTTGAGTAATTTCTTAGGATATTGTGATGTATTTGATTTGTGAGTATAAATAACTTTATGATTTGTGATGTGGATTTGGTGATGTGAATTTGGGATGTTAGTTAGATTTGGGGATTGATTTGGGGATTTGCCTACTTGATTCGGGAGAAAATGAAAAGGAAAAAAGAAAAAGAAAAAGGGACCATTTGCACTGCCGCTATTGTCTCTTTAGTCCCGGTTGGTAACATCAACCGGGACTAAAGATCCCCTCTCTTTAGTCCCGGTTGGTGGTACCAACGGGGACTAAAATACATCTTTAGTCCCGGTTATTTCAACCGGTCCATCTTTAGTCCCGGATTCTTACTCCCGGTTGGAGAACCGGGATTAAAGGGGTTCCCAACCGAGAGTAAAGATGGTTTCTCCACCAATGCTCATTGCAACGCATGGACATATCGACCCTAAAAATAGGAAATAAAAAAATTCTATTTTTCTTCCGTCCTCCGACTCCAGTGCAAGCCATGAGCTTTCCGATGGGAAGTGCGCAGCCAGTTTCATCATCCGCCACGCCTAGCTCTAACTCGATCTGTTTTTTCTAAGTACATAGGGAATATAAATAGAGGCTATATACCCTAGATTTTTTTCTAAATCCTGCACTCCTCCCGCACCTCTCAGCTCTCTCCCGCACTTCTCCCCTCCCCTCACCTAGCTCTCCTCCTCTCCCCGGTGCTGACAGCGGCGGAGGGCGTGCGGCGGCTACCGGTGGAGGAGGCGGCGGCGGCTACCGGGGGCCACCGGCGCTCCCCTTCCTCGCTCCTTCCCAGATCTGGCCTGAGGGGGGCGGGGGTAGGACGGTGGCCACACGTGTGGCGGTGGCGGCGGCGGCGGCGGGAGGTTGCCAGCGGAGGGCCGCGACTACCGACGGGAGGCGGAGGTTGGCGGCGGGTGGTGGCGGAGGAGGGCGGCGGCCGCTCCCGGACCCTCCCTCCCTCCCAGATCTGGCCCGAGGGGGGCGTGGGGAGGGCAGTGGCCGGCGGCGCTCCCCTCCCTCGCTCCCTCCCAGATCTGGCCTAAGGGGGGTGGGGGGAGGGCGGTGGCCACGTGTGCGGCAGCGGCAGCGGCGGGAGGTTGGCGGTGGCAGGAGGAAGGGGGCCGTGCGCGGCGGCGTCAGAGGAGGTGGAACCAATGGCCTGGTCGGCATCTCGGCATGCGCAAGGAGGAGGAAGCGGCGGTTCTGGGCACCAATCCTCTCCCTTCCTTCGCCCCAGACGTCGGTGCCGGCGGCGCAAACAGCACCGGCCGCTCCCTTCCCAGATCTGGACGGAAGAGGGGAGCCGGCTAGCAGCTACGGCAAAGGCGGCGCTCCCCTCGCCCTCGGACAGCAGCGCCGGACGGAGGTGGAGAGCCGTCGGCCGGAGGGGGATGCCGACGCCGGCGGGTAGCACCGGATTTTTCTTCTGTTTCCTCGCTTTATTTTCGCAGTCAGGCCGCGGACCCGTTTGGATTTTCGCAGGCGTTAGGATAGCGGCGGATGTCTCCCTCACCTACAAAAACTGTTTTTGGCCGCTGTAAAAACTATTTTTCTAAGTAGTGTACCCATCTCACTGGAAGCACGAGAGTCGAGTCCGACTCCAACAAAAACTAGATCGGATCTCCTTGCGTCGGGCACGCGAGCAGGAGCACGGATGCCACGCTAGCTCCGACGCCGGCCAGGAGTGGTGCTGGGGAGGATTTTTTTTTATTTTTTTTAAATTTTTAATTTTTAAAAATAAACCATTTAAAAACTTATTTTTCAAGATCTAAACCTTTTGGCCACGCCAGCCGGACTGACATAGCAAAACAACATTATCACGTCGGTCTGGTTGACGTGACAATGCTATTTAGCCTCATGGGTTTGGCTGGCGTGGCACCGTTATTTGATCTCATCATTCTCGTTGCGTGGCAGGATAAAATTATCACGCCCGTTGTGTGACCAAAAGGTTCAGATTCTAAAAATAAGTTTTAGAATGATTTATTTTTAAGATGTAAAATAAAAAAAGTTCAAAAATCGCTGGGGAGGCAGGCTAATGAGGTGATGAGGGCGGCCAGGTTGATGAACCCGATGAGCCGGACGTACTGGGTGCTATGGCAGTAACACGATGGCTCATCCTCCGGGCAGAGAGAGAGAGAGAGAGAGAGAGATCAGAGAGAGTCCAAGGGGATTGATCGGTCATCCTCTCCTCCGTTCTGCAGCTAGCGTGAGTAGACGACCAGACAAATTAAGTTACGATTGTGAATTAATTTGTGATTAACGAGAAGCATCGATCGTTCCCAATTGATCCAACGCGTTCAAGATATATTAATTGCCGCCGTGACCTAGGCCCTTTTTGAAAGATTAGCACAGGGCTAATATTGAGAGCTAATGTTTAGTCATAAATTGGTAGGATAAACATTATTCTAGGGTGGTATGTTTGGATCCATGGGCTAATTCAAGACTAAAAGGTAGAGAGAGAGAGCTGCTTTTTGATAGTCCCCACACAAAACTAGCCCCATTAGCACCCTTTGGAGGAGCTAATGTTTTGAGGAGGGCTAATTCACTTTAGCCTCAAATTAGCCCACCTGTTTGAATCCTTAAGAGCTAATTCAGAGCTAAAAGGTGAGGACTAGTAATTAGCCCATAGAACCAAACAAGATCCTAGCAACCTATCCACCTCGCCGCCGGCTGCCGTGAATACGATCGAGGTGAGAGCAGCAGCCAATTGATCAGCACACCACGTTGTCTACTTGCCTTTGGCTAATTTGCCTGATTGGATTCGTCAGGTTAGCGTAGAGCCTTGGAGGCTACGATGAATATCACTGAATCGATCATGCAACCACCAGCGCCTAGCGCGTATTGCCGAAAGATTTATATTAGTTTCAATTATTATTAATATGATACTGTTGTACTTTTATAACCAATTCATAATTTATATGAAGTTAACCATTAACGTGTTAATCTTTTCATTTATCAGTTCATCCCAGATACCATGTCATCAAGTGATATGTACAAGGGTATACGATGAAACAACAAATAATATATATTAATTATTACTTTGATATTAATGTCTCTGTCCTAAAATATAGTTATTTCTACCACAGTGCCTTGTTCTAAAATAAAGCTATTTTTTCACCTACCTCTTCTCAACCAATCACAACCATTCTTCTTGACATGCTTTCTCTTTTCACTCAATCACACACTTCCTCTAATTTTCTCACATATTTTCTTAATATCCGTGTCAACTTTAAAAATAGCTATATTTTAGAACGGAGGGAGTATTAAGTGTTTCCACTTTTAGTTTTGTCCTGGCCACTCAAATCTCTGGATTGAGACTGAACGGGGCTACACACGTGAGAAAGGAGGACGAGTAGAGAGGTCGCTGCTACTAGACAGGGAGGCGAGCTCGTCGTGGTACGGTGACAGGGTCATCGCGGCCCACGAAGATGGTGATGGCACCAGCAAGTTAGCTTGGGCTGATGAATTTTTATTTTATTTTTTTTGAACTTTTTTAAATTTTTATTTTAAAAATAAACTCTTCTAAAACTTATTTTTAAAATTTAAACCTTGTAGCCAAGTCAGCCCATCTGGCGAGGAAAAATTACTATCACGCTACTTGCTGCGGGTGTGATAATTTAATCCTACCACGGCAACCAGGATGGTGTGGTAGTATTATTTTGTCACATCAGTTCAAGTTTCATATCTTAAGTATTGAAAAGGTTTATTTCAAAAATAAAAAAAATATGGGTGACTAGCAGACGGTCGAGTGTGGCCATGAAAAAGGAGGTGAGGACGACTTGACGGGTTCCTTTTTCCTTAGATGCATTTTATAAGAACCTTTCCGTGCAACATCGTTCGACCATGTCAGCCATCATGACTACTACATCGGCGCGAGGCATACATCAAACACTAATACCAAAACGATTTTTGTTTGCAGTTGAAAGGGATTTTCGCGTGCGGATCTCACGCCCGTCTACAACAGGGTGCCTGTGAAAATATGAAACTTTTCGTGCGGGTGACGCACCAGCACACGAAAAATCAGATTTTTCGTATGCGGGTGGCTTATGTCGCCCACACGCAACAAAAAAAAAGACCCCCAAAAAAATAAAATAAAAAACATAACCCTAGCCGCCGCCCTCCTCGTGGTTGCCGCTGTCGTCGTTGTCGTCGTTGTCACCGTTGGTGGCGGTGCCATCGCCACCTTCCACCGCTGCCCACCGCCGGATCTGGGCGGGAGAGGGGCGCCGCCTCTAGACCCGGCCGGGCGGGCGAGGGGCGCCGCTGCCGGTCACGGCCGCACGCAAGGACGCGCTAGCTGCCGCCGCCCGCCGCCGCTCCCGGCCGTCGCCAGCCGCCTCGCGCCTGTTGCCCCGCGCCTGTGGAGAAAGAGACGAGAGAGAGAGATAAGAAATAGGATAAGGACAAGTAGGTGGAGAGGATAAGATAGAAATTTTTGAAGTAGTTGAGAGGAAAAAATACCTGAGGAGGGAGGGGATTTTCGCGTGCGGTACTCTTAAGATGCTCGGGTCTTCACGTAAAAATTGGCTTATTTTTTGCGTGCGGACCTCTTAAGGAATCTTAAGGATCCGCACCTAAAAATAGGAGGACGATTTTTCCAAACTCGGTCAGTTATGGACCATCCGGAATCTGACGAGGAGTTCGTCCAGGAAAATCGTTTTTATATTTGTGAAATGCAGACTTGTCTTGTCGGAGCAACATCTGCTTATTGGACTGGAGAATTTAAGGAAGTAACTTTCGTCATTGTCACTATCACCTTCTCAAACGCCGTAACTTGGTTGAGTTTATGTTTTGGATCAAAGTTGTCAAACTGTAGCACATCGGAGAGAAGAAAATTCAGCGAATGAGTTCTGTGGCTAGGCTTCTGCAATTCAAATAGATAAGGATAACATTGATGTAAACTCTAGAGTAGAGGTACAACATCCGACATGAAGGGGTAGCATCACATACCTTGCGCAGAGCAATTTCTAACCTTTTTTTTTATTTCCCGTTGCAACGGACAACTGTGTCTCGCTTACTTGGCCTCTGTTTCTAAATAATATTTGACGCCGTTGACTTTTTTAAATATATAATTATTAATTTTTTTTCTATCATTTGATTCATTGTTAAATATACTTATATGTATATATATAGTTTTACATATATTTTACAAAAGTTTTTAAATAAGGTGAACAGTTAAACATGTGTTAAAAGGTCAACGGTGTCAAATACTCCGACCACGACATATAAAAAGTTAAACGGTGTCAAACACATGTTAAAAAGTTAAACATGTGTTAAACATGTGTCAAATACGTATTTAGAAACGGAGGGAGTAGTACGTAGGATCTTATATAACTGTCTCTCTTGCTCTCGTCGAGAAGGGAAGGATGGTGTCCGACCACGACGACGGCAAGCTGCCGGCGCAGTGGAAGAAGGTGTGCGTCGTCGGCGGCGGGATGGCGGGGCTGGCGGCGGCGCGCGAGCTGCGGCGAGAGGGCCTCGACGTGACGGTGCTCGAGCAGCGCGGCGGCGTCGGCGGGCAGTGGCTGTACGACGCGGCGACCGACGCCGGCGACCCGCTCGGCATGGCCGGCGTGCACAGCAGCGTGTTCGCCTCGCTCCGTCTCAATAGCCCGAGGGAGTCCATAGGCTTCTCCGACTTCCCGTTCCGCCCCACCAACGACGCCGGCGGCGACGCGCGGCGGTACCCCGTCCACGGCGAGCTCCTCAGGTACATCAGGGACTTCTGCGACGCGTTCGGCCTCATGGACGCCGTCAGGCTCAACACCACGGTCACGCGCGTCGCCATGGCGCCGCCGCGGCGCGACGGCTCGCTGCGGTGGGCGGTGAGGAGCAGGCGCCACGGCGAGGCGGAGACGGAGGAGGTGTTCGACGCCGTCGTGGTGGCCATCGGGCACTACTCGCAGCCAAGGCTCCCGACCGTCGACGGGATGGATAGGTGGAGGAGGAAACAGCTCCATTCCCACTCGTACCGCGTCCCGGACTCCTTCGCCGGCGAGGTCGTCGTCATCGTTGGGTGCAGCGTGAGCGGCGCAGAGCTCGCGCTTGAGCTCCGCCGCGTCGCCAAGGAGGTCCACCTCAGCACCAAGTCGACGGAGGAGACCATCACGTCGGCGATGTCCAAAAGTGTCGCCAGGTACGAAAACCTCCACCTGAGACCACAGGTCGAACACCTGCGCGAGGACGGGACTGTGGTGTTCGACGACGGCTCGTTCGTCGTCGCCGACGCCATCATCTACTGCACCGGGTACAACTACTCGTTCCCGTTCCTGGACACGAACGGGAAGGTCACCGTCGACGACAACCGCGTCGGGCCGCTGTACGAGCACGTGTTCCCGCCGGAGCTGGCGCCGTCGCTGTCGTTCGTGGGCATCCCAGCCAAGGTGCTTCTGCCGGTGTTCATCGAGGTGCAGGCGAGGTGGGTGGCGCAGGTGCTGTCCGGGCGGAGGACGCTGCCGTCGCAGGAGGAGATGCAGCGCGCCGTCGAGGAGCACAGCCGCGGCATGGAGGCCGCCGGCTTGCCGAAGCGGTGGACGCATGACATGTTCTTGGACCTGGAACGCTGCGACGACTCCGGCGAGCGCACCTGCGGCTTCCCGCGGATGGAGCAGTGGAAGAAGGAGATCTTTTTCTCGTCCCTCTCCGACATGGTCGACGACATGGAGAGCTTCCGCGACGGCTACCACGACAGTGACCTCGTCCGCGACGGCCTGCGCCGGCACGGCTGGACTCCCGTCGCGCCGCGGCCGCAGGAGGAGGACGACGACGCAAAAGCAATTGGAGTGGCGAACATATAACAAAAATTACCGGGTGCAATACGTACTCCCTCCTTCCCTAAATATTTAACGCCATTGACTTTTTAAAACATGTTTGACTGTTCGTCTTATTCAAAAACTTTTGTGAAATGTGTAAAACTATATGTATACATAAAAGTATATTTAACAATAAATCAAATGATAGGAAAAGAATTAATAATTACTTAAATTTTTTAAATAAGACGAACGGTCAAAACATGTTTTAAAAAGTCAACGGCGTCAAATATTTTGGAATGGAGGGAGTAGTAATTACTCTCTCCGTTTCGAAATGTTTGACACCATTGACATTTTAGCACATGTTTGACCGTTCGTTTTATTTAAAAATTTTGTGAAATATATAAAATTATTTGCCTACATAAAAATGACTTTTTAGCACATGTTTGACCGTTCGTCTTATTTAAAAATTTTGTGAAATATATAAAATTATTTGCCTACATAAAAATATATTTAACAATAAATCAAATGATAGGAAAAGAATTAATAATTACTTAAATTTTTTGAATAAGACGAATAGTCAAACATGTACTAAAAAGTCAACGGCGTCAAACATTTCGAAACGGAGGGATTATCTAATTATTAGTTAGTATATTAATTAAAATGGCACATTTTAGTTATGATTGGATAAAATATCTAGGATCCTGTGATTGAACGTGGAAGCGCCACTGCTTATTAGACTCCAATAATTTCTGCTTAAGCCTAAGGAAACAAAATAAATACACGGTAATTCGAAAAGAAGTGCTGGCCTGTCTGTATCAAGAGGATTTTTTTTTTGACACCAGGTAATACACCTTCATTAACCAGGGGCTCTAGGCAAATCGCCAGAATCCAGCTGGTGGAATACAAGCTCAGGGACTTGGTTGACATGCACTGTGAGAGTTAACAGAACTCACCCCATACTTAGCTAGGCAGTCATCCACTTTCTTGCAAGACCTCGGACAATACCAAATGAGACAGCTAACGAAATGAGAGGAAACAAAGACTTTTATTTGGCGAAATAAGCATCCATCTTGATGACGATCAAAGTCCGCCGATGTGGCGATGTGAGAGCACGTACGCTGCAGTTCTGTGGCATCCGTCTCCAGTATGATTCTTGTCATCCCAAGCTGCACAACTTTCTCGATACTGTGGAGCGCCGCGGTAGCCTCAGCCTACAACGGTGTTCGTACGTACTCACATCAAAAGATGCATCAGTGTTGATCTTATATGTATAAATAGCAGTGGGGGTCTGAGCATACTAGGTAGAGTTACAGTCCCTCCTCCCATCTGCATATGGTAAAAAATTTTAGTGGGGTCTTCGTGGGGTCTCTCATAGTTTTCACGTCAGTAGTGGGGGCTCGAAACTCCGCTGCCCCATGCTGGATCCGCCACTGCGGCCGGTGGCGATTCCCATTTTTCATTCATCATCATACGTGGAGCTCGATCCAACTGCAGTTTTTCAAGGTCCATTGTATGGTAAATGATGGCATCACACACCTCTGAACCCGTGAGCTTCTTGTCATCCGCATTGGCCTTATTCCCTGCATACCACCACTCAAGAGGATTTTTCATTGTACTCAAAACTGAACCTTTTTAGTTTTGTTCAGTTTATCCAATTACTGCTAGTAGTTTATTTCTCCGAGGGGGTGTACCATAATGTAATAATCTGTTCGATCATTGAATGCAAACTAATTAAGCATTTACAAATTAGTATAACTAACTTTTTTATGACATAAACGATTTACATCTGTTAGTATAACTGAATATATATCATATTTGTAGTCGATCGTGTATATGACCATATATATATCTAACTAAAAAATACGGAAGGATTCGGTACTTTTTTGGTTTGTCTTTTTTTCGTTGGTTTCTTTTTGCCCGATCGCTTCCAGGTTTTCTGTCCATCTGGTTTTTCTCAACCGATCCGTTGCACGCACGCATAGCGCGCCTCCCGTCATGGGCTCATGGCCACGTCAATATGTCTTCACGTGTGTTTTCTCCTTTAATTGACTACAAAAATCGATTCTCACTTTCCCTTATCATTTTCCTCATGATTTACCCTAATAGCGATCATAGTGCTTCACTTTATCGCTAAGCTCCTACCAACTATTGTATCACTGAAAAAATATCTTTAACTGTTGCAACGCATGGGTATTTTTTTCTAGTGTATTTAAAAGGATTGTATTTGTTCTTTCTGAAGTATTTAAAATGGATGATGTAATCTTATCTTCTTCATGTAGCTGGTGTTGAGTAGTTTCTTTGTCGAGGGATAACTATGTCTAGTCAATTCTAACATTTATCTTCCCCGCAAAAAAAAAATTCTAACATTTATCTTAGCAATATGTTATTATGATTTGTCTGTGCAGAACTGCAGATATGGGTTCATTTGCACTAAAGAAAAATTAAACCACTCCTGCATGACATTAGGTAGCAGCATCTTCTTGTTGGAAGACGACTGCTAATACAGTAGTCAAGATGCGAGTATTAAGTTTATGACCTCAGAAGGTCAAGATGCAAATGTTACTAAACAATTAAAGAAAGCAGTTGAGCAATGGGATGTTCCAAGATTAAAGAAAGGTGATTACTACTCCTTTGAAGAGCATCTTATATTAACTTTGTGTTGTAAAAAAATGATGAGCAGGTAAGGCATCTCTGACTCTACATGAGAGCACATACTTTGGTCATTAATGGTGATTATAATGATATATTCTGTATTTATTGTTTGCTGCATTCAGTTTGATTGGTTGCTTTGTTCAGAGCTGTTTCTACCAAATCCATTCAAGTTGAAACATCTCCAAAAAAAAATCAATTTTAAACGGACTGGGAGCTGTCCATGCTGACCCATGTTGCTCTGTACAAGCTTTATTTAAATGTGCTGCAAATTTGATTGCAATTCCATCACGATGGCATCCTGCAAGAAGGTGTGCGTGATCGGCGCCGGTGTGTCTGGCCTCGCCGCCGCGCGCGAGCTGCGGCGAGAGGGCCTCGACGTGACGGTGCTCGAGCAGCGCGGCGGCGTCGGCGGGCAGTGGCTGTACGACACGGCGACCGACGCCGGCGACCCGCTCGGCGTGGCCGGCGTGCACAGCAGCATGTACGCGTCGCTCCGCCTCATCACCCCGAGGGAGGTGATGGGCTTCTCCGACTTCCCGTTCCGCCCAGGCAAGGACGGCGACTCCGGCGCCGGCGAGGTCGACGCGCGGCGGTTCCCCGGCCACGCCGAGTTCCTCAGGTACATCAGGGAGTTATGCGACGTGTTCGGCCTCATGGACGCCGTTCGGCTCAACACGGCGGTCACGCGCGTCGCCATGGCGCCGCCGCGGCGCGACGGCTCGCTGCGGTGGGCGGTGAGGAGCAAACACCACGGCGAGGCGGAGACGGAGGAGGTGTTCGACGCCGTCGTCGTGGCGTCCGGCCACTTCTGCCAGCCAAGGCTCCCGACCATCGACGGGATGGACAGGTGGAGGAGGAGGCAGCTGCATTCCCATTCCTACCGCGTCCCGGACGCCTTCCATGGCGAGGTGGTGGTGATCGTGGGCTGCGGCATCAGCAGCAAGGACATCGGGCTAGAGCTCCGCCGCGTCGCCAAGGAGGTGCACCTGAGCGCAAAGTCGCCGGAGGAGGCCATGACGCCGGCGATGTCCAAGATTCTCGCCAGGTACGACAACCTTCACCTCCACCCACAGATCGAACACCTGCGCGAGGACGGGACGGTGGTGTTCGTCGACGGCACATGCGTCGTCGCCGACGCCGTCGTCTACTGCACCGGCAACACCTACTCGTACCCGTTCCTGGACACGGACGGCAAGGTCACCGTCGACGACAACCGCGTCGGGCCGCTGTTCGACCACGTGTTCCCGCCGGCGCTCGCGCCGTCGCTGTCGTTCGTGGGGATCCCGGCCATGGTGGTGGTGCCGCTGTTCAACGAGGTGCAGGCGAGGTGGGTGGCGCAGGTGCTGTCCGGGCGGAGGGCGCTGCCGTCGCCGGAGGAGATGGCGCGCGCCGCGGAGGAGTACAACCGCGGCAGGGAGGCCGCCGGCGTGGCGAAGCGGCGGACGCACGACATCCTGGACCTGGAGTACTGCGACGACTACGGCGAGCGCAACTGCGGCTTCCCGCGGCTGGAGGCGTGGAAGAAGGAGCTCATGTGGTCTTCCTACCTCACCATGTGCGACAACCTCGAGACCTTCCGCGACGACTACCATGACAGCGACCTCGTCGCCGACGGCCTGAGGCTGCACGGCTGGATCTCACCGGCGACGACGCTGACGCAGCAGGGCGACGATGACAAACGGCCCCATCTTTTATGAGAAATTCCGGCTTATTACCAACTTAAAATAATAGTTTGCGAATAAAATTTTTATATATGTGTTTTTAGCTATTTAAAAATAAATAATATAAAATAAACTATAATGAAAAAAAATCATAAAATCAACTTCCACATTAAATTTGAAATTCAAATTTTGACGTATAAGTATAAGCATAAACTAAATGATGGGGCTCAAAGATGTTGGCTAAAAGTGAACGGAAATGAGTTGAGCTGGGTGTACGTGAGTGTGCGTGTGTTATGAGCGTCTGCGTTTTTTTTTTAAAAAAAGCACAATATTTAGCAGGAAAAGGCACTCGATTCTAATCAGTTCAGCTTAGCATTATTGAAAGAAAAAGGAGGGAATGTATAAGTATATTAAATAATGCAACGCAACACATAGGAAGTATAAGCATAAACTAAATGATGGGGCTCAAAGATGTTGGCTAAAAGTGAACGGAAATGAGTTGAGCTGGGTGTACGTGAGTGTGCGTGTGTTATGAGCGTCTGCGTTTTTTTTTTTAAAAAAAGCACAATATTTAGCAGGAAAAGGCACTCGATTCTAATCAGTTCAGCTTAGCATTATTGAAAGAAAAAGGAGGGAATGTATAAGTATATTAAATAATGCAACGCAACCCATAGGATACAGTCTCAAAATGTTGAAAGGTTATGTATGATCGATCTTTTCACAAGATCAACTTTATCTCGAGATAGAACAATACGAAAATTTACGCATGGTTCTACTATTACTATATAGTACTAATTCATAACCGGAGTATATGTCAGAAACTGAGACGATTTAACAAGATTCAAATTTCAAAATAGATCAGGTTCAGTGATTCACACACCAACATCAACATACAGTGCAAACTCTGGCTGCACATACGCACGATGTCGTTGTTTTTTATTTGTTTGTTGTTCTTGTTTGTGTACTGTACTGATGGGCTGGCCATCTAGAGATAGGTCTAATCACATTGGCACCATACCAAACCTGAGCTCACGTGCTGACAACCAGAGGTGAAAAAGGATCGGATTCGAATGGATAGTAGTCATACTATCTCCTGAACCATTATTTTGTAGTAGATTTGGAGCGGGTGTGGATGGTATATGGATGTGGAGAGAATCATTTCGGATTTCTAAAACAATGCAAAGCCAATGTAGGCTCAACTCATAAATGGATTAAAATCATCGGATATGACGTCTATATTCAATCAATGTAACATTAAGTCATCAATTCAACAGGCAACAATATAATAACAATATCCTAAGCATTTAATAATAACATCACACAACATATCGATATAGGACAGCTGGTATCACATTTTAGGTGTCATGGTGGATGAACAAGAAATCAAATTCTAACTTACTATTGATATATTTTTCTAAAATGAAATCTCGATGTCTAATCGCTAAACTTTTAAATCCTAAATCCAAGACTTAAAAAAAGATCCAAATAGAGTGGATGAGCTAAGGAAATTATCCCAAAATTTACTGAATGGGTTGTCTGATGTGAAATGGACCAAATAGAGTGGTTACAAGATATGGGCCAAGAAAATCGCATTGTTTACCAAACCCTCCACCACATAATCTGCTTAGAATATCGAATAATCTGCATCCATCGCATATCATCGGTATCACATCCGGCTTCGTATCCGCATGCTACCATTCAAATCCAACTCTATATGCACCAAATATCTATGAACTCTTATCATATCCTTGCTTCGGGAGGATTTGGAGCGAATAATATCGTCTCTGTTTTGACCTTTATTGACAACTAAAAATGGGCTCTAACAAAATATCAGGGAAATTGTAGCTACATTAGCATGATGGCACACATTCGTGTAGAGGCATAGTTTCAATGTCCAATGATGGCGCATGATATGATTAAATAATCATCATGTGCTAAGCTTGCCCCCATTAAATAGTCACGTCGTTCCAAGGATACTTTATATATATGCATGTTTATTTAAATAATACTATTTCTTAGGGCAAAATGAGCTTTTGTTAGATTAAAGCAGGATTTGCAATATTTGCTTTGTATCCGCATGCTACCATTCACATCCAACTCTATATCCATCAAATATCTATCTATGAACTCTTATCATATCCTTGGTTCAGGAGGATTCGTCAGTTTTGACCCTTACTAACAACTAAAAATGGGCTCTGACAAAATCTCAGAGAAATGGTAGCTACATTAGCCTGATGACACACGTTCGTGTAGAGGCATAGTTTCAATGTCCAATGATGGCGCATGATATGATTAAATAATCATCATGTGCTAAGCTTGCCCCCATTAAATAGTCACGTCGTTCCAAGGATACTTTATATATCTGCATGTTTATTTAAATAATACTATTTCTTAGGGCAAAATGAGCTTTTGTTAGATTAAAGCAGGATTTGCAATATTTGCTTCGTATCCGCATGCTACCATTCACATCCAACTCTATATCCATCAAATATCTATCTATGAACTCTTATCATATCCTTGGTTCAGGAGGATTCGTCAGTTTTGACCCTTACTAACAACTAAAAATGGGCTCTGACAAAATCTCAGAGAAATGGTAGCTACATTAGCCTGATGACACACGTTCGTGTAGAGGCATAGTTTCAATGTTCAATGATGGCGCATGATATGATTAAATAATCATCATGTGCTAATCTTGCCCCGATTAAATAGTCACGTTCCGAGGGTATATACGTGTGATCAGGAATAATAGCCAGAGTCACACCCTTTTGACAATGATCTTGCAACAATATATACATTTTTATAATATAATAGAAATAAATTACATCTCCGATATTTATCATAAGACACACGGTCATAAGTTTGTTAAATATATAAGATTTTTTTCCGGTCCAACAAAAAATATCTCACGGTATCAAATCGTTTCCGATTGATGGATCTAACACTGCTCATCCTGCCTAGCTAGATCTAACGATTAAATACGATTTAGTACCGTGAGGGACCAGTAACTTTGAGATATTTTTTACTGGACCGAAGTAAATCTCTAAATATATACATAGAGATATATAGCTATTCTCGGCTCTTTTATAATGTAGAGTAAAGTATAAAAGGCTATTTTTTGTTTACATCTGCATGTAAATTAGGTGAAATATATTTGTCACACAATAATATATTACCCCTCTGCTAGAATTAATATAGAGTACTTTTCTTTATCTTATATTTCTTAGGGCAAAATGAGCTTTTGTTATATTAAAGCAGGATTGCAATCTTTGTGCAAAATCTCAGCTAGGTCTGATGTGGGCTTCTTGCCACACGTACGCACTTAATAAAACCCATAATCGAAGCAGCGATACTTGCTTGTCACTTGTATCATGAGTTGTCATTACGATGATCGACTTACGAAGTTACGTTTTGTTTGGCATAATTTCACATTCGGTTTCTGTAGTTGGGTATTTTTAATTGAAGAAATCCACGTATATGGATATGTTGATAATATTTGGATGGAGCACTTTATTTCTATTTAAGGTAAAATAAAGAATTTTAAGCCGCTTTAATTTAAATTGCAAAGCTCAAATTGAACGTGGGATTTGAGATTAAAACCGTGTCAACTAGGTTGTAATATCAAAGATATAAAAGGGCCCCGTTAATTAAGCCCCTTAATCTCAGCAACAATGGCAGATCTCCGATCTTAGGCCGCTTGAGGAAGCCCATTAGTTAACTGATTATGTTTGCGGTGGCTCATGAGATTGTTTTCAGCCTACCACAAGGTCCACATTCATCTTTCAAAAAAAAAAAAAAACAAGGTCCACATTCCACACAGTTTTTGTGGCTGTCGCATTTAAACACAAATCTCAGCATCAAGCATCTAGACCAAGTTGTTGGATTCAGCTTAATAAGGAAGTGTTCCCTCGGTCCAAAAATATGTTTTCTTTTCTTTTCTTAAAACACAATACAAATACAGACACCCACAACGCACGCATACTCACCCTGTAACATGTTCTTTTCACATTCCATACAAATTTTGTGACTGCCTCATCTTTATCACAAAACTCACCATAAAGCGTCTAAACCAAGTTATCGGATTCAATTTAGGGAGTTAGTACTCCCTCTCTGTATCTCTAAATATAGTAACTTTATTTAAACTAGAAATGTTGCCATATTTTAGAAATAAGGTAGTCCATTAGTTAGTGAAATTAAGGTGCCATTTTTCAAAACATGAAGAATAGATTCTTCTGTAGCACCACAGAATACGAGATATATGCACAGAGCCAGTGGCGGATCTTGTCTTGTGATGGCGTTGGGATTTGGGCATTGGACATTTGGACATTGATTTCAGATGCTAATCATGTGATCACTACGTTAGTTGGCCACTAATTTAAAGATTTTTGGTGAGAAGATTTGTTGATCGACCTAATTGTCTAACACTAAAGCAAAGGCACAATCGGACCAAAAAAATAATAGAAATAAGAGCAAACACATCTATATAATCATTGTTGCGAAAATTATTTCACTGATAAAAATATTACATGACAAATTTAGTACTATTATAGTTCTCCATTTTATTTAGTGCCATGCATAGTAAGTACAATTGTAGTATAGTTTGTGTATATATAAAAAACAATTCACTAATTGAAAGTACGTTTGTAGTATAGTTTTGTACAATTCCTTTCACTAATTGAAAGTACAATACTCTTCATCCCAGTAATATATAAATTCGTCATAGCTAAATTTTAATGTTAAGTCTGGCACTGCACAGAGACAGAGCTGGCAAAGTTGTCTTGACACGTTCTTTCCACATTCCAGACAAATTTAATTAAGCATCAAAACTCTCCTTACCTTAAATATAGCAACATTTCTAGTGCAAATTAAACATGAAAGTTACCGTATTTTGGAACGAGGACGTCTAGACCGTCAATGAAATTAAGGTGACATCTTTGAAAATTGAAAATATGAAGAACTTTGCAGCACCACAGAATATATGCACAGAGCTGATAAAAGTTGTAGTAAGAATATATGCACATATTATCTTTTTAAGAGACGATATAGTATAAATGCAGACGCACACTACTTGAAGTTAGTACCATGCACACGTGAGACATGTGGGCATAATTTGGCTGATTGCTTCAATTACTAGAACATTAGCGTGCTGGTTGGCACGCTTTCCTTATAGCCCGATACATTGTTCAGTGTGTGTTTGAAACATGAAAATTTTATAAGATATTTTAGCAGTTAGTTCAACTTTCATGTTCCATTAAATATTGTATTCTCTTGCATATCATTCTGAGCATAATCTCCTGTAATGTTAATTTGGGATTGTGTGTTCTCTACGTTTCCGGTGGACGATTAATTATAAATGTTGAGTTTCTAATAATTTCTTGATATAATTAAATACTATTAAGTATTAAAAAAGTAGAAAGTAGGTGGAGTTAAATATTAGACGGACTCTAAAAAAAATATTAGAAGATTAATAAGTTTTCTTAAAAAAGGACTGATTGTAGGAAAAAAAAAGTTATGGGAAAATTGTAAGCTTACAAAGCTTGCTCTCGATGATCTATAATACTCGATCCAACTCCTAAATGCTAGAAGCAGAATTTGAAATTAAGTTTTGGCCTATGGGCGGTCTTTGTGTTCACTCCACCCCTCATTTTTCTAGGTCACTACAGTCTGCTCCTTTCTCTTTTTAAGTAAAAGCAGCAAAAACTTTGTTGGGCTTGAGCTACAGAAAAGCTGAAAAGCCCTGCCAAATTGATCAGTACGTGTCGTAACACTCACCTCTTATTTAATTTTCTTCATGTCTTACTTCTAACCATTCTGTCATTTTCCAACCATATTTTATTTAATAAGGGGTATTGTAGTTTTTTCACTCCATACTTGATCTCCCTAAGAAAAAGGGCAGGAATATTTTATACTTTTGGAGAAAGTACAATTGATTCGCAAGATATGATGATAACAGGAAACAGAAAAACGGAGGAATTGAAATGGTCGATTGGCTTGGTGCTACACAGTGATACGGTAGCCGAGGAGCATGTAGCTCTTTTTTTTTATTTTCCTTTTTTAATAACTCTAAGTTTTCTTCTATCGGATATTTGAATGCATCTAGGAGTGATGTTGCTGCAAAGGGCTATAATCTAGATATATAAATTTGGATCTAGATACTTTAACTGGACTTATTTTAAATTATGATTTTTATTTGATTGGTTCTAGAAGTCTCTATGTTTATTGCAAGTGATGTACAGTTTAGAAGCTAATCTGGAAGCTTGCTTAACTTTTTTTTTCTACCGCATTTATCTGAATATTTAGCTGTGACAAGTGGACCAATAGGCACACATGGAATGTAGATTAGGCGTACATGGGAGCTTAGTACTCCTAGGATTTGCTCTGGTCCAACAAAAAGTATCTCGAAGTATCGGTATCTCATGTTATCAAATCGTTTCCGATCGTTAGATCTAGCTAGGTTGGACAATCAGAAACGATTTGATATCGTGAGGTACCGGTACGTTGAGTTACTTCCTGTTGGACGGAAGCAAATCTCTTATATAAGCTAGCTACTCCAACTCCAAGCTCATTACTGTGTCTCGCTTGCTCTCGTCGACAAGGAGAAGATGGTGTCCAACCACGACGACGGCAAGCCACCGGCGAAGTGGAAGAAGGTGTGCGTCGTCGGGGCGGGCATGGCCGGCCTTGCGGCGGCGCGGGAGCTGCGCCGGGAGGGCCACGCCGTGACGGTGCTTGAGCAGGCCGGCGACGTGGGCGGGCAGTGGCTGTACGACCCGCGCACCGACGACCCGCTCGGCGCGTCCCCGGCGCCGGTGCGCGTGCACAGCAGCATGTACGCGTCGCTCCGCCTCATCAGCCCCCGCGAGGCCATGGGCTTCACCGACTTCCCCTTCCTCCCCGTCGACGGCGCCGGCGGCGGCGGCCGCGACCCGCGCCGCTTCCCCGGCCACCGCGAGGTGCTCCTCTACCTCAAGGACTTCTGCGACGCGTTCGGCCTCATGGACGCCGTCCGCCTCAGCCTCAACACCAGGGTCCTCCGCGTCGCCATGGCGCCTCCTCAATGTCGCGCCCCCGCCGTCGCCGGCGGCGAGCGGAAATGGGTGGTCAGGTCCGTACGCGTCGGCGAGCGCGACGACACGGGTGTTCAGGAAGAGGTGTTCGACGCCGTCGTGGTCGCCACCGGGCACTACTCGCAGCCCAGCGTGCCAACCATCAAAGGAATGGAGGCGTGGAGGCGGCGGCAGCTGCACAGCCACTCGTACCGGCTGCCGGAGCCGTTCCGCGACGAGGTGCTCACGGCCACACATTTCTAATCACCTTGGATGCTCGCTCTGCCGCCACCAACCATGTCAGTAATGGTAACCTTGTATTGTCTTGTGTGCTCCATGTCTGCATCTGCGTGAAGGTGGTTGTCATGGTGGGCTGCGGCGACAGCGGCAAGGACATCGCGCTGGACCTCATCAGCGTCGCCAAGGAGGTGCACCTCACGGACAAGTCGACGGAGGAGGCCACGACGCCGGCGATGTCCAAGCTGCTCGCCAAGTACGCCAACCTCCACCTGAGGCCACGGGTCGAACACCTGTGCGAGGACGGGACGGTGGTGTTCGTCGACGGCTCGCGCGTCGTCGCCGACACCGTCATGTACTGCACCGGGTACGTCTACTCGTTCCCGTTCCTGGACACGGACGGGGTGGTCACCGTCGACGACAACCGCGTCGGGCCGCTGTTCGAGCACGTGTTCCCGCCGGCGCTGGCGCCGTCGCTGTCGTTCGTCGGCGTCCCGAGGAAGGTGCCGGCGCCATGGTTCTTCGAGGCGCAGGGGAAGTGGGTGGCGCAGGTGCTGTCCGGGAGGAGGACGCTGCCGCCGGTGGAGGAGATGCTGCGCGCCGTCGACGAGCACTACCGCGCCAGGGCGGCCGCCGGCGTGCCGGTCAAGTACACGCACGAGCTCGGCGGCATCGAGCCTCAGGTACACAGAAGCTAATATAAAACGGATCTCGAATTGTTCTTGATCGATGATTAATCTTGTTTAATTTGTTGAATGATTGATTTGGCGCGCCATGGATGAGCAGAAGTACATCGAGTTCGGGGAGAAGTATTGCGGGTTCCCGCGCTACGAGGATTGGAAGAGGGAGATGATCGTGTCCACCATCAGTAGGAGGGATGACGACGACATGGAGACATTTCGCGACCGCGTCGACGACGACAGTGACCATGTCCGGCTCTGCCTCAAGAGCTGGCACTGCTCATCACCTGCTCGACATCAAGCCTCTCTTGCTGTTTCTGCTGCTGATGGCCATCCTCCTCCTCCTCGTCTTGCACAGACGGCCAAGGCCATCGCTGCTGATGCTCTGTAGCTCTCAAGTCTAAACGATTGGGGTGTATGGTTTTAATCCTAAGGTTCTGTGTTCAATCCTCAACACGCTTACAATTTCTTTTTAAAAACTCTCCCTCTAAATCTCCTTTTTTTTAAGTCTAAACTGAACATGTTCAGGTTCAGGTTCAGGTTCAGGCCATGGCTGAATTTGAGTCACCCAGATGATATAAAATATCAGGCCATTAAGTTTTCAGGAAGAACATTGGCAGAGGATATACAAGAAATTTTGGCATCCCGTCAGTCATCACTGCTGATGAACAAGGCAGCATTGTAAGGTTTGGTCTCGCTTCTTCTTAAAACGGGGCATCTTCTTCTTATATACAAAACGTCGGCAACGGCCTGACCGTTCGAAAAAAATGCTCTCTAAAGGTAAACAGCTAAACAGACGGGAAGTTGAGAAAGTATTTTATGAACCTAGATGCATGGCAAGTTTGCGTTCAGAGTTTCAGCATTTTGCTGGCTTTTTCATGGCTGCTAATCTGGTGAAAACATTAGATTAACTTTGTGCAGAAAGCTCAGTGAAAAACCTGAGCCTCCAGCCTATGTCACAAAGCTTTTCTGACCCAACAAAAATCTCTAATATACTAAAATTATACTTCATTAGACAGTGTGTGCACTGCAGTATAAGACTTAGCTTGTGCAGATGTAAGACATCTGGTTCTGATTTCCCTCACTGAACACAAAGTTGGCTGCTAATATAACCCAGGCACACGTACACAAAGAAAATAATTGGAACTCAATAATTTAATCCACCCTAATTATGTCTTAACCATATAAAAAACTTTCAGAAACCAAAAGTATTTCTTCTCCAATGCATCAGATTACTCGGAAGAAGAGGTAGACGACGTCGCGTCCGGCTCCGGCGCGGCGACGACATGGACGGCGAGGCGGAAGGAGAGGTAGGCGTCGACGCAGGCGTACTGCACCTGCTCCTTGCTCAGCCTGCGCGCGTCCCACCTGCTCGTCCCGACCTTCCTCGGCTTCGTCGTCACCCCGTCCCACCCGAGGTGCTCCTCCGCCATGCGCTGCATCGACGTGTTCCCCATGCCGGCCAGCGACCGCAGCTCCACCGTGCGCGCCACCTCCAGCCCGTGCTGTTCCTCCAGCTTGCGGCAGTCGGACCGCACGCCGTAGCCGACGAACACGACGCGCTCGTCGGCCAGGAACCGCCGGAGCGCGGCGGGGACGGCGGCGTCGGCGTGCGCGAGCTGGAACACCAGGCACCGGTGCCCCGCGCACAGCTGCAGCGTGCCCGGCCGGATCGTGGCGCGGCGGAACGGCGGCGTCCACTGCACCCCCATGCCGACGGTGGCCACGCCGTCGGCGCGGAGGCGGGGGCCGAGGCGCCACCGCGTGGCGTGCACCCACCGGCGCGCCGCCCGCGTGCGCGGTCACCGTGGCGACCACCTGGCGGCCGCCGACGCGCACCACGTACTCGTCGTGCGTGCGGGTGGAGCGGTGGAGGCGAGTGGACACGGCGGTGACCATGATGGCGCGTCGCCGGCGTGTCGAGCAGGGAGACGGCAGCTTTCAAAGTTGAAATCACACACCGGATTGGATCCAAAATTCCGGGAAATTTACGGTTTCTGTGAAACGTCTATATAACTTGAAATTTGCAAAGACAATTATACATTTTCTCGGTGCGTGTTAAGGCACGATTACAACCCTATTTAATTGCGATAAAATTAAATTAATTGTGACTAACTGACTATGATTATGTGTTGGTGCAATGTACGAATGTGTAACAAAGCTAACACTTGGCACTCTATTTTCTATTTTCCATATATAAGACATACTTATACATACGATTGCCTTACAAAAGTCAGTTACATACTGACATTAGTACTTTATACATGACACATTTCTATGAACTTATTAAAAATTAGTAAAAATATGGTACATTATGGTGTTCACGGACTATCATTAGGATGGCTATATATGTAGGGGATATGTAGAGATTGTTGCCTCAACATCAATACTGTTGTACCGTTTGAAATGCTGCTTTCTTCCCTTAATAAAACCGGCTGGCGTTTCCTTTTGCCGACATGGCAAAAAAAATTGCTATATATTTATCGATAAATTTTCTTCTAAAAATTTAAACACAGTGTAATTACATTATAATTTGCAAATAATACAATGTAATTTATATGTAACTTTCACATAATTTTAAACCATTCGATTTGCTTTAAAATTTTTGCAAGGGAGATAGAAAAAAAAATCACAACACACACATGTGAGGGGATTCGGTCCTATTACCTCTGTTTCACGAAAATAATGTCACCTAGGAATTTTAAAAGTTATATACAAGTTGCACTATATTTACATGCAAGTTACAAATATAATTGCATCACAATTGTAATACATTTACATATGTCAAATTATTTGTTAAAATTTGATGACAAATCTATAGCTAGTCCTAGAAAAAATTACAATTTCATAATACCAAGTCATTCACAATTACATCACATTATTTTCACTTACGTTTATCCACCAATACGAAGTGCAATGAATTAGCACGATTAATAGATAATACAATATACAAGCACACTGCACAACACAAGCGCAGACACAAATTCTCAAACACAAATTATCACAGGTTGGGTGTACAAAAATTCATCTGCACCACTGCATCTAAATAAAAACATCTTTTCTTACATCTATCCACCAAAAGACGCTTGTATTATAGTACTCCGTACATAGTTTTTACCGAAAGCGATCGAGTAAATTTCTCTTGTAGTAAAAGTAAACTGCCCGTACGTACGTCTCACCGTCGTCGCCGGCGTGGGCTTCAGATGTCGCCGGCGTCGAGGTGGACGCCGAGGTGGAAGGAGAGGCATGCGTCGACGCAGGCGTACTCCACCTGCCCCTTCGTCAACCTCCGCGCGTGCCACCTGCTCGTCCCGACCCTCCGCGGCTTCCACACCCCGACCAACCCGAGGTGCTCCTCCGCCATGCGCTTCATCGACGCGTTGCCCATGCCGGCCACCAGCCGCCGCAGCTCCACCCCGCGCGCCACCTCCAGCCCGTGGTGCTCCTCCAGCTTGCGGCAGTCGTGGCGGACGTTGTGGGCGACGAAGGCGGCGCGCGCGTCGGCCATGAACCGCCGGAGCACGGCGGGGACGGCGCCGGCGCGCGCGAGCTAGAACACCAGGCACCGGTGCCCGACGCACAGCTGCAGCGTGCACGGCCGCCGCGCCGCCGCCGCCGGCGCGCGGAACGGCGGGGTCCACTGCACGCCCATGCCGACGGTGATCCCGTCGCCGGAGCGGAGGCGGCGGGCGTGGCGCCACAGCGTGGTGTGCACCCACCGGCGCGCCACGCCCGGGTGCGCGGTCACAGTGGCGAGAAGGCGGCGGCGGCGGCGGCGGTGGCTGCCGACGCGCACCACGTACTCGTCGTGCGCGCGCATGCAGCGGCGGAGGCGCGTGGACACGGTGGTGGTCTTGGCGGCGACCATGGCGCGGCGGCGCCGGTGTGCTTCTTGGCTTCTTCTTGGGGTTTCTTGGGAGACGACGTCGTTTATTTTAGCAATGGAAGCAGAAAATCTTTACCTTTTTATAACTATTGATTGATTGACTTGCCACTTCCAATTTTCAAAACACAAACCTAATACAACCCAAAATTCCGTGAAATTTTTTCAAGTTTTCTAAGAAAGGGGAATATGAAAACCTTTCACAGCACGCGGCCTTGAATTTGCAGAGTATATGTGTTAAGCCGTGTTAGTGTGTACTGTACGTGTAGTATTAGGTTTAGCCCCGTTTCTCGAGAAGATAAGAGACATCCCTATTTCAGTTTATGCATGTACTACCACACTGTTTTACTTTGTGATAACTTTTACTTATCACAAAACGGATACGATCCAAAATCCCAGAAAAATTTTCAACTTTCCTCATAGAAGGGGAGTTTTGCATCTTTTATAGAGTTGTAAACTAAGTATAAATAGGCTTGAATTTTGCAAAGAGAATAACAACTCATCATGGTAGTATGTGTTAAGGCACGTATATGAATGCGTAAAACATTGTTTGCATATGTTCCAGTTTTTAAGTACTCCCTGCATCCTTTTGTTTAGGAAGTTTCTGACAGTGACATGTTTGACAAAATGAAAGAACATTTGAAATGACTTTTGGAAAATGATTTTCAGTGTATATACCAACGTCAAATATTAAAATATTTTTTTGAGTTGTATATCAGCGTCATACAAAAATGGAAGAAGGGAGACAATATTCCCCGTGCAAAAGGAAAAAAAAAACCTTGTAAGTATCAAAACACGATTCCAGATTATGGTGACATCATAAATTTAGAAGCTGGTACTCTAGTTACTTTGATTTTTATATCAAACGTAGTTATATACAAATAATGGTCTTACTATGATCTATCACATTATACTTAAATCACACTCCACATTTATCAACTTAACAATTGTTGAATTTTTTTTAGATAATGTAGCAATTGGTGATACATGACACATCTAAACATTACAAATTTACAATACCAAGTCACCAACAATTACATCAAATTATTCTTCACTTACACTTACACTTATTTTACCACTAGAGTAGCAATTATTATTATTAACTAAATCGGCATAGGTTTACTTGGATATCATATCACTTGGCCTTGTTCTGCTTCACGCCGAGTCGGAAGAAGAGGTCGACGGCGGCGCGGCGCCGACATGGACGCCGAGGCGGTGGGAGAGGAAGGCGTCGACACACGCGTACTTCACCTGCTTCTTGGACAGCTTCGGCGCGTCCCACCTGCTCCTGCCCACCGCCGCCGGCTTCTTGATTCCGGCGAGCCCGAGGAGCTCCTCCGCCATGCGCGCCATGGACGAGCTGCCCATGCCGGTCACGGCGCGGAGCTCGCGCGTGCACGCCACATGAAGGCCATGGTGAGCGGCCAGTTTCCGGCAGTCGGAGCGGATGCCGTAGCCCACGAACGCCGCCACGCCGCCGTCGGCGAGGAACCGCCGGAGCGCGGCGGGGAAGGCGTTGCCCTGAGCGACCTGGAAGACGAGGCACCGGCTGCCCACGCAGAGCTGCAGCGTGCCCGGCCGCGGCTCGGCGCCGCCGGCGAGCGCGCGGGACGGCGGCGTCCACTGCACCCCCATTGCGACGGTGAGCCCGGCGCCGGAGCGGAGGCGGCGGCCGTGGCGCCACCGCGTGGAGAACACCCACCGGCGCGCCACGGCGGGGCGCGCGGTCACGGTGGCGACGACGCGGCTGGCGCCGACGCGCACGACGTAGGTGTCGTGCTTCGTCTCCGAGCGTCGGAGGCGCGCCGACACGGTGGTCTTCTGCCGGCGCGCGGCGGTTCTCGCCCTCTTGGCGGCCGTGTCGCCGGCCGGCGCGTCTCCCGGCCTCTTGCCGGCCATGGCGCGCGCGGCGAAGAGGACGCCAAGAGACGTCGCTTGGTTTCGCAGGCAGGCAACTGAACAAGAACGAGAACCAAACACACTGAAGAAGAAATGGTTAGAGACAGAGTGTGTCACAAACTCACAATTCACACCACCATTATAAACTCCATAATTACGTGTAAATAACTGGCGATAACTACCCCATTAACCCCACTACGCCCAGAATTATGCGGCGGTAAATTTGTTCGCCGGTTGCTGCATGCAAAACTACCACAAGGATTATCTATTAAAAAAAAAAAACTACCACAAGGATATCAATCAAACTGGAGTGGCTGCCAAAGAAAACAGGGTTGCCAGAACACCAGTTGCGTCTGTGATCACTGAATAGAAACAAGTGAAACAAATTGTGCTCATCATCACAGGTTCATAGCAGTTGGCCAATTCCAAATTAGTACTATCAAGCAAGCAATTTATATAGATATTAGCAGAATCAACATATGTTCATCCAACAAGAGTATGAAAATCTGGGACTGGCATATAAAACTCATCATCACAACTTCATATTACCACCAAGCAATCCCTGCAGCAGCATTGTATGTTTTTAGGCATCATATAAGAAGAAGGATCTGAAATCCAGTAGTAGCATATACTACAAGAAAGATTAAAGATGACATGAACAAAATTCACCTAAGAAGATAACCAAATTGGCCAAAGCCAAAATCACCTCCATCACAAAACATAAGGAGCAGATATAAATCCTTCCTAACTAAAATCCCTTGCTTATCATCAGTATCAGCAATGAAATGTGGGTAGAAAATAACTAGTAGAACCCTCCACTTGTATCATAATCTAAAAGCTCCTCCTCATCCTCATCGTACCAATCATCTTCTACATACCCGCCCTCCTCGACATCGTCGAACGCCTGACTGTTCCCCTCAAATGCTTCATACCCACCACCACCCTCATCGACAGTGACCGTGCCGGCTCCGGTGACAATGTCATCTTCCTCCAACTCCTCAAGCGTGGCCACTCCATTTCTGACAAACATTTCTTCAGTGCCAGCCATGTCGTAGTTCTCAACAGTCAGAATTCCAATGCTGCTGTGCTCGTTGTAGCTCTGAACAGTCAGAATTCCGATGCTGCCAGTGTTGCCATTGTAGTCATCGTCGTCGTCGATGTCGATGTTGAGAGCTCCCATCCCCAGGACGAAGTCTTCATAGCCATCCTCATCGTCCGACGAGAGCAGTCCATGGCCGACGAGCTCGAAGTCATCTGAAGAGAAGACATGGTCATCTGAAGCATAGCTTGATGAGTGGATCATGGAGAGGCCATCGTCGTCTTCCTCCTCAATGTCCGAGTCCGACGCGGCGACGCGTGGGCGCACGTTGTCCGTGATCTTGCTGCTGTACTCTGACTCTGACGCGTCGTCGTCCACGGCGGTTGCTACCAGCGCCCAGTGCGTCTGAGCAGCAGCGGGCTCGGCGCGCGCAACCGCACGGTACACCGGTGGCGCCACACGGGCGCGCACGGGAGCGTGGCGAGCGGGCCGTGGCGCGGGGGCGGCGAGCACGGCGACGCGCGGACCGAGAGGCAGAGGGTGGTGGTAGACGGGCGCGCGCGGAGCGGGCGGCGGCGGCGGCGGGGCGCGGAGGACGGGCTGGCGCGCGGGCGCGGGGCAGAGATGGACGGCGAGGCGGAAGGCGAGGTAGGCGTCGACGCAGGCGTACTCAACCTGTTCGATGGAAAGGTAGGGCGCGTGCCAGGCGCTCATGGAGACGTTCGTGGGCTTGGCGATGCCGGGGTAGCCGAGGAAGCGATCGGCCATGGCCTCCATGGAGGCGTTGCCCATGGCAGCCACGGCGCGCAGCTCGCGGGCGGACGCGACGTGGAGGTCGTAGTAGGCGGAGAGCATGCGGCGGTCGTTGGAGGCGCCGGAGCCGACGAAGGTGATGCGGGGGTCGGCGAGGAAGCGGCGGAGGGCGGCGGGGATGGCGTCGGCGTGGGCGAGGTGGAAGACGAGGCAGCGGTGGCCGACGCAGAGCTGGAGGGTGGCCGGTGGCGGGGGAGGGGAGCCGCGGTGGAGCGGGCGTCGGAGGGGGGTCCACTGGACGCCGAGGCCGACGAGGAGGCGGCCGGAGCGGAGGAGGCGGTGGTGGAGCCAGCGCGTGGTGTGGACCCAGCGGCGGGCGTAGGCCGGGTGGGCGGTGACGAGGGCGATGACGCGGCGGTCGGCGACGTGGACGGTGTAGGCGGCGTGGGTCTGGGTGGAGCGGCGGAGGCGGGTGGAGACGCGGGTGGCGGCGGCGTCCATGGCGGCGGCGGCGGGAGGAGGGGAGATGGGCGAGGGTTTTGGGTGTCGTCTTCTCCGCGTCTGCGTGGTTAAGTTGCGAAAACCTCGTGGTTAGGCGGTTTCGCTAACTCGCTTCATCATCACATACTTGGATATGAGATTTTTTGGTTCATTTTTGGCACGCTTTTAGATCCAAGATTCATTATGGATTTAGATTTAATAAAGTTTTACTATTTTTTTTCTCTAAATAGAGACAGCATGGTTCATCCAAAACTTATGAAAGTAATTTTAGATCTAGTTAAATTATCTTTGGATTTGGAAATATACCAAATAGATACATAAAATGATTTAAAAGATATTTATGCTACTCTTAATTAGAGATTGTTTGGTTATCCAGAATTAACGTGGAAGTCATTAATACATACTATCCATGAAGCATTGAGAATTTTACGATCTTCCTATTGGTATAATTGAGGATTTTGTGGTTTCACGCCTTGCTGGAATATAAGCTAGTGTCATATGAGACGTAAAGTCTTAATCATATCGGTATCGTATAAATAACTTAATTATCAAATAGATTATCATATTCTCTTATATTCAGTGACGGAGCTAGGTTTGGAGGAGAGGAGGGGCTCAGCCTTCTTCTTCCTCTTTCAGCCCCCCCCTCTCTCTCCCCCTATTTTCTTCATCCTCTCCCTCTTTCCCCCCCTCCCGCCCCCACGCTGGCTCCGCCGCTGCTTATATTAGGTCAAAATTTACCAAATAGACGCTAAAAATGATTTAAAAGATATTTACGCTACTAAATAGAGATTGTTTGGTTATCCAGATTTAAAGATATTTACGCTAATCCTAGGAAGCATGGTTCATAATATCGATAAACTATTTTTGGTTAATTTCGAATGAATTTTGACAAGTTTTAAATGAAATTCATTAACTCTCAATAATCGAGATGCACATTTCGAGTCGGATCAAGATGATAGTCGAGGTTGTGAAAGGTACACCCTAGAATGGAGCTAGTCATTAAAATAGGTTATCCACAAAGGTTGAGAATTTCCGAGACATGTTTGCAATTGAGGACTCATTGAGTCCTTTTCTCATACTCCGTATAATGGCCTTGTTCATACGTGGCTCTTATCCCGTAAGTCAGGTATAAATTCCCAGTTATCAGTTTCACCAGAAAGAAATTCAATTATCATTTGTCAATTAGATTACGGAATTTTCTTAGTATTAGCTCAATTTTTCAGTGTTCATGAAAATAATAAATCACGTTCTGATGTTCATGTCTATCAAAATACCGGGGAAGGCGCAAGGCTCATCGTACGAATGCTACGACAACATTTTACCAAAGCACATTGCGGCTTACAACTGTAATTAATCTGCTAGTCTTTTTTTTTTTGTTCTTTTCTTTTGAAAACTAGAGCACGTACACCGGTACACGTATGCACGACAATACAAGTGTATTCCCTTTTTTATACATCTTGACATTTTAGATAATAATGATATGGTGTCCAAAATCTATTTATGACTATGTTTTTAAATATATTTTTATTTTTGCTATAGTACTTTGTAAGACAAATCTATATAAATTGTTCTAGTTACTTTAAACTAAACATTTTTGAAAGGGAGTAGCTATATTTATGGCGCCATATTTTTCACTAAAAAATAGTCGGTATGCATTTACATTGTAAGTCCATAAATTACATATGTAATTTTAGTGTATTTACAATGTAAGTTTTAAAATTACATATGTAAGTCAAAAAATTACATATGTAATTTTAGTGTATTTACCATGTAAGTCTCAAATTACATATGTAAGTAGATATAAATAGAAGAGATGCTAGTGCAAATTCAATGGGAAACTAATGTATAATAGGAGCAACATGTTCGTAGTACAGAGAGATCAAATAACTAGAGACTTAGCAAATCAAACGTTCGTTAAGTCAAGCATTAACAGTGCAACACGAATCTACATGATATCCAAGGGTCAAATTAACCGACTGTGATCAAGCTAATTTTGTGTCGCCATAAATATAGCATTGTCCATTTTGAAATTATTGATAGTTATAAGAGTTTCACCCTATTTTTTAAAAAACATTGCTTTTTCACCGAAATTAAATGGAGCTAGCTGGTTAGCTGCGCCCTGAGTGTCATCTTCTGTATATGACGAAAAGGAGTCGGGCTTTTTATAAGGGGAACTGTTTTAATCCCTCGAGGGGATATCCTATCGTTCTTTGCATGTCACTTAAATGGTTATGAAAAAATTTGAAAAAAATTGGAAAGGTGTATTAACATTTGATATAACACTTTACAAACATGCAAGTTCAAATTCAACTTTACATCTCGTAACAAAAAAAAACAAATTGAACCGCAGCTAGTTAACGTATATTCAGAGTCAAATTTGTTTTTTTTCGTTGCAAGATGTAGAAGTAGAATTTTTACTTGCATGTTTGTGGAGTGATATATCACATATTAATACATCTTCTTAATTTTTTTTTAATTTTTTTCATAACCATTTAAGTGATATGCAAACAACGAGGGGATATCCCCTCGAGGGATTAAAATCCTCTTCCTTTTATAAGGCCTTTGTTTGTGGAGGCCTCGATCCTAGAAGGAAAAAGTACACCGAAGGTCTCTCAACTTGTCATCGAGTTACAAAATTGTCCTTCAACCGCAAAACCAGATATCGGACATCCCTCAATTAACAAAACCATTCGCTTGATGTCTTTCGGTGGTGTTGACCCCGGTTTTGTCCGACATGGCAGCTGAGTCAACAGCGGGACCCACGTGAGCCCCACATGTCATACTATCCACGTCATTCTTCTCTTTTCCCTTCTTCAGCAGGTAGGCAACGCCGACGGGGCCGAGACGGGTGGCAGTGCGAAGCTAAGCAGGGGGCGGGCGCCACCGGAGTTGGGCTGCGACGGGGCACCAACAGCAGCCGCCGCCGCCGCGCTCGCCTGCCACACGCTCGCCTGCTGCCACCGCGCTCGCCTGCCAGACGCTCGCCTGCTGCGCTCGCTGCCACACGGACGGCGATAGCAGGAGCGGCGAGTACGCCGCCGCGGCTAGCTTCTTGGCCCCGTCCCTCGGCGGCGGGATAGCCTTCACGATGAGCCAAGTCGGCGTCGGCGCCTTGATCTGGTGGCTGTGGTGGTGGTGAAGCGCCGCCATGGACATCAATCGATGGGGGCAAGGTCGACGGCGACGGAGGCGTTCTTGCGGAGGGAGCAGGCGAGGAGGAGCGGGTAGGAGGACAGGTCGTCGGTGGAGAGGCGGAGGACGAATTCGAGCTGCTCCTGGAGCACCTCGAGGGAGGAGGGGAGCTCGACGGCCTCGAGCTCGCCGGCGGGGTCGGAGGAAGTCGAGCGCGAGCACGCGGGAGACGAGCCACTCCTTCATCGATGGCATCTCGTACTCCGGCGGCGCCGCGGCCGCCTTCGAGGAGAGCGGCGCGACGGGGAGAGCGACGCCTCCGTCGCCCCCTATCGCCGTCGACCTCGCCCCCATCGTCAATGGGGAGGCGCGGGCGTCAACGGGCGGCGGGAAGGCGTGTGCGTCGTGGGTGGCGCGGGCGTCGACGGGGCGAGGTGGGAGACGATCTTTTTCTTCTCCCTGAAGGTTTGAGATCGATCTGCGACGAGGAGGAGCGAGGAATCGCCAACTTTCTTTTCGAGGAAATTGTAAGATCTCGCGCGACCTGTTCTTCTTGGTGTTCTGTCTTGTACTTGGTTTACTTGGTTTGTTTTGTGTTTGATCTATAGTCTTAGATGATCTGTGAAGAATAGTTGTTTTCGGTACAGATGGTAGGAAAGGTAGAGGAGGACGATGCTGCGATGGCCGGCGGTGCGGAAGCACGGCGGCATCCCGGTGGAGCTGCACGTGGCGCGGGCGTCGACGGGCGAGGCGGGAGAGGAGGAGGACGGCGGCGGCTGTTGGCAGGCGAGCACGGTGGAGGCGGCTGCTGTTGGCGCCCCGTCGCCGCCCAACTCCGGCGGCGCCCGCCCCCTGCTCAGCTTCGTGCCACCGCCCGTCTCGGCCCCGTCGGCGTCGCCTACCCGCTGAAGAAGAGAAAAGAGAAGAAAAGGGAAGAAATAGGAGATGACGTAGATAGTATGACATGTGAGGCCCACGTGATCCCACGCTAACTCAGCCGTCACATCGAATAAAATCAGGGTCAAAACCAACAAAGAACTTCAAGCGAACGCGAACGGTTTTGATAGTTGAGGAACGTCTGTATCTGGTTTTGTGGTTGTGGGATGGTTTTGTAACTCGATGACAAGTTGAGGGACCTTCGGTGTACTTTTTTCATCCTAGAATATCCACGTGACTAGGCTGGGCCACATCTATAAAGGGCCGTATTAGAGGCCCAACAAAACGAGGCCTAAAAGGGCTTCACAACTGAGGAAATAGGACCCATTTCTCATTCCGGCCCAATACATTCACAAGCTAACCGACGCAGGGATCCTACAACTGTCGGTTGGTAACCAGTAACAAAAATTACGGCTAGTTTACCATTAATTCAATTGCTGGTACTGGTAGAGCAGCAGTTGTTTGATCCCTGTCACTCACCGACTACATCCTCTTAAGCTTAAGCTTGGTTAAGTAAACCAAAATTAGTGTATAACACAAGCTAACCACCATTAATTAGAGTAATTAAACTAGGACTAATCAATAGGAGTAGTAGGTAGGTAAGTTTACACAAGGTGACAGAAGATGCCAAGCAAAATGAGCAGCTGTGAAGAGAGTGAAGACATGGAGTGGTGGAGAAGCAAAGTGTACAACCTCTTCTTTAACTGTAGCCTGCACATGGCCACATCACATGCTGCATCACTCACTCACTCACCCACTCTCTCCTCTTCTTTTCTTTTTCTTTTTTTTGCTGGCACCAACAATCACATGCACCTCAAAATAATAAAAATAAAAAAGGGGAAAATTACTCTTGCTGAACTCGTGTGAGCTTAAGAAATTACTGCTCCGATATAGAGGGGGGGGGGGGGGGTAAAAAATGTACTCTTCTTAATTCACACTTGCTACCTAATGGTAGATCTTTGCAACACAAACATCTCAAAATAATTTTCGATCGATCTCTAGGAGAAAGAAAATCCAACCGGCCGGACAATGCTAGAGAAATCAAGAACAAATGAACTTACAAATTACAAACCGAGCAAGAAAGGAGGCGAGCAGAGGTAGATCAGATCAGATCAGAATCAGAGCATCCTGAGGAAGATGATGGCGACGGCGAGGAGGGCGGCGTAGGAGGGGTTGGCGAGAGAGGAGGCGGCGGCGGAAGACTTGGACTTGGAAGAGGCGGTGTCGGACTTGGAGGAGGAGGAGGAGTCGCCGGAGCCAGAGGAGGAAGAAGATGCGGAGCCCTTCTTGGCGGTGACGGCGAGCTTCATGCCTTTGTAGCAGTAGCCATAGCTGCAGATGAAGTAGTAGTCCTTGGCCTCCTTGAGCTGGAACGCGTAGCTGTGCCCCTTGCTGTAGCTGCTAATGGCGTTCGCCTTGTCGCAGTTGTCGTACCCGACCTCGTCCACCTGCACCACGTCCGACCTCCCGTTCTGGTACTCGAACACTGCTTCCCACACCATTGCGTTGCGTCATCAATGGCGATCGATCGAGACAGATCAAGAAGAGAGAGATGAATCGATGGAGGTGCTTACGGAGCCAGTCGCCCTTGTAGAAGGGGCGGTGCTTCTTGACCCAGGCGGTGTAGTCCACGTCGGGGTTCCACCCCTTCTCGTCGCCCACCGTGTAGTTGGTCGCCACCGCCGCCGCCGGCAGCAGCGCCACCGCCACCACCAGCAACGGCAGCATCCGGTGGCACACCATCTCCAGTGGCAGATCGATCGATCTGAGCTCTGAGCTGAGCTTGCCTTGAAGACGAAGGGGACCTTGCCTCACCTCACTCTGCTCTGTCACTCTGGTTGTCTCTGCTCTGTGTTTGTCTGCAATGATAGCAGCTGTATGTATATATACCTCCATATCTCTTGATATCTCATCCTCAGCTTCAGTAAAAGACAGTAAACTTCACTGTCAAAGGTTGGATGCCCAGCTGCAGCTGGTAGATTTACAGCTTTGTTGTTGTTGTACATTTTGTACACATATGCAAACAGCCATACTCTGTCTCAAGAATATAATGTGATAAATTCACTGCCTTTTTTTCTATTAGGGGGTAATTAACTGAAGTTTGGTGATGATGTACAGTGAGACAAATGCACTGGCTTTATTAGGGGGCTATAAATTATCTTCAGTTTCATGATGCTGCTACTCATTTGTAACTGTATTAGTTACTCATTGCTGACTAAACTTGCGCAATTGAACTATGCACCTTTACAGTAGTATAAGCAGTGCTAGTGTGCAATTGAACTATACTCAAATCATCATTCTATGATTATCATATATGGATACTGAATAATTATGATATCAATGGAGCTAGCCAGGGAAAGTAGTAGCTGCCCAGCTGTATTATTTGAAGTGATTTAGAAGCAAAAGCCCTTTCTTATTCCTCACAAACATTCTTAGTCTACCAAAAGGATTCATAGTTCTCCCTATAAGAAAAGGCAAAATGCCAGCCGTGGTGGTTGCGAAAATATATATTGTCAACTTATGCATTCAAGATTGATAATATAGGCAAAACGACAACTGTTAGTTGATTGTGACAACACGATGATCATATGAAAATCCAATTCAGTGGAAAGCTTTCTGCAAAGTTGGCCTAATAAATACTATACTAGTTTTTTTTAGAACAAATGCTATACTAGTTTAGGTAGCTCTAATCATACAATAAACAGAAATGGTGAAAAGCTCAAACAGCTAGCTAGCTGCATATAAACAATATGTTCAACCATTTTCTATTGACAAAAATGAATTCTAGACCTTGTGCTAGCGTTTCGTATTTTCCAGTACAAAACATGAGTAAAAAACTAAGAACTTCCTCGCATTCCAGATTTTACTCTAACTGTTGTACTAGTAGCCCCATTTGGAGAACAAAGTTTAACTAAAAACTGTATGAAGCAATTAAACTCTCACACAATCAAATCAAGATAGATATACAATTGTAAAAAAAAACATATCTTTAACCTGGAAGTGAGGAGGAGATCCAAGGTCAATGAAAGAAGACAGGTAGGGAGGGCCATGTGAGGAGATGCCTCTCCATTTGCCCCTTTATTTCCGACAATGCCACTCAAGTTGATCAGTATCTTCTTCATGGCACCAGTAGCTGTGTACTCCATGAGTGTAATTAACTTTCTTCTTCTCTCCAACTGCTTCAGCTAACTTTCTTATTAATGAGCACCATTTTTCTGCTCTCATTATATCATGTGGTTTGCTTCTGTTACCTGCTGACCTGTGTTTGTGTGTGATCTACTATCTGCAGACTGCAGCTACCACTTGGGCTTGCTTTGTCACATGCAGTTTTACACCTTTTATTTCTCCTTAATACAAGGTAAGTGTTGGATCAGTAGCTTGCTCAATGCTCACTCATCCTGCCAAAGAGAGACTACAGACTTGTTCTGAACTGTAAAGTCTGTTGTTTGGATCCTCTGCATATTGTTCAGTCTTGTCCTTTTGCTTTACAGCCCTTTTGCAAATGCAGGAACCGTGTGATAAAACAGTAGTAGAAGTTTCATCAGGCTCATGGTTGAAGTAACAGTGAGGATGGAGCCAGGGCGAAGCCATGATTCTTCGAGTGCATGGCTAGAAAATAATAAAATGCATTTTTTTCATTTAGATATTCTTAGCTTAAAATCGCTTACTCTGCATTGGAAAATTCTGCTGCCACATGTAGTGTTACTCTGCATTAGCCAAAAAAAAAGAAGCAAAAGCAAAAATTAACAGGTGCCTCAAGATTTGTGTTAAGTGATATCACAGTAATGTTAACCTATCCAATGTAGTATTAGTTAGTCATATTCTAACTGGATGATTGGATTGATTATGGACAGATTTAAATTTGCTCGTATGGATGAATAAAGCAAGGGACGTGTGAAAATTGTACAAAATTTTGATGGGCCTGATCTGGGCCACTTTGGGCCTTGACACTCTAGGCGGACTAGTGCAACATATGCCCCGGCCCATTTACACCGCCCCGCGATAAAAACTGGGTGAGGGCGACCAAGAACCCTAGGCTGTCGCGGATCCATCCCATCCCATCTCTTCCTCGTCTCCCACTCCTCCGGTGAGCCTTGCCTCCCTTTTTCCTCGATTCAGTTCATCAGATCTTTCGGTAAATCCAATCGAGTTGATAGGGTTTGATGTCCTAATCTATCTATCTCTCTCTGTGCTGCTGCTGTTGTTGGGGGTGGCAGGATTCTTTCTGTTCTTGGTTGATTGCCGGAGATGTCGGATTCGGAGGAGCATCACTTCGAGTCCAAGGCCGACGCCGGCGCCTCCAAGACCTACCCACAGCAGGCCGGCACCATCCGGAAGAACGGATATATTGTCATTAAGAACCGCCCCTGCAAGGTTATACACCTCTGAATCTTGTTATTGGGATAAGACTTTTCAGGACTTGCATCTAACTGTACTGTAGTGTATGGCGACTTACATTTGTGTATGGCGACTTACATTTACTGTATTGTATTGTATTGTATGGTTGTGTTGAGTGTATGGCGACTTACATCTAACTGTATTGTATGGTTGCGTTGGGTTAATGGAATTTGTCATGGTTTATGTCTGCCGTTAGCAATTAATAATTGTAGATTTGGATGTGTTAAAGGTATTAGATCCACTACTCATAGCAAATGGACTCTCTGTTGTAGATGTGGATAGAACAATAGATGTACAATAATCTTTTCTTTTTTTTTATGAGACCCCATTTGCTCACATATTTCTCCTATGCCCATAAAAGTTGTCGTTGGTTGGTGATGTATGCCGTTCTTTAGCTGATGAAAAACCATCTGAATGGTCTCCTGTCTCGCGATATGCTGCACAATTAACTTAAGAATTGTTTTCAATAAATCTTTCTGAGGCATAGTCCTGCATATTTTTTTTATTGAAAATGCAATGCAGAGATAACTCTGTATGTTTGGAAAGAATTCTATTTTTCCTTAGGCTTTTTAATCGTAAAAATTATCATATCTATGGTTCTTGTTATAAGTTAATGATTCACTGATACATTAGTGTTGCTAAGTTTGAGCTATGCCCATGTAGTAGTGCCAGGTTATATACCAGCCAAGTGATCTCTTTCACTTTATAACCTCTGCCTTTACTCTGTCTTTTAGACGTTTTATGCAGTTTTGTCGATGTACTGATTTATTCTTGTTATGTACCAGAATTTGAATACGCTGGTATGGTTTTGCTTGTAATTTTCTGACTTGATTGATTACGTGTTGCCTACTGAGTTAAGGTTTATTTAATTTCGAATTGGACAGATGATGGCAAGAATGATATTTTCCCTTATTTGTACATCTTATGGACAAATAAACTGTCACTTTTTGACCCATCATTTTTTGACCCATCATTCCCTGCGCTTTTCTGCCATAAGAGAGCCATTCGTAGTATAACATGTATTATGGTGATAAGTTTGGTTTAATCTATATTATATATAGGTGGTTGAGGTCTCTACTTCCAAGACTGGGAAGCATGGTCACGCCAAATGCCACTTTGTTGGTATTGACATTTTCAATGGAAAGAAGCTTGAAGATATTGTCCCCTCATCCCACAACTGTGACGTAACATACATACAGATCATGCTCTACAGATCATCCCCTAATCCCACAACTGCTTGCTTTAACTATTTTGTTATCCATGTATCATGCAGGTTCCTCATGTTGATCGTACTGATTACCAGCTGATTGACATTTCGGAAGATGGATTTGTATGTTTGCTTTCAACCTTTCCCTTGCTTTATTTGTTTTTATGAAAAGCCTGTACAGTTTCTAACATGGTAATAAATTAAATGAATTTTACAGGTGAGCCTTTTGACTGAGAGCGGCAACACTAAGGATGACTTGAGGCTTCCCACTGATGATACTCTGACTAACCAGGTCAATGATTTAGCTAAAACTCTTTATCATCAATGTGTGTTATCTCTTCAACTACCATACTCTGACTAACCAGGTCAATGATTTAGCTAAAACTCTTTATCATCAATGTGTGTTATCTCTTCAACTTCCATTATATCTTAGTCGCTTTCATGTCTGAATCTCAGATCAAGAACAATGTGTGTTATCTCTTCAACTTCCATTATATCTTAGTCGCTTTCATGTCTGAATCTCAGATCAAGAACGGGTTTGGTGAAGAAGGCAAGGATATGATCTTGACTGTGATGTCCGCCATGGGTGAAGAACAGATCTGTGCCGTCAAGGAGATTGGGGCCAAAAACTAAGCGGCTTTGCTCGATTGCCTGCCTGCCTACGATACTTTGCTATCTTAGTGTTGAGAGCTGAGACACATAAATAGAAGTTTTTTTTATGCTACCTGTGGATGAAATGACGATCAAAACCTTCATCGATTTTATGTTACACTGGATGGTCATGAGATACTTGTTAATGCTTTTCATTATCAGTTTCAAGTATCCTTTGAATCGAGTGGCAGCTGTAATTCGTATAGTAAAAGTGGGAAATCCATTCTGCTATGAGATGTGCCATGGGAGCAGCCGTCCAAGCTCAATTCATCAAATTTTATGTTACACTGAAGATTAAACTGCAGCAGGTGGGGCAGCCCAAGCTCCTAAGGAAACATTCTTGCTATCATATTCTGGTTTTCTTCTCATAGAGAATTCTAGCTTTGATCTACCATCAGCAAGTGTGTATTAAGAAGAGTACATAGAGATAAAAAGAAAGGCAACAACATAGATGTGAAATAAGAACATGAGGAGAGTACATAACAGGGGAAAACAATATACCATCCTGAAAATACTATGCATCTATACAATCCTACGGTGAACAACTAGCCACTAAATAAAAGGTGTTGACAGCAAAAAAAAAAAAAAAACCATAATCCAGATGCTAAAATTACTCCAGCTGCGTTCATCACTGTTAAAGAGCCACTGATTTTGATTCTAAAACAAAGTTAATTACGCCTGCTTGAAAGCGTGTGCGTTGGATATGACTTCTTAAGAGAGAATTTCCTGCACATAATTTCATGCAACATTACGCCTGTTTGAAAGCGTGTGAGTTGGATATGACTTCTTAAGAGAGAATTTCCTGCACATAATTTCAAGGTTTAATCCGATGAATGATTAGGTAGAAAAAGAAAGCAACATTAGTAAACTCCTGTACCCTGTCTTCTCCATCAAAGGTGACGACCCTGAACGGGTTCCATCCTGAATTACTGATTTCAGCTTTCCCGTTTGATCAGAGAAGTGCAGAAACAACGTCATCTTCTTCAGATAGTGTTTGGTTGCAGGCATTGGCGAATGCTTTGGGATCAAGCTCTCCCATCCTCTTGATGCCAATGCTGGCTCGATCACTTGTTAACTAACTCCTTCAAAAGCCTGCACTTACAATAGATATTGATGTTGATCATCAGACAAAGAAATCAAGAAAGGAAATTCGATGAATTGAGTTACATGTACGAGTTGTTTCCGGACGGCCTGCAACTTGTAATTGCTTGTTCGTTCATTGATGAGCAATTGAGCAGAGCTTGGTTTGAGCGACTCCATTGCTCACACATCAAGTGATTGATACTCCTTAGATAGCAAAGCTCAAGATAATTGACTTTCTTTTCCTCCGGACGCGTAAAAGTAGCACATCAATATATTAGGATAATTGACTTTCTTCATGCTTAACTAAATCTATTTCTTCACGATTGTGTGAGTTCGCAAGATATGTATTTTTTTCTTCATGGTCCTGTATCGAGTCTATGTTTTATGTCTATCAAACATATGTGACCAAGTAGATTTATAGTTGTAAATCTATTTTAGAACGGAGCTAGTACTCGAGGAGTATAGGCAGAGTCCTCATCAGTTGTTAGATGGTGATCGATCTCCCCATGAAAAAAAAAAACTACAACTAATTAGACTCCAAACCCGTGTACTCCATGCTGATGGGAGTATAACTTAATAATAATAATAATAATTACGAATTTTCAAAATATCAAATCATGAAAATATCTCATAATAATGTTTTTCCTTAAGTATCAAACGATACTGTAAGCAACAAATTGCAGCACACACACACGTCCATGGGAGCTCAACGCTTCCTCGTGTGTCCTCCACTGCTTAACGACGAACTGGATGGCTTCCTCCAATGTCGCCTTGCGCTTCTCCTTGTAGTTCCACAGCTCCGGGACCGGGCATCGTTCACTGGGATTGTACTCCTTCATCTCACGCAGTGCCGTTGCTACCAACCTGTAAACTTCTTCACCGTGTTCTTCTTTCAACTCCCTGAGCTTGCCATCATCCCCACAGAGAATTTCCTACATTGGAGGATGCAGATCACATACACAACCGTTAATCCTAATCTACACAATGAAATTGGTACTGTATGTGCTGGTTCGTTAAAAAAAAGAAGGTAATTTTACCATCCTTGAAAAGATACTTAGAGGTACCACACTTTATAGACTAAAATTTGATACCTCCAGGTAAGGTTGGAAATTTCGGTCATTTTGGACCCCTCCAATACGATATTATTTCAGCCGAAATTTTTCAATTTTTTTATTTTTTTTCATGAATTTTGGTAATATTTGTTCAAATTCAACTAAATTTTGTTCAAAATTTCGGACCCAAATCGGCTAAACCAAAAAGTTTAACCTTGCCTCCAGGTACTAAGTACCTCGAGTTACAAAAAAAAATTAATATAAAATTTAAGTATTTTGAGATACTTTTATAAGGACCATAAAATTTCTCTTGAAAAAAAACATACACAATCGTTGGTACTATGAGCTTGCTGCCATTCTCAGAGAGAATTTCCTACATTGAAGGATGCAGATCACATACACAACTATTGGTACTACATTTTCATCATCCATTTGTCATCAAGATATGGCATGAATCAAACTGATTGATCATCGTCTATATGAATACTGACTCCTGTTTGCTGCGCTCACAGCGTTTCGGGGGTGGCGTGCTCGCTTCCGGCGCTATCCACGTCGACGCGGAGCGTTAGAGCGGCTGGTTTTGCTGCGTCTCTGTTCGCCTCTTTCTAGCCGTTGGATCGTGGATGGACGGCGCCTATTTGATGTGGCGTTTGGCCCTTCCTTTTAACCATGTTGATGGGCTTGCAAACAGGAGATCGACACGTTAGTCTACGCACCTATGCGTGCCTATGCGTGTGTTCGTTTCTTTCTGGCCGTTGGATCGCGGATGGGCCGTGCTTATTTGATGTGGCGTTTGGGCCTTGGTTTAACCGTGTTGAGGCGTTTGCGAACAGGAGATCGACACGTTGGTCTACGTGCCTATGCGTGTGTTCATGCGTGGACATCTCCTATGGTCCATAACTCTATGCCAATGTGGCTCTAACTGAATGGGTCCAGTGCACTCGGTGCTGGCTGTTTTGGCCAATCGGTGTTGTGTGTCAGGGCGGACATGCATGCGAGGTTGGAGCAGTGGAGTGTCAGGGCAGACATGCATGCGAGGTTGGAGCAGTGGACCAGTAGAGATGGCTTTTGTGAGCATGGTGCACATGATCTGTGTCAATGGCAGGCGGGCCCTCACCACAGTTCTTTGTGGGCCGCCATCGTGCGCTCTTCCTGCCGTAATGGTAGTGGAGATACGGGATCCTAGGGTAAAACTTGTGTATGGGATGTGTCCATGGACCAGTGTGCTTGCTACGGGCACTGGGATGTGGGGCTTGGCCAATGTGTCTGTGGTGCGCCGGGAGTTTTCTCGAGCCGCGTGTGCTCCTGCTATGTACGACGGAACGTGGCACGGTCAGTGTGTGGTTTGTTGCGTGCACTCGGGTGCACTCGGTTCACGGATATTGGCTCGCTGCTGGGTGGGCCATACAGCTGGTTGGATAGCGCTTGTGGTGTGGGCAGGGTTTACACAGATACGGGTCGAGGTACAGGCTGAACTGTTCATGTTTCACGCCGGTGAAAGAGGAACACTTTCCCTATGCTTGCTGCAAGGTTTTCTGCTCCCTCGCCTTCTGCTCCTCGGCATTCGCTGTTCCTCTTCTCCTTCGGTGTGTTCGTCGATGTGCTTTGCTGAGCGATAATGGCGAACGCGAGGTTTGTACGGATGAATTACTTACCGATGGTTTGCTTGGGTGTTGCCATAGATCCTGAGCGAATTGCATGTATTTTGTAGGTGATTTGAGAAGGGCTTTGCTGCTGTGATTGGTTGTTCTTGGTTTACTTCACCCTGTTGCTTCGGTGGACTTTCTGGTGATCTAATCTAGTATAATAGATCTGGCAAAAGAGAGGTATTTGCTGTCGCTAGCATTTTGCAGGAACTTATTTTCCTTTTTTGGGGTTGCCTCTTGCAGTTCATCTAGCTGTTTGGTCTTGCTGGTGGTGGTGGGTGAGTGTTGGGTGCGCAGGCTCTGGGGTAAGAAAAGTTTCTCTTTGCATTTTATCTGTTTGGTCATTTTCTTTGCATGTGGTTTGGTTTTCTTGTGTTGGCTGTTGTTGTGTGTGTGCTGTCGTTTTCTTACGTGGAGTCACGTGACTGGGCCGTGCCACTTTTTTTTATTTTGGCTTGGTATGCACTTTGTTTGGTGGCTGTATACTACTACACTGTATTATATTATCCTGAGTATTTATTCATATAGATACCCTACGGTAGTGTGTCTGTCCATCGTTGGACACATAAGAGCAGAGTGGTAGGTCGAGTGTCTTCTTTCCTTGAATGCTTGGCTCTGGCCTTTCCCCTTATTAAAATCTTCTAGCCGTTGAACTTGGGATGTGCTTTTCTGTAGTCTCTTCTCTGGACAAACTGTTCTCCTCCACTTGCCTATCTTATCCTCTCTTATTTTTTTTCCTTCTCCCATTGGCAGTGGTGTAGCCGCGATGTTCGCCGTGGGAGTATCTCATGTCTCGCTGCTGAATGCCGCTGCTCAGCATTGCATGATACCTAGCATTGCGTACCTGTGGGAGTTTAGCTCCGATGGTACGTTGTTGGCTGGTATTGAAGTCAGTCTCCCGTCGATTGGTTGTGCCAGTCATCTGGACACTATGTTCTTTTGGGAGACGGCCTTAGCTCCACTTCAGAGCGCACATGAAATGGTTGCTGCAAGAGCACTGAGGTGTCTCCAACATCGTTATGGTTTTGTAGTGCATGACTACAATTTTAACTCTATGCTAGCTTACAGACGGCTGGCACGTGATGCTGTGCAGGCTGCATTGTCTGCTTCTGGTTGTGTGGCACATTTCAGATCTTCTTATGGTGCATTTGTTCCTTGGTGTGATGATGTTCTTAGGACATGTAGCTCACTGTATTTTAGTTTTTTCGTAGAAGACATGGAACAAATGGGTTCTTTTGAAATATAGGTGTTTAGAAGTTCCTATCTGGTTTTAGACTGTGTTTGTATTGCTCTTGGCTATTCGGAATTGGCAGTTTGTATTGTCAGCTTTTCATGTATTGTCAGTAAAATGATGTTTGTGTTGCTGATCTGTGCTGATTGTATAGGCATGTTATACTGATGTTGAAAAGGCCATGCGATAGAGTATCCAGAGCACGTGCGAGCCGTGAAAGGCATAAAGCGCGTGCTTTGACATAGGAAATATGCATGAGGAGCGCCCTGGCTTTGCCAGGTGGGACCAAAAGAGCTCGCTCTCTTATGGATTTTAGCCCTGCATTGGCAGCTTCTAATAGACAACGACGCCGTCTGCTTCGAATAGGAAATTCTTCCTTTCTTTCGGGTGAGGGATGGCACAAATCGTATATTAATCTATGTCACACTAGGTGCCTTGCTTAAAACTAATATCTGATTCACTGCAGCTAATGTTGAGCTTGATAGAGGTAGTTCTTCACGCTCTCACAAGGATCATGTTGAGGCTTTAAAGGGTTTGTGTTTATTTAGATCCCCTATAATTGCGACGGCTGGTTTAGCAATGTTATGTTAGAAGTTTATTGATTGATGATCTTGCAGCATCGTACCCGGGGAGGTCGTACTATGGTGCACCGACGTACGAGTGTTTGTACTGTGGTGCTGTGTTTTGGTTCTAGGAGAGGGTTAAAAGTCTTTCTGCTATTTCAAAACGAAAAATAGTTTACAATTTGTGCTGCAAAAGTGGTAAAATAGAGTTGCCGAAACTACGTGAACCTCCAGAACCTCTTAAACCATTGTTGAAATTTAATGGAGATGCACGTTCAAAGAGATTTCTTAGGCAGGTGCGATCTTACAACTCTATGTTTGCTTTCACCTCTATGGGTGCAACTGTCGATAGAACGATAAACAATGGAAGTGCACCTTATGTTTTTAAAATTAATGGTGTTGTTCATCACAAAATAGGTAGCCTGCTACCAGCGCAAGGGAGAAGGCCTCAATTTGCACAGCTCTACATCTACGATCCAGAAAATGAGATACAAAATCGAATAAATATATTTGAAAATGATGGCAGCAATAGTGACAAGGCTGATCCTGCTATAGTTGATGCTCTGTGCACTATGTTAGATTCGCATAACACTCTTGTGCAGAAATTTCGTTATGCTAGAGAATGCTTGAACGAGCATGGGAATCAGCATTTGACGTTACGGCTGATGGGGTGCAATGCAAAATCTGATGTGCAATATAATTTACCAACTAGCGGTGAACTAGCAGCGATTATAGTGGGCGATTACTCAGTAGCTGAGTATAGTTATGATATACTTGTCCAGGAAAAAGATGATGGTTTGCGACGTGTGTCCTCTTTGCACCCATGGTATATGGCTTTACAGTATCCGTTACTTTTTCCTTATGGCGAACGAGGATTTCACCTTGGTATTGCATACAATGATTATGATGGAATTGGAAGAAAGTATGTTACCATGCTTGAGTTTTTTCGATGTATGATCCACTATAGGCTGAATGAACCTAACCCATTTACTTGCTATGGTCGTCTTAGTGATCAGGCTGTTGTTGATGCATACTCAAGTATTGAGAGCAGTAGATTAAAATTTATAGCTGATAATCAGGCTGATATAAGATCTGAATGTGTGCAAGGTATAGTTGATGCTATTGATCGAGGCATAACAAGCGGTGATTCTGTAGGCAAACGAGTTATCCTTCCTGCTAGCTTTACTGGTGGTAGGAGGTATATGGTTATGAATTATCAAGATGCAATGGCAATATGTCGTGTTTATGGATCACCTGATTTATTTGTCACGTTTACATGCAATTCAAAGTGCCAAGAAATAGCTGAATCAATACGATTTGAGGATGGCCAGCAACCATCTGATAGAGTTGACATGATTGTTAGGGTCTTTAATATGAAGGTGCATGATTTTATTACTGACATCAGGGAAGGTAGAACATTTGGGTCTGTGCTTGCAGGTAAGAAGTTGTCTACTGTGGTTTGCTAGGTTATAGGCTATGATGGTGTTGTCCTGACTTTTTTTTCTCTGTTTTAGTTCTCTACACTGTTGAGTTCCAAAAACGTGGCTTACCACACATACACTGTTTGGTATGGCTTGCTGCTAGCAGTGCTCAGGTATCAGCATCTATCATAGATGGATTTATCTCAGCTGAGATACCTGACTTTGAAACCGATGAATTATGTTATGAGTTGGTAAGCGAGTTCATGATGCATGGTCCTTGTGGTAATGATAACAAAAAACTGTCCTTGCATGAAAGATGGCAAATGTTCAAAACATTACCCTAAAGATTTTTAGGATGAAACATTTGTTGATGAGTGCGGTTTTACGGTTTATAGGCGAAGAAACGATGGGCGATATGTCATGAAAAATGGTGTGCGTTTAGACAACAGATCAGTTGTTCCATATAACATCAATTTGCTTAAAACATATCAGGCACATATAAATGTTGAGTGGTGCAATAAATCTAACATGATTAAGTATCTTTTTAAATATGTAATGAAAGGTCATGATCGATCAAAAATTTATTTTGAGACCACTGCTCAAACAGGAAATATTTCACCTAACCATGACTTGGCCCCTCCAGATGAGATTCTAGAGTACATGGATGCTAGATTTCTTTCCACTTGTGAGGCACTGCACAGAATATATGAGTTTGACATACATTACAGAGTTCCACCTGTAGAAAGGTTAGCTGTCCATTTGCCTGGTATGAATTATGTTCGATATGAGAAAGGATCAGATCTGAGAGCGTTGATTAATAGCCCTGCTGCTAAACGTACAATGTTAACAGAATGGTTTGAAGCAAATGCAAAGTATGAGGAAGCACGCACCTTGACATATTGTGATTTTCCAAAACAATGGACATGGGATTCGTCGTCTAGATGTTGGCGCCCGAGAACACCGGCTCCTAAGATAGGAAGGATGTATTATGTACATCCGACGGTTGGTGAACTATACTACTTGCGAATGTTATTGATGATTGTCAAAGGTGCCCAGAGCTATCCTGATATACGAACATACAATGGTGTTATATATGAAACATATAGAGAAGCCTGTGAGGCGCGAGGCATCCTTGAGGGGGATAACGAGTGGCACCTTCTTTTTGATGAGGCAATCCAAAGTGCATCTTCGTATCAGCTTAGGCAATTGTTTGTTACTGTTGTGCTTTATTGCTCTGTTGGTGATGTGCGTGCTTTATTTGATAAATATTGGTTGTATATGATAGACGACATACACCGTAGGCTAAAAAAGGCTCTTGATAATCCGCACTGTATTGTTTCGCATGAACATTTGCTTACTTTATTGTTACATGAGCTTACTAATGTTTTTGGAAAAAGTGGTGGCAACATAAAAGACTACAACCTACCCCAGCCAACTTTTTCTCTACAAGTTGCTTTTGGTAATAGGTTGATTGAAGAAGAACTTGCAACTGATCCATTAATGATGTCTATGCATGCAGATTCTTTGATTGCGCAACTTAATGCTGACCAAAAAACAATCTTTGACAGAATTGTAGGGTCTGTTGTAGCTAACCAGCCAGGATTTTTCTTTGTGTGTGGTCATGGTGGTATTGGGAAAACATTTATGTGGAATGCTATAATTGCAAAAATAAGATCTTCAAACAAAATTGTTCTTGCTGTGGCCTCCTCAGGTGTTGCTTCTCTGCTTTTACCTAAAGGAAGAACTGCTCACTCGCGTTTTAAAATACCCATAGATATAAATGAGACAAGCCTTTGCAATGTAAAAAGAGGAACAATGCTTGCTGAGTTGCTTGAAAATACTTCACTTATTATTTGGGATGAAGCTCCGATGACACATAGACGTTGCTTTGAGGCATTAGATCGCACGTTGCGTGATATCCTGTCTGAAATAACCCCTTCAAATGCTATTATTCCTTTTGGTGGTAAAACTGTTGTGCTAGGCGGTGACTTTAGACAAATTCTACCTGCTGTGCCCGAGGGTTCACGGTCTGCGATTGTTGATGCTTTGATAACAAACTCAAAGCTTTGGAAACATGTTGTTATGCTTAGGCTGAATGTAAATATGCGGTTGCTTAACCCATCACTTCCAAGTATGCAAAGAGAAGAGCTTAGTGATTTTAGTAAATGGGTCTTGGCTGTTGGTGACGGCTCTTTACCAGCGACGAAAAGAGATGGTGAGAGCCAGCCTTCATAGATAACAATACCTGATGATTTACTCATCATGACAGATGGCGATAAAATAGCTACTGTTGTTAGCGAAGTGTACCATGATTTCTTGGCGTGTTACAAAAATCCCGAATATTTGGCCTCGCGTGCAATTGTATGTCCTAGCAATTCAGTTGTCGATGAAATTAACAATTATGTTGTGAGTTTAATTCCAGGAGATGAAAAGGAGTATCTTAGCTGTGATACAATCTCAAAATGTTCTGAGCAAATCCCAGATTTTGACCTTTTATATCCAACTGAACTTCTAAACTCAATTGATACAAATAATTTCCCCACGCATAGACTTGTGCTTAAGGAGGGTGTCACAGTAATGCTTCTTCAGAATCTTAATCAGTCAATGTGTCTATGTAACGGGACAAGGTTATTAGTCGTTGGGCTTGGGCAGCGTATCTTGCACTGTGTCATATTAACTGGCTCTAACATTGGTGAAACTGTGTGCATTCCTAAAATTTCTCTTAGCACTGCAAAATTGAAATGGCCATTTACATTGCAAAGGCGACAATTTCCTATTCGAGTTTGCTATTCAATGACTATCAATAAAAGTCAAGGTCAGACATTACAGAGAGTTGGTGTGTATCTTAAGAAACCTGTTTTTACTCATGGTCAGTTATATGTTGCCTTCTCAAGGGCAACTTCTCGATCAGGCTTACGAATATTGATTGAAAATGATGATGGCTCATGCGGATCAGAAACAAAAAACGTAGTTTACCATGAAATTCTGGATGCTACGTTAGAAGCGGTAATATGTTGCGTCTTTCTTAACTTCTGCAAATCCCCTTCATTGATATGCTTGACTTTTTAACAGTACACCAACAAATTTTCAGGCTCATCTGCCGCTGCACTGATATCTAAGTAATCATGTATGCGCATACATTGCGCCTTTTTGGAGTATTTTTTTGGGCATAATAGTAATGGCCATTTTAAGAGTAGCTTGTTTTTGGTACTTGCAGTTGCCATTGTGGTATTCTTTTGCTCTTATAGTGGTAAGTGTTTTTCTGATTTTGTTAACGTGTTGTCTGTTCTTTTTTTTTTTTGCATTTGTTTTTGTTACATTCATCTCTTAACTTGCTTTCTAGGTCTTTACCATTACAGTTCTAACATATGTATGGCAGTGCAGATTACCATGGGTGATACTTCAATTGATAAGCTTTTTGAAGGGGATGACAACTCCCGTCTTCTTGCCCGGGTATCTAGGCTCTGGGAATTCACTGATTGCAAGGATGCTACCAAAATTTATCACATCGATCTTGTACTTGTTGATGAGAAGGTAAGATTTGGTAACAGCCCTGCAGACCTATATATTGTCATGGATATAATTATGTAGACTTGCTTATTTCCATGCTCTGTACTGTGCAGGGTGGCAGCATTCATGCACAGATATTCCCTCCACTTCTCCAGGTGTTCAAGCCTTTGCTGACAGAAGGAAAGGTTTATTATTTGGATTCATATCGTGTGAAAACATCCAACAAAAGCTATAGGCCAGTGGCCAATCCACTAATGATGACTTTCACTAAGTGGACATCTGTTGAGCAATGCCTTGATGTGCCTTTCAATTTCCCTACTGTTGTATACACTCTGACTCCTTTGAACGAGGTGTCAAACTTTGTGGACAAGAATGAGTCCTTTGTTGGTAAGACCTCCTGGGGTTATTTGTTTTATTAGCTATTTAGACTAATCAACTTAGATTGTGTTAATATGTTATATCCTTGTGTAGATGTCATCGGGTTCATTACTGAAATATCTACACCTACGATGCTACGTCCTAAGTCAAGGGATGCTAGCAGCTTGAAAAGGATAATTCAGATATGTGATGCAAAGTAATGTTTCCTATATAGCTCAATTCTTAGTTCATGTTTACTTAATTTTGTTAACTACTAATGTCTAACGAAAAAAGTTATCAAACAAGGCTAACATCCACTCTAATAAAGTTTACCTATCTTCTTAACATATCTGCCACATTATCTCCTTCTATCTTTTACACAAATAGCAATTCTACCTTGAATGTATCTCTGTGGGCTGAACAAGCACTGGCATTTGATGCTGAGAGTATACACAAAGCTGGACAAAGTGAGCCTCAAATTGTTCTGTTTGTTGGGACCCTTGCAAAGAACTATCCTGGCATAGGTAAAAAATATAACTACAGATGTATCTTTGCTTATGTAGAGCACTGCAACTAACTATTTTAACAATACAGGGTTAGCTCTGTCGAGAGGCTCTGCATGCAAGTGGTACATTAACATAAATGTACCTGAGATGGTTGATCTAAAGAATAGGTTGGTACTAGATACTAAATGTACTATAACCATCTATATGGTCAAATTTATTTAAATGTTCTCTGATACATGCATTCTATTTTTTTCAGGATTGGAGCAAACTTCCAGCCAATCAAACTGCTTCAGGCACCAACCACAAACATTGCTGATGAAAATGCTGATGACAAAACTGTGAGAGAACTCTTGGACATGAATCCTCATAAAAACAGGGTAAGTGTAACTGCTTCAGGCACCAGCCACAAACATTGCTGATGAAAATGCTGATGACAAAACTGTGAGAGAACTCTTGGACATGAATCCTCATAAAAACAGGGTAAGTGTTCATTTGACGGTCCTAGAGAGCATTTGTTACATCTCACTACCTTCTCCTATTCTCAGTATTTTGGTTATTGTAACAGAGGACTCGATTTCAAGCAAATGTGACTATTCGGAAAATATGCAATGATAGCTCTTGGTGGTACAATTCATGCGAAAAGTGTCTTAGGGTTGTCAAACCATTTGGTTACACCTACAAGTGCACTGGTTGCTACAATATTGCAATGGCAGTACCAAGGTAATAGATCCTTAATTTTTGTTTTATCACTGTAACTACTTGTCACCCTGTTTACCTAAGCGAGATCATAATGTATAGGTACAAGTTATCGGTCTTAGCTGGGGACGATACTGCGGATGCTGTGTTTATTCTCTTTGGGAAAATAGCTCAGCGCATTGTGCGAAAGCCAGTTGAGCTTCTTGTCGAGCAGACACCCAGGGAGAGCAAATTTATCCTTGATGCAATAACAGCTCTGCTTGAGATATCATTTACATGGAATGTCAGCTTCACAGAGAATACACTTAGGACTGGGGATGTATCATTCCAGGTTAACAGTGTGATTTCCATGAGTGTTCTTGGGGAACCTCTTATGCTAATGTCCCCAGGACCAGCAGATTCTCCTGGTTCTTCAGCTATCATGTCACCTGGACCAAGCACTTCCATCATGTCACCCACAAGAACATCTGAGATTGCCATTTCCTCACCTCCATTAGCTACAATAGCTTCTCCAGTGACCAGGCGTGCAGCACCTCAAACACCAACTAGCATACTTTCTTTGGCTACCACAGAGCAAGCAAGTCATGTTGATCCACTGTCTCCACCCATGACTCAAGCAGTGGCCTCTGAGAGTACAGAAATGGTACTGCTTTCCATGCTTACAAATGTTTGCTCTAAACTATAAGAATATGTACATATCACAGTAAGAAGCTAACACTTTACTTGCAGAAACAGAAGGCTATTATTATTTCTGATGACATCACGCTGCCACTGGCTGCATCTATTCCAAACAGCTCAACCAAGAAAAGGTACATTCTTTAGACCCATTCAGATGCTATTTCATTGTTTTCATCGCTTCTTTGCTCAAACTACTTGTGTTGCTCGATAGAACCCGCCCACTTCAGGCTTCACCAACAGCTAAAAAACTGTTCACTGATGATGGTGCTCAGGAAAAGGAGGTTACTGACAGGTATTTCATGTTGAACTGCCATATCTACAGATACATATTATATGTTATATATAAATTAAATGTTTACTCAAGCATTTCTTGTTGTTGCAGCCTGTCAGATACCGCTTGATCATATGCTCATCTGGCTGAAGTATTTTGGGCATTGACTTATGGAATCTTCATGGGCATGAGAAAGGAACAATAGCATGCTCACATGTCTAGATCTTTTGCTCCAGACTTTACTCCAGACTTTAGACTTTTATCTCTTATTAATTAGTACCAAGTGAAAATGTACTGCGATTTCTTTTGGACAACTACCTCTATGTATAAGTGCACCTATTATTATTATGCCAGCTATCATCCCACCACATGCTCAGGGTCCATTACTATTGCATCTGCGATAGCATGGCAATGAACTCTGAACAGTTGGCTCGGGCAAAGCTACATGGCACTAAACCATGTTAAGACTCATCGTTGTTTCTCTTATGTTGCTACCTTGCTATCAAAATTGAGCATATGCTCCATGGTTATATACTATTGTGTGACTATATGCTCCATGGTTATATGCTCTATGGTTATATACGATAGGGCGCGCGAAGCGCGCTTGATGTCTAGTGTAAAAGAAAGAGCTAAACTGAAATAGGAGTACCTTGTTTTTTCCATTGATGTTGATGACCCTGAAAGGGTGCCAGGATGAGTCGCTGATTTCAGCTTCCCACTTTGAATAGAGAAGCGCAGAATCAAGCTGTTTTTTAGTCAGTGTTTGTGTGCAAGCATTAGCAAATGCTTTTGGATCAAGCTCACCCATCCTCCTGATGCCAATGCTTGCGCGGCCACTTGTCAGCTCCTCCAAAGCCTGCACCCAAGATCAATTTGACCGAATAAATACAAAGAAAATTGATACAAGTTGGTCAAAAAATAAATGAAAATATAATTTAGGGCTCAGTCTTTCGTTTTCGGCATTTGTATTGGGGGTGCCGATATGGCAAAATTTCTTACGGAAATTTCGGTCTGAAATTATTTGAACTTTTGAACAAATATTGCCAATTCACAAAAAGTACAATCAAAATTTAAAATCGGCCAAAATAATATCACAATGGGGTCGATAGAACCGAAATTTCCGAAATTCGTTCCGGAATTTCGAAGCAACTTACATGTATGAGCTGTTTGCGGATGGCCTGCAACTCATCGTTGATCGCCGGAGCCTGGTTGAGCGACTCCATTGCCGGCATTTCATCGGTCATCTTGCTCTTGGTGTCGTCGTCGTCGTCTTGGTTGAGCTTCTTCGACGTCGCGGCGATCCCCTGCATCTTCTTGCTCACCGCCGGCGGCGGCGGCGGCGCAAAGAGATCCGGGTTCTGCGCCCAGATGAGCCTCTGCCAGTAAGCGCCGTTGCGGCACGCGTCCGTACGCCGCCATCTCGCCATCTCCCTCATCTCGTTCTCCGCGAGCTCACAGAGGAGGGTGGCCCAGTCGACCCAGTGCGCCTCGCCGCGCCTCACCCTCTCCGCGGCGCGGTCCACCTCCCGGACGAGCCGGTCCGCCGTGTCCAGCTTCACCTGCGGCTCGACGTACGCCGCCATGAACGCGCCGCGGCGGAGGCGGCTGCGGCGGCGTCGAGGTCGGCGGCCGCGCGGATGTCGGGGCGCGTGCGCGGGAGGGCGAGCGCCTCGGCGAAGGCGACGCGGGAGACGACGATGCTCCCGCCGCGGACCTCGCTCCGCTTGGTCAGCGCGTTGTAGTTGGCGACGAGCTCGGCGACGAGGTCGGGGCGTGGGGAGGCGAGGTCGAGACGGACGAAGTCGAGGAGGCCGAGGGCGCGGAGGCCGGCGTCGTGGGTGGCGGACGGCGGAGCCGGCGGGTCGAGGAGGCGGAGCGGGGGAGGTGCGGGAGCCGCCGCTTGGTCCGAGCCCCGCCGACGCATTCCGCCGTTTGGCCGAGTACGGGGAGGAGGCGAGATTGACATTGGCGGCGGCGGCGGCCGGCGAGTGGTCACGATCAAAGCGAATGAAGAAGACGACCGACGAAATGGAATCAAAGGCGCGATTCTTATTCAGGTTCAAAAATCAAAGGCACGATTTTTTAGGGATATTTTGGTTCACTGCCATATCTAAAAATTCGTAAGCGCTAAAATGCAGGCAACTTTTGCGAAGGACTCGCCTTGAACATCTTTGGTTTCTTACCAAATGGATTCAAATCAGGGAAAGTGCATTCCTCCGTCGAGCAGATATCTTCTCGTTTTATGTATATTATCTAAATAGTCAAAAAAAATTAAAATAAAATAACAGTATAGATTAATATAAAATATATCACTCTATAAACATGTGTAAGTTAAAATTCAACTTATATAAGTTATAAAAAAATAACAAATATAACTGTAGATAAATATTTGTGAAGTGATATATTTTATATTAATCTATGTTATTATTCTTTTTAAATTTTTTATAACGGTTTAAATGACATGCAAGTGATGAGAGGACAAATTGTGATACAGTGTTAGTAATCGGTAGCCGGAAAGTCGCCAGGCATTTGACTTCAATCCAGACAACTCAAGAATACTTTCGAGTTACCGAGCCCTGCTATTATTTTTTTGGCAAGAAATATAATTGATATCAATACAAAACACTGTCAAGAAGTACAGGTGTATTTTTTTTGCCTTTTTATTTATTTGTCGATTAAAGTTGAACATTAAAAACAACGGCAAAAAAAAGTACTCCAAGGCCCAAGCAAATTGTTGCACAAATATAAGCAACTAATAATGCAAAACAGTTTAATAATTTATCTCTCCATTCAAACAACACCACAAATAAAAAAAAAGTCAATCTACTAAAATCTTGAAACTCGTGCACAAACTTGGGTTAAAAAATTATATTAAGATAAATTAATTATTAACCTCATACGTCTGGAATGATATTTACGAATTTTTTGAAAGATCTACTAGTTTAACATAGAAGGGGACAACATCAATGATAACTAGGTGGTACCCCGCGTGTTGCTGCGGGATACATGAATAAAGTAAAAAATAGGCACGCCTGGCAGGATCTGTAACAAAAAAGGATTCAGTAATCATCATAAGAATATTTTAATAATAATAAAGTAGCTATGGGTGATTGCTTCTTGGTGAACGAATTATGTTGGATGCAGCTGAGTAGACCCACATTGTCTATGAATTACAATCGATCATCATGTCAATGAACTTGGATGAAACAATTCAAATAGAAGAAAAATCTATAGTTTGCAAGGTAACACACTTGCAAATTGCAGAAAATCCCAAGTTAAGTAAGACAACAACGAATCCAGATACTCTGCAGGGCCCACATGTCAGTGAGCAGTACTGCAGATTACCCTCGGGTCCACATGTCAGTGAGCAGTACTACAGGTGCAGTACTGCAGAGGACCCTTACTCAACAACAACAGTGTTAAAATATAATGAAAAATCAACCTACGTTGACATAACTTTTGAGTTGTCACAGTATTTACATGACCTCGCCAACATGAATGGCAAGTATTCCAAAAGATTGCACAACAACCGTGATGTACGGTGTTGCTAGCTGGACTTAGGTGCATATAGTGGCGATTGAGTACATAGTATCCATGTAGCAAGTAGCAACAAAATGAAAAAGGAACTAATGCAAAGAACAGGAAGTGATACTGCATATCTGGGTGAAATAAGAAAGAACATGGGCCACTTTTTATTCGTAAAAGTGTCATCAAGTATTGATACAGACCCAAGGATCGATCTAGACCGGCGTACGCGAGAGACATCAACCACCTCTCTCGTTAGCTAACAATTATGTACATTGTAACTGGGCCAACTTGGCTGCTCGCACAGGCCACGTGCGATGAAGGGCCTCCTCGCCTAATGGGCCCGACACCGAGCCTTGTGTATTATCGAGCCAACGCAGCTGTTGTGGGTCGCCGCGGCCTTATTCATTTTCCCTATATTTTTCACCCAAAAATATCATTTAATGTTTACAAAACTAATTTGTAATCACTTTGAGCCATCATTTTAAGATATAAAATTGCTGAAAAATTTGTGTGTGCATTTTAATTTATTTCTAACTAAATGGAACCAAGGAAAGAACCTAGAAAAATAATTAAGGCTTCCAGTAAAAGTTTTTATCCATCATTCATCACACGCGGAATCAACTTCGGTAATTAGTTTCTTTTGGCAATATTTAGTTTTCTATTTATAATCACATCCATTTCCTAATCTACAAGGTATAAAATTCAGAGATATTTGTGATGTATATACAAATTTGAGTTGCACATGTGTTATAAGTACACAAGCAATCTTAACCATCCAACCATATTTGTTTGATATTCAGTTCCAACAGACATATTTGCTAGTATACACACATGTATGCGTGTGTGAGAAAAAAACATTTAATATCTGTGTGTTTTTAGCGGTTTAAAAGCCAATGCTTTAAAATAAACTACAGCAACCCCCTCCCACCTAAAATCGAACTCAGACAAATAAGTTTTAAAAATTATATTTTCTCTTTCAGCTAAATGATGATCCTCCAATCCATCCTTTCATTAATATTTAACTTACACCACGCTAAGACAAAAGGATATTAGGTGCAAGGACTGTGATAGCCTAGCCAGCAAAAAGTCATCACAAACCACACGATAATAAGAGTATCATATAACAGGAGTACATGTGCAGATTCCAGCCGAAGACAGGACAGCAATAGTTTACAATAGTTTAGTGTGCTTACATAACGCACAGAAGCATTTCCACCAAAGATTTTTTTTATTTTTTTTGAACTTTTTTATTTTTTAATTTTAAAAATAACCCCTTTCTAAAACTTATTTCTCGAATCTAAACCTTTTGGCCAAAACAATACTGAGTTTTATCCTGGCGTGGCCAAATAACGCTGTCACGCCAGCTAGACCGGCTTGACCAAATAACGCTATCACGCCGGTCTGGCTAGCGTGATAATGTTGTTTTGTCAACCCAGTCCGGCTAGCTGGGCCAAAAGGTTCATATCTTGAAATTAAGTTTTGAAAGGATTTATTTTTAAAATTAAAAATTGAAAACGTTTAAAAAAAACCGTCTTCCACCAAACTCGGCATGCTTACACACTCCCATCTATTTTAATTTTAGCAATCAATGACCCAACTGCACCGGATGCAACAAATATGGCAGCAACATTACAGCCCCACATTAGCTTATCTCGAAATTCCCCTTTGGGCATCCCACAAGAAGTCAACAGCCTGTGTATATGCATGCCAGTACATATATGAAGGTGAATCTAGGGTGGAAAACAATAATAAGCCTTAAACTCAAAAGCTAACATACCGGTTGATACAATCTCTATCTTCAGTCTTCGCTCTCTCCACCTTCTCCACATCCTCAACAATTTCCCTTTGCACCATCTCCTCAAATTCATCAAATCGTTCGATCCTTTTGACCTGATTATCATTCAGTAGCTTGAACATCAAATTACAACAAGATTGATCAAGAAGTTGTGAATTCCTAGTGTTAGAGAGAAGCATTCATAGACTCAACATCAACAGCTGTTTCCAGCATGTCTTCCTAGTATATTAGGGAATAAAAAATATCTTCCTAGTATATTAGGGAATAAAAAGAACCAGCAGCATACTGCAGGGCTTAGAAGTTAGAAGCAGAGTTAGGGCTAGTGCTGCATAGCGCTTTGCAATCTAGTGAGTTATAAGAGTAGCCTTTACCAATGCAAGATATATTTTTCTGTTAGTAACTCTTCAAAATGATTGCATTCTCTGCACATGCTTTTATTACAAAGAAAAGAGCAGATTGATCTAACGTGAATCACACCCACATTTCTTTTAACTGTGTAGTTGTTTTTTTAGGTGTACGTATTTGAGACTGATGCATGTATGGGTATTATGTTTGCATTCTTAACATGTACTTCATAAACGTAGTTTCCTAACTTCGATTTGTGTTGGCAACTCGGCATGAACAAGTAAGCAAAAATCACATCATTCCTATAACATATCCTCCCTAAACTTTGAATAGAAGTCCATTTAGCACTTCAAACTTTAAAACAGGTCTCTACACCCTCGAATTTGCAATACCTTCGATATAACCCCCTAAAGTGAACTTTGTGGTTTTACTTATGTGGGATATACATTTGAACAGACACTAAAATCTACCGGAACAATGCCACCATGTCAACACAGTGTCGTCCTCCTTTGCCAAAATAAGGAGTGAGAATTAATGAGGCACCAAAGTGTCGTCTTAATTTGCCAATACCGCTCAAAGCTTCCCCATAGGCAAAACCACCATGAAAAAAAGAACCCATTTTAAGGGGTTATATAGATGGACTTGTATGTGGCCATCTTTTTCCTTTTTCTCTTGTATGTGGCCATCCGATGCTAAGGTTTGCCTAAAAAACACATCGATTTCCCATCAATTGCTTCCTTGTCGCTGCTAATTGTAACTCCGTCTTGTCTGATCCCACTGCAATGCATGCTTCTGGAGGCAAGGAAGTACGATCCTAACAAGATAATGCAAGTGTGGGCAAAGATGCTGAGATGGAAAGGAAAGAGTTTGGAGCTAACATGATCTGGGAGGTGTTAGAGATTTAGAGACCATTTTAGATGATAGGTTACAACTTACAACGTCTAATTAATTTTTGGTTTGTTCTTGATTCACTATTGGGTTGTTGTGGTCAGAAGTTTAAGTTCGATGAACTCAAAGACATGATCGAGTACTACCCTCAGAGCTACCATGCTACTGATCGTGAAGGCTGACCGGTGTACATCGAGAAGCCTGGCAAGGTTGATTGAAACAAGCTGATGCAGATCACCTCAGCGGATGTCCATGTTGTGGTATATATACCAATGACAGGGCTCCAAAATTCTGAATATTTGTGTATTGTCTGTACTATTGAATTTGTCATTCCATCAGTTTATTTCTACTGTTGTTGCGTTGTTTGTTGTTGCAGGGGCTAAAGAATTTCTCAAACACCGCAAAGGAGCTTGTTCACCATATGCAGAAAATAGACAATGGCTAGGTAATTTTATATTTCAACGGATGTGCTGTGTATGGTGTTTTTTTTTTTGAGAAATGCCAAGTTGGAAAGGAATGACATGAGCAACTACATTTGCCAATTGCAGAAAATATTGGTTTTGAGCTATTGCTGTATCAAGCAGACATACTGAAAGGCATATGACTTTAGTAAGGGTTGATATTGATCTGTTCTTTACATTGGCAAGAAATTGACCAGGATATTTGCAGGATGTTGATGAAGGAAGATAATTGCAATAGTTTTTTTGCAAAAGTAAAGTTGGATCAGATTATTGTGATGGTCTTCAGTGTGTTGGCTTCAGTTCTTCAGTTCCCTTGCCTGCTAATGAGTTCTCTCTTTTTTTTTTGAAACCTACTAATGAGTTCTATAAATGAATTTTTAGGAGGAATAGAATATTTGATCCTTGATATGCTAATGAGTTCGGGCATTTTTCAGTATCGAAGGGTACTGTAGGATATACTATATAAATGATTATTTTAAGAGGCAATTGCTATCGCTTGACTTCAGTTCTTCGCTATTTATAAAACACATTCTATAGTGTCCTTGTTAGGGACAACCGGGAGCAGTTTTTTTTTTCAAATGAACCTGGAGCTATGGTTGATGAATCATGAATAATAACTCGTGTTTAATATTAATCCTTCTATTTTGTGCTTGTTTGAAAAAGCATATATTGTATTCTTTTGGTTGTTTAATTTGTATTACTGAATGCTATCGTAGCGTTAGCAGTAGCACAGGCAAATTACTAGTGTTGAATAATTTAGGCAATGAGCAAGGCAAGGCAGAGGCACAGGAAGAGATTGGTTTAGATTGGCGCGCGTCTTTAACAGCTAGCACATCCTCACTCAACAATCAAAAGTGACAGGTAAATTGGTCGGCTTAGTTGTAGTTGTAGTATATATACTCCGTTGTCAAACTAACTAGTACGAGTACTAGGTATATATTACAAAAAGAAGAGAGAAAAAAAGGGAGGGGGCTAGTAGTGGAGAGGAAAGGGGAATAATTTGATACTCTTGGAAGCGCCGGTCACCAGAAACATAAACAGAAAAGGGAGGAGGATGATGGTAACAGATACCTTTCCCGAGGAGGAGGAAGACAAGCTGCTGCAGAAGGATCGGGAGCGGTGGCGGAGAAGCCTCTGGGACACGGCGCGGCTGAGCATCCACGCCGCCGACATCGCTAGGGTTCGGTGGTTTCCTCTCTTTCGATTCGAGTTGGAGGTTTTTTTTTTTTTTTTTTGGATATAGGATATTATGTGCATTATGCAGTAGGCTACCAAAGATGATGGGCCGGGCCTACCCAGGCAGAGTTAAAGCCCAAAACCGAGTCCTCTCCCCCTCTCTTTTCTTTCTAGTCTACTACGAGTAGATCTCTCTCTCTCCGTGTCTGTGAGGTGCAAAGCGTGGAACCCTAGATCTGATGGCGTTGCGATCGGTGTTGGCCGGAAGGTTGATGGTGGCGGCTAACCGCGCCTTCCGCGGCAGGCCCGTCTCCACCACCACCAAGGAACGGCTGGAGGTAAGTAATTGATTAGCTTGTTCATGTTGTTGCTTCTAATTTAATTGGGTATCACCTTTTGATATCGATCGATTAATTTGTTGTCTCTCTCTCTCTCCCTTGCCCTCGAGGAATTTGATCGATCGATTTTTTTTTTGGTGAATTAAGTTGAAGATGAGCAGCTATCCCTGGACGCAAAACGCGATGGACAACAGGCTGCGGGAGGGCTGTGCCATGGCTGTCGATAACCACAATCGGAGGATCATGAGGCTTGCTAACCCTTACAGTGGGTATGTTTGTACCTTATTATATATTCTCTCTCTTCTTAACCTTTAATTAATTCGAGACTACTCAATATTATAATGTTCGCTCGCTGCTAATTAATCTCCTATTATCCCCAACTCAACAGCACAATCGATCGATCTACGCGTTGCATGAACTAATCTATCTCCATTCACATACATTGATCGCAGGCCAGCTGATGGAGACATCCTGTATAACTGGGCTTGGAGTAACAATATTTCTTTCCTTATCATTCTCTGCTCGTGCTTTGGATTGTGTCATGCTGTGCTCCATCTGCCGCATCACGCGTCCAACAATGTGTCCACAGCATAACTAGCTAGGAGGTTTTATTATGCTATAACTACACAAATGTAATGTCCTGCTGACCGAAACTAGTTAAAGCCACCATTGAGGTTCTGTTGGATATCATACTCTCTATCTCTTAATGTACTCTACTCCTATACCTACTATACCGCCTTAATTTGTATGCTATCGTGATAACTTGATAGTTGCTTTCTATGTTAGCTTTATATATGTTTCTGGATTTTCTGTTGTGTCTGCCCCAAAATACAACTTGCTCAGTTGATATTTCTCATGCTATCTTTTGATGATATGTTCACTACGTCGGTTAACATGGCAGCAATATTTTACTTATTATGCAATGAACATAATGGATCTCTTATTGCAAAATCAATGTCTTACTTCATGGATATGAGAGAATAGGTGAACAGTCGGAAGGATCAATAAATCTCTCTTTTTTTCATATACATTCATGGTTTAGGCACATCTTTCTTGTGTTATTACTTATTAGACTGGAATATCATCAAGCTAGAATGTGGCCACCTACTACTAGTATCTTACAGCATATTATAGATTCATAGTACCCTACTATGATATTGAGCTTGGATTTGGCACACTTCGTGCCTGCATGACTATTTAACATGAACAATAGTAGAATGTGTGGCTTCGAAATTAAAGCTACCTCCTTAGGTCCCTCTTACCTGATAGGGCAAATGTTTCCAGTAATTTTGACTCTCTTGCCCTGCTGCTGAAGATGAACACAACATGTTTGTTGTTATTTTGGTTAAGTAGTAGTGCATGTGCAAGGCATGTTTTTACAATATATATTTACATAAGTAAAATCACAGGGAAAAGCAGTCCTTGCAAGGGCATGTTCATACACTGAATTGAGAAACATGGCAAGGGTATGTCTACACACTGAAGTCAGATACATTCCCTGTTTAAGTTCAGACAATAATCTGGATTTTATAAGTGCCTAGCAATCCAAATCGATTGTTAAGTATGAGTTCGTATAATACAAATGCAGTATGAACTTCTAGAGATCAAATGACCTTGAATGTTAATAGGAGTATATTGTTTACACATATTGCAAGGGCCAAGATTAGACACTAAACCCGAACAAAGCTTACATCCGTTGGTGAAATCGTAAACTTTCGGTACTTGATCTACTGGAATTCAAAACATAACATTAATTAGCTCGGCAAATTAAAACATTGAACAACATTTAGATGCTTTTCCAAGCTCAGATTCTAAATCAGATACTCCTACATCATGAGGATAAGCCTGAAACTAATACGCCAAATGCTCAGAAAATAATATAAGAAATGTTCCTACATCATAGGGATGGCAACGGGCTGGGTCAGACACCGACAGAGCGAATCCATGCCCAGCCTGAGACCCACGTGCCTGCATCCGATCCACATCCGCGAGGTCTATCGGGCAAAAATCCATGCCCATGCCCGTGCCCATCGGGTACCCGTGCGCCGTCGCCACCTACGCCCAGCCCGCTGTGCGCCGCCGCTGCCTGCGCCCCGCATGTCGTGCGCGTGCACCCAGCCCGGCGCCGCTTGTGCCCACCGTCGCAGCCCGCGCTAGCACCGCCAAGTGGAGTGGACGTGGGGATAGGATTTGGGGATATTAGGTTTAGGGTTTTATGTGGATATATATTGCTGCTGCTATTGGGCCAAATGAAGGGAGGTTACTTGAACTATTGAAGTTACATGGGTCAAACATTTTCGGGTTGGGCATGGGTTACCCACGAGCGAAATATAAAACCCGCGTGTGACCGTTAAGTTCGCGGGTATCGGGTCGGGCATTCCCACGGGCAAAAAAAAAGATGCCTATGCCTGTACCGATCGGGTCGGGTATCTGCGGATACCCGAACCCATGGGAAATACTGGCATCCAGTGAAGAGAGGGTTAATCCGGTGCAACGCGAGAAAGATATGATATGATCAGGCGAGGCTAGCACGGTGCGGTGCCAGGCAGCGGCATGGGCTGCGCAGGCACGGAGGGCGCTGTGGAGGGTGGCCCAAGCAGATGTTGCATGGCACGGCTAGGGAGGCATGGCGGCCGGGGTCCTACGCGGCAAGCCGAAGGGTGGCGTGGCAGCCGGGCGGGTGCGGCACGACGGGCGGCGACCGATGTCATCATCGGTGCCCTCTTTTTTTCATTTTTCTTTCTTGTTCTTCTCTTCTTAGAGGCAGCGCTCGCAGCTGCTTGGGCGTGCGGCGAGGCGGCGAGCGGCACAATGTGCAGCGCCGCGGGCGGCTGCTGCAGTGCTACTTTTTTTCTGCTTCATTTCTTATTCGTTTTGTACTTCTTTTCTTCTTTCTCTCTCCTGTCTTGCTGGTGCTGCCATGACGGCCGACGTGGGCTCGCCGTTGGGCGCGGTGGCGGTGCTTAGCACGCCATCCTAGTGTGGCCTCGGGCACGGCTGTGGCGCGGGTTGCTGCCGGGTGCACGACGGCGCGGGCCGCGGCCAGTGTGTTTTGTCGGCAGGCTTGCGGCCATGATGTCGCATGCGTGAGCTCGCAGCCATGGCAGGGCTCGGGTTCGCCACCATGGTGCGTCGTCGGCACGCTAATACCGTGTTTGCCGACCGCGGTTTCTACCAATCGGCATACGCCGCTGACTCCAAGTCAGCTGTAGTAGATTTCGTCAGGAATGGCAGAAGTGGAACGAGAATGACGAGAGGAATTCATTTTCGTGATTAAATCTGCGAGTTCTTACCCATCTTTTTTCTAGGTCTCCGGTAAAACGTCGTGCTGCCCCTGTGCTACGTGCGTATTCCAAAGGGGTTACATAATGTCAACCAAAAATGGTGACGCAAGATGTAAGGGTAGGACATTCTCTCATTCATTTATCCATTGCTCAAGCGAACAATATCTTCTCCTCCCCTCTATTTATAGAGATAGCCATAGGTAATTTCCATATTTAGTGATGGGTCTAATTAGTGAGTAACTAGGCCAGGCCTTCGTGGACCACCGGTTTCCTAATGGTTCCTTAGTGCGGTACAATCTTCCCAAAATCGCATCAATAGTGTGAAACTTATAGTAGTATAGTGTTGATGCGAAAAACACACACTGGCCTGAGAGATTTGCTTCAATCTAGTGCAGGTCCAAAGATTTGCTTTCGGGTTCTGAGCGTGCCAGTTGGTTTGATCCTGCAACCAACAAGAAATAAGAGGAAACAAGGTTAAATCCCTAAACGATAGCCGATCAGCTAGGCTGCCGATAACGTATCGTCCAGTGTCATGCCGATGTAGTATGGGTCAGATCAGCAATAAAAACATGTAAGATAAGAATAGATAGATCTACTCAATCATCTGCAGATATCAATGATATATAATCTATGCCTCGAAATATGCTTGAACTAATTGATTGGCATAGATCATATAGTATGCCGAGACAGTATAAATCACTTATGTCTAGACAGTATAAATCACTTATGTCTAAAGGTACTTCAAAGCAAAGATTATATATATTCATAGGATAGCCGATGAAGCAAACCTAATGTGTATCGGCTAGTACTCCGATACCACTCTACACTAAGATGTCAACGTAGATGAACATACTGATCATGAATCAATCTAATATTAGGAAAAACTTAACAGATTGACAGCAAGCTTAATATATTTTAATCAATTGAGATCTTAATATAAAGGGCAGATTTAGCATATCAAGTAAACATATAAGAAACAAAGTAGCTAAATCAGGTAAGATCGGCTGAAACCCTAATGCTATCTCTATTAGCAATTATAAGACAAATTAAATGTTATGGTTCTAAACATTACTTAATAGATCAAACTTAACTGATGCAGCATTAAGCATAAGGAGAAACATAAGATCTACACGAGCTGATAAAAGCCTTTCTGAGATGGTGGATACACTGTATAATCTAATTCAATGTCGGTATCTAACCCTATCGGCTGTTTTTGATGATGGAGGTTAGCCGATGGGGTTAGATAATGATATTGATCTAGATTATACCTCATATATGATAACTCGGCGATTTAGATGAGCGAGATTAGAGTGTCATGAAGATGTAAGCACTAATCTCGAGAACGCAAGCCGCCATAACAAGCTTTACCTTTTCGTCGGAGATCGAACCCTATGCAGCCCAACTTGAAAGCAAGAACTCGCCGAAACAATGAAAGTAGAAAAAAGGTGGCGATGTGCCGAAAGTATTATTGAACTGTCCTTTTTTTTACATCGTCTCGGATCATATTTATACCCAAAATACATAAAATGTCTTTGTCGGACACGACTCTACCTCTATTACAACTTAAAAATATGAACAAATCCTTTAGGTGGACTCTTACCGAATATATCTATAAAGAAACTACTAAAAACATCCTAATTAATAGATACAGTTGCCTTCTTTGGACTCTTTCCATACATGGCATTAATTCTTGTGCGGCGTCTCAATCGATCCCAACAATGATTCTAGAACCACCTTCCTAGAATTGTCTAGTTTAGTATCAACTGATGCTGCAGACGATAGCCAAGATGCTTCCCGTAGCCGGCCGATACGGTTTCTGCTTCTATGGACACAGACCTTCTCGTTTCTGACCTTGGATCCAATCTATGATTTATCAATTTTGGTCGTTAAATCAAAACCTTGTGCTACGGTAGGCTCGAAAGAAGGCTGGTCCGGTTTGTATCCAAAGATAAAGTGAATAGGACTTTTAGTTTCCTCTTCTTCTTGAGTTGTAAGACGTCGAGAAAAGAAAAGAAAAATGATTTTTCGAGCAAAAAAAAAAAGGCTATCAGAATTTTTAGTTGCTGGGCCGAGTTCTGTTGAGGGTCCAAGAAGAATAGGCCTGTAGAGTAAAAATAAGACGATGGCGGGAGAGTGATCGAATGAGATGAGGGTTTCCAATATTAATTAGGGATAGTGCTCTCATCGGGCAATTCCGCACCCTAACCCTAGTCGCCGGAAGATGCTGCGACGACCAGCCGCCACGGCGGCGGGCAGGGCCATCCGGCGAGCCGCGTACCACTCCGACGGCGGCCCTCCTCCCCGCAAGCTCCGGGGCCCCCGATTCAGCCCTCTCAACAGGCACAACCACGAGGTACCATACCTGGCCCTCACATTGTTCCTGCACCCCTAATTAAGTTCATTCCTTGGTTTCGATCTAGAGTTTACCACCCCAAATATATAGGGTTCATGTCTTGTTCAAAGTTAATTATATATTATTATAGTCCCAAATCCTCCTGTGTCATCTGTTTATCATTGCACTTGTTTCCTCCTAGCTTGAAAAAATTTACCTTTTTCATGTGCTCCCAACCTTACCCCGCGCACACACACAAAAACAACAACTATGGATTCAAGTATTTAGTTACTGCCTCAAAATTCATGTGCAACTTTCCAAAGTATTTGGTTCGCCTTTTGGGATTGCTCTATACGGTTGTTAATTTATGTGGCAATCAAAAGCACACTCCTCTTGGGTAAGAGATGGCACGGTCAAATTTCATTATTGCATTATGCCATAGATTGTCCATGCTTATTTATGATGAATGAATTTGTACAATTGAGTTATATAATTTCATAAGGTTTTAGGCGTTGTGATGTTTTTAAGGTGTGTTAAGCATCTGTCACTTTGCACTAGATTAATTCTGACTCTTGCTGTTACCACAGATTAAAAGCTTGTCTTTTGTTCAAGCCTCCATCTCTAATTTATTTATCTCTATAACTTAAATACCTTATCTTAGAGGTTGAATTAAGAACGCTCTCACAAGAAAAGGAAAAGCTTTCTTGTGCACAGTGCAATGTGCCAAATGATGCATTTAAAGCCTTCATCTTTTGTTCCTCCTTCCTATGTTGTTCAAAGTTAGTTTGGTGAAACCCTCGTGGCTCGGAAAACAATCACTGTACTTGTTCACAGTTACACCTGTTTTCCCTGCAAACTGGGGGGGGGGGGGGGGGATCACCTTTTCCTTTTTTTTTTACAAAATTTTACCTGTCCTCCCATATTGTCAGGGCTTAACCACTACAAATTCCCAAATATTTGGTTCAAGTGCCAACATCAAACTTCACTCAATTTTAAATTCAGTATTTCTGATGATGCTGCAATGTTATAACTAATATGCCAATTGAAGCTCACCCCCCTTGATGAAAATAAGGCACTGTCAAGAAAGAACGGAGCTGCAAGTTTTCCTTCTATTATGGCCCTCTGAATGCATGTTCCCTAGATTATATATCATTGTGTACACTTATTTATGATAAATGAGTTTGTGGGGTCGTGTTCCCTAAGATTTTGGTTGTGCTCACTGTGAAGTTGTAAGAAATCCAGTAGTTGTTGTGTGCTTAATTATGTAGTAGCATCTGAACATCTTACTCTAAAATTTTCAATTCTAAGTTGTTCTTTTACAGTTTATACACATATGATTAGCTTTTTTTTTTTGCGCAAGCATTCATATACAATGTTTTTCCTTATCATAGTGGTTGAATCAAGAAACTTTCACATCTTAAAGAAAGGTTTTGTCGGGCACAGTGCACTTGTTTAAAAAGGATAGATGCTAATCCTTCATCTTTAGTCCTCGTTCGGAAGTGATGAAATGTGGATGAAATCAAATGGATGGTCTGCTTGATTAACACAAAAAATTAATATTTTGAGAAATGAACTTAACAAATACTCCCTCCATCCCAAAATATAAGGCACAACCACTTTTCTCTTATGTCTCATAATATAAGGCGTGCATGCATGCTTACATTAACTACCATCTTTTGGATCTATAAAATTGATTTGTTTTAAATCTTATATCATTAAATCTCCCAATTACATTGCTTGCATGTATCAATGTGATATAACCATGAAGTTGATTAAATGTTTTCTTAGTTTTTGTGCTATGAGTGGTTATGTCTTATATTTTGGGATGGAGAGAGTAGCTAGAAACAAGTGTTCTAAGCAATACAGTAGAATAAAGTTATTTTAAGGAATCGTATTTTCAGAAGTGTGGAGCAAATAAATTGATCCAGGGTAGATTATAGTTGATCATCACTTCAAAAAGGGGCCTTAATTAGTTTTATGGATGACTTAATTATGACTCTGTGGGTACACTGATATTGTGCCAAATTTTATGGAGAACTGCAGTTAAATATAATTCTTTTGTGTAAATCTGATAGCAGATGTGGATGTCTAATATTACGCACGTTGATATATGTGCAGGTTGATGCGTTGCTCGAGGAAGTCAAGAATACGCCGGTTAGCATGATTTCCGATTACTTAATTATCAGAACTGTGCGGCAGTACGTAAACCTCTGAATTCCAGCTTATGTTATTTTTTGTTCTGTGTCTTGTTAACCATCCTAAATTCCTTGTCTGCTTCTCTAGTTCTATTTTGGCTCGTCAGCAGATTCTGGTTCAAAATGTTCTCCGGTCATGGGTGATTGCTGCAGCGGTTATCTCAGGCTATTGCTGGGGGTACAACAGAGTGATCACCAAACGTCCTGTGGCTGGCTCTGAACCACCAACAGAAGGTGAGGTGGAGTAGAGGACTGGATAGTGTTTTCTTTTGGAGATGGGAGTCTGGAAGTCTGGGAGAATCAAGAATGCAGTGAAGATATGTGGCATAATCTATCCTGTGCATAATAACTATAACTAATTTAGTCCTAGATCTAATTGGTGTGGGAATTCTATAATAGTACTATTATATACATAGATCTCACTCGGTTTGACCGGCCTGTACATGTGTTCATGTGGTTGGGGATTCTCTGTTGCTGAAACTGATATATATGTGCACTGGGAGATCTCTCTTTGGGTTGATCTGTGCTTCAATATATTCACAAGGTTCTTCCATTCACCGCTCCACTGCCACCACACATGATAACAACGACGTCACCCGCTTCAAGTTTGCCTCGCTAGCTCTACCGCAAGGCTGAACATGTGCGAGTCCCAGCTCGATCCACCATGTACTCACGCTCACAGTGTAGAAGTGGCTCCCCACGAACCAGGGCCCCATCATTCTGCTCCAAATTTTAAATTTTAAGTTTATTTCATAATATATACTTTTAAATAGCTAAGAATGTATATATATACAAGTTTAATTTACTCACAAATTATTTTGTCATTGATAATAAACGGCTCGGATAAATATAAGCGAAAAGATAGGGCACTAGCTGCGCCTGAAACCGCAAATAGTACGTACACAAGTAGTAGCATATGTTTAGGTTCATAATTACTAGAATTGGATTTTATTTATTTATTTACTACCTGAGTGGCCGTGAGTTTCAACGGGATAAAAATATATTGAAGCTAATAATATTTAACAATTTGCTAAACTAAATTCGAATTAAAATCAGGGAGAATCTAACTCCCCATCTGATTTGCTCTCGATTTGTGCTTCAGTGAGTTTCTCCTCGATCTAAAATTTGCTCCTCCTATGTGCTCCAGCGAGTTTTTTCTCCAACTTGGGTGACCTTGATGAAGACTCAGTAATTACCTTCACCGGTTAGGGCTATGACTTCCGATCGAGTTGAGGTCGAGGTCACTTGTGGCAATTTTGCAACAAGGATAACAATATTTTATAGTGGAAGTAAATCAAATGTGTTATGCTTTTCTAAAAACGACCCCTTGTATATATAATTATCCTCGTATATAGAGAGAGAGAACAAGACAGAGAAGAGAGGAGAATAAAAGAGAAAAGAAAAAAGAGCAAACCCTAGGGAGCGGGGATGGCGGTGGCGGCGCGGAGGGCACTCTGGTACAGCGGCGTGTCACCGAAAGCGCGGCACATGAACAGCGGGCGAGGGCGAGGCCTCGACATCTCTGAGCCTAATGGACCTCTCGATAGCTACATCCGGAAGTTGATGGTGCGTGCGTACTCCGCAAATTAAACCCGCTTCGATCTTAATTTGCTACACTACAATTTTGGCCTGAATATCTGCTATATGGAAATCCTTTTTGCTGTGCTGTACAAAAGTATAACTGCCAACCTGCTTGTCAACTCCCAGATGATCTAATAAATCTCTGGATCGTCAGGGTGCCGTGCTACTCTTTTTTATTTTTTATTTTTTGAGGGGAGGTACCCTTGATTTTTTTTTCCGGGATTTGGTCGTCGACCTAATTTCATTATGAAGGGAAGTTCAGTTACTACAAATTACAACACTGTGCTTAATTACAAGCCTCAGTCCCAGCAAGCAAAGAACATATATAACAGCCCGAAGGCTTAGACGCTAATGGATGCTACTATATATTACACGCCGTGAAAACTCCTGCGGCCTTCCACACCATGCATGATTTCCTCTTTGATCTCTTCCACCAGCTGCATGCTCAGTGTTGCGCTCCTTCCACAGAAATTAAGCTACTCTTGATCTAGCTGGTTTTCAGTTAAGCAAATAGCCTCCTGTCTAATCGTCCTGGAACTTGGTGTGTGAATCGCCTTAGCTTGTACTCACTCAAACCCCCTATTCTATGTGGGGCAGCTGCTGCTTAATTTTCTGTTCTTGATTATCTTGTGTGATGAGTTCAGGTAGGAATTCAGTCCAAACATTTATTTGAAATGCTAACCATCAAACTCACTGCAATCAATTGATTATTATCTTACTCTTTCTTGCTTTTTCTCGTATGAAGAGTCGATCAGATTCTTTTTTTTTTGTGAATAATTGGGCTCCATGTATTTTCCCTGAAGTGGGCCTCTGAGAAGGGGATAGTCAGTTTTTATAAAGTATTCCACAAGTGCACCGAGCCTGAATTCATGGAGAAATACATTGAGCTAAAACTGTGTTTTGTTCGGTGGAATGTGGAAATACCAGATGTTCCCGAACATACTAATGTCAGTATATCCTTGTTGTCTAGTGTTCTTTTTCCCTTAGTTATATCCACCCTATAACTAGGTCTGGATTGAAACTTAACCTGTTTTGGGAATTTTTTTTCTCTCTTGAATTCTTGGGATCTGGGTTTGAAATTTACACTGGTACGTCGTTTGCAGCAATTTATCCAAAGTTCCCAACAGAACAGTGACAGTCATAAATCTCTTTTTGAGTATGATAGCTTTCTGAATGTGTGAGGCAATACGAAATCTTAAGTGGAGCAGACTAGAAGAAGAGGAAAATTAAAGCTCCATATGCATTTGTTAACTGGAATGCACCAACACGCAATTTATATTACCCAGTGGATTTATTTCAGTAGGACACTGCTGGAGTTCTTTTTTTCTTGTACCATTTTTTAATTGGGATGGAAGTTTGGAGAAATTTTAACTTTGTTATGTTCTTGTTTTTCTTTTTGCACCACTTACCAGGATTCTTATTTCCCTGCCCGTACTAATGTCCTACTAGCGAAGTTTCTTGTGTTTTTAGGGCTGTGGATTTAAATGTGCAGATCAATGAAAATTGGGATATGGACTGAATTTTACCTGTCTTCCAAATTTAGTCTTGATTGCTTTGGTTGGGTATCACAACTATCATTAGTTTTGTGCAATACCAAGTATGGCCCCGTGTATTGGTATGGTTTGCTTTGTTGAGACTGAACATACAGGTGAGTTGTGAGTGTCGAAGAACTTAATCAAAAAATAAAAATGCACAGCTGACACGAACGCAATGGCCTTTTTGGCTATCTGACAAAATTTCGAATAGAAGAGGGACAGTCCTACACTTGTACAAAATTCGTTCTTATCCTCCCCTTACGACTATGATATTTATCTGAAGTAATACGGATAATATATATTAGTACATTACATCTTTGGCTTGTCTGAGGTTATCGCTCATCTAAGCCTTCACCATACAGCTTCTGGCATAGAAGGTTTGTATATTAATCATGTTGCTTTGCAGGATGCAGGAAACCTGGAGGAAATAAACAGAATAGGGAAGATTTTGTCAAAAAGGGATATGGTGAAACAAAGCTCCGAGAGGTAGAACTTGGGATGCAACATGCATGAATTTTTCCTCACTAATGTACCCTTGTCTCTGCACACATCATAATACTCCATCCGTTTCTAAATATTTGATACCATTGACTTTTTAGCACATGTTTGACCGTTCATCTTATTTAAAAACTTTTGTGAAATATGTAAAACTATATGTATACATAAAAGTATATTTAACAATAAATCAAATGATAGAAAAAGAATTAATAATTATTAAAATTTTTTGAATAAGACGAACGGCCAAACATGTTTAAAAAAAGTTAACGGCGTCAAATATTTAAATATTTAGAAACGGAGGGAGTATAACACTTTTCAATATACTGCAGCCTGATCTTTAAGCGCAAGAAGAAGATGGGCACACACAACATGCAAGATATGTGGAAGGTTGCTGGCATCACTAGTTCCGCGTTCTTGTTCGGGACAGCATTCATTTCCCTTTTTGCAGGGAGCCTGCATGGAGAGGAGGAAGAGGATGGAATTCTACAAGACAAGAAGAGGCTTGGACTTGAAGAGTAGTAAGAGGGTTTAAGTTTAACCTTAAGACCGAATATAATGGATTAGAAATAATGCTTCCATCCATCCATATGCTTAAATCATTGTTGACTTGAGACCTCCCCTTTTATATCATGTAACTGCAGTACTTAGGGGGTGTTTGGGTGAGCCAAACACCCCCTTAGCCATTCCAGCGAGTGCCGAGTGGTCGTGGAAAAAGGCGTGATTTTTATTCTGATACAAAAATCAAAGGCACGTTTTTTCAGGGATATTTTTTTGTTCACTGCCTTATCTAAAAATTCGTAAGCACTAAAAAGCAGGCAACTTTTGCGACTGACTCACCTTGAACATGGTTTCATACCAAATGGATTCACATAAGGGAAAGTGCATTCGTCCATCGAGCAGATATCTCCTTGTTTCATGTATATCATCTAAATAGTTATAAAAAATTTAAAATAAAATAACAGGATAGATTAATATGAAATATATCATACCACAAACATATAAACTAAAATTCAACTTTTATAAATTATAACAAAAATAATAAATATAAATATAAATGTAGAAAACTATATTTAGTTTAATTTATTGTTTTGGTTGCAACTTGTAAAGTGAAACTTCCCTTACATGATACGGTTTATTGGTAGCCAGAAATGTATGTCGCCAGGGATTTGACTTCAATCCATACAACTCAAGAATACTTTTGAGTTACCGACACCTGTCATTATTTTCTTTTGGCGGGAAATATAGGCCCTGTTTAGTTCGCGAGATGTAAATGAAGGGGTTTTCGGACACGAATGAAAAAACTAATTTCACAGCCCGTACAGGAACCGCGAGACGAATCTTTTGAGCCTAATTAATTCGTCATTAGCACATGTGGGTTACTGTAGCACTTATGGCTAATCATGGACTAATTATACTCAAAAGATTCGTCTCGCGATTTCCATTATAACTGTGTAATTAGTTTTTATTTTTATCTATATTTAATGCTTCATGCATATGTCCAAAACTTCGATGTGATGTTTTTGGAAAAAACATTTTGGGAACTAAACGCGGCTATAATTGATATCAATACAAAACACTGTCAAGAAGTACAATTGTTTTTTTTTTGCCCATTTTTATTTATTGTCGATTAAAGTTGAAAATTGATTTACATTAAAAATAACGGCAAAAAAAGTACTCCAAGCAAATTGTTGCATAAATATAAACAACTAATAATGCAAAACAGTTTAATAATTGAGTAAAGTGCATTGGCGGTCCTCAAACTTATAGGGTTGTGTCATATATGTTCCTAAACTCTCAAAATACATATCCAGGTCCCAGAACTTATCAAAGTGTATCATATAGGTCCCAAATCGACACATTCCCTTTAAGATCCTACGTGGCGCTGATGTGGCATGCCATATGGATGTGACATGTCATTTTCTTTTTTCTTCTTCTTTTCTTTTTATTTTTCTTTGTTTTCTTCTCATTCTTCTTTTTTTCCTTTCTTCTGTTTGGGTCACAGAGAAAGAAGAAGAAAGGGAAAAATAGAGAAGAAAAAAAAGAAAAAGGAAAAATTTTAAATAGGATCCATTTGTCAGTCAAAATGATGCCACATCATTCCGTGTGGCATGCCACATCAACGCCATGTAGGATTCTGAAGGGGTTGTGGTGATTTGGAATCTAGATGACACACTATGATAAGTTCTGGGACTTGAATATGCGTTTTGAGAGTTTAGAGACCTAAATAACACACCACTACAAGTTTAAGGACCGCCGGTACACTTTACTCTTAATAATTTATCTCTCCGCCGTACCGGGCAGGACGTACGCCGCCATGAACTCCTTCGCGGCGGAGGCGACGGCGGCAGGGTCGGGGGAGACGAGCGTCCGAGGGAGGGAAAGCGTGGCGGTGAAGGCGAGGCGGGAGAGGGTGATGCCGGCGCCACGGACGTAGCTCCGCCTGGCCTTTGAAGTGTTAGTTGGAGACAAGTGCCGCGAGGGCGCCCGAGGGCGGCGAGGTCGAGGCGGACGAAGTCGAGGAGGCCGAGGGCTCCGAGGGCGGCGTCGTGGGTGGCGGGCACGTCGACGAGGCAGAGGTGCGGGAGAGGCTTGCAGTGAACCATGCGGGCGGCGCGCTCCGGGATGCGGTCAAACACCTTGTGCGGCAGCGCGCGGTGAGCGTTGGAGGAGGCGAGGAGCTTGGCTTTGGCATTCACATCAGATTTGGCATCCGTTTAAGGAGGGGAAAGGCAAAAATATTTTGTCCCCCACATGTCACATCGGATATACGGGCACACATTTGAAATATTAAACATAGTCTAATAACAAAATAAATTACAGATTCCGTCTGTAAACTGCGAGACAAATTTATTAAGCCTAATTAATCTGTTGTTAGCAAATATTTACTGTAGCACCCACATTATTAAATCATGGCGCAAATAGACTTAAAAGATTCGTCTCGCAATTTCCTGGCGAACTGTGTAATTGGTTTTTTTATCTATATTTAATACTCCATACATGTGTCCAACATTCAATGTGACAGCGTGAAAAATTTTGCTTGGGTTGTCATGAATTCATCAAATTGCTATGCAAGAGGGAGTAGTTAAGCATGAAACTAAGCATTATATTTCTCCATCATGATGCCATTCACAAGTTATCAGAGGCACATAATAGATTTCGGCTCCGCCATGCATATGTTATTTTCATTTGTTTAGAGAAGGCCATGAGTTTAGGACGTTTTGGATCAATGAAGGTTTCCAGAATTACCGTCATAGAATACAATTTGCTCTTCTTATGAGATTCGTAGAAATCCACCCTGTTCCAACCACCAAACAAGCATTGTTCTGTACTGAGAAGAGCACAACACCCCATACATAAAATTCACTTTGAGAAATTAATCAATTTTTGACAAACATGAGTTCATCCTCCAGCAGTCCAGCACACGGCTCGTTGGACTTTTTCACTGAGAAATAAAAAGGAAATCCATTTTACTCCCCCCAAACTTTTCGTTGAAATGCTTGACCCCCTAAATAATTTTTCAGCTCATTTTACACTCTTAACTATTGAAAATAGTTCATCTTACTCCCTAACGATATTTGTCCTTTTCGTTTTTCTATATAGGTCATATTATGCAATGAAATTTGGTGGTATTGATATTCATTAGAACTTATCTCTCAACATCTTTTGGAATTGTTTTCGCTGTTTACATAGGTTGAAAGCAATAAAACTATTTTTTTTTTGCGGGGAGCAAGAAAACTAATTTAAACATAGAGGTTTTAAATATCAAGCAAATGGTCGTGAAAAAAAATTTAAAATTATTTTAGAATTTTAATATTGGTGTTATTTATGGCACTACAAAATCTAAAGCTGAAAATACGACTCATATAAATAGAAACAAGAAAATAACGAGTAAAATGAATCGTTTATAATAGTTTAGCAAGGTAAAATGAGAAAATAACTAGTTTACAAAGTTAAGTGATCCATCACAATAGTTCGAGGGAGTAAACTTGACTTTTCTTAAGATACTAGTGTATTAAGTTGCGTATTCGCGCAGCTATAAACTCCCTCTCTAGATTGCGGTAGTAATAATAAGCTTAAATTTGTAATGATGATTAATCATAACCTCTTTAAATGGATGCATAGCTGATAGTTATATCAGTATATCACACACATATACATATGCTCATCACTGTTAGATATACTTTGAATGATATAAAGCTTAGTCGGATCATATTAATCTTTATTAAAAGATGAGGTTTATTCGTAAACCATGTGAATTGTAAAATTATATGCACAATATTTGTTGGATCTTTCTAAATATAGGTTAATGATCTATTTGCAATTTTTTTCCTCGCAGGAAAGTTGCATAGTTTTTAAATTAAAAGTGTACATTGTAAAATTATATCCATAACCTTACTGTTTTTTCTTAGTAGGTTAAGAAAGCTTCTAGACAAAGTGAATCCAATGGCTCATATTTCTTCTTACTATTTTGTCTTCATGTGGATTCAATGGCTATTATTTTGTTAATTATGTAGATCATCCTAGTTAATTCTTGGGATTCATCATTCACTTATAGATACTACTATTTGAGGGTGTCCAATTGGACTTTATCCCCGTTCAAAGCCCTATTGCGTCCACAGATGGGCCTAATAGCCCACAAGTGTCCCTTTTTTTTTTCTTTTTATATTTTTTGCGCGCGACGAGGAGGATAAGGAGCTCGCGAAGCCGCGCGGGCCACTCCGCCGCCTCCCATGTCCACCGCCGCCGCCGCCGCCGCCGCCGCCGCCGTGCAGCCCGTGCTCCCCTCCTCCTCCGCCTCAACCGGAGGCCAGCAGCATGGTGTACTCACGGCTGACCGCGTGGCGGGGCTGCTCACCGGCTGCGCGACCCTCCGCCGAACCGGCGAGCTCCACGCCGCGGCGGTCCGCGCCGGCGTCGACGGCGACCGGGCGGTGGGCTTCCGCCTCCAGCGCGCCTACGCCGCATCCGACCGCCTCGACCTCACCGTCACGCTCCTCCGCCTCACGCCCGACCCCACCACCGTGTTCTACACCTCCGCCATCCACGCCCACTCCTCCCGCGGCCTCCACCTCGCCGCGCTCGCGCTGCTCTCCGAGATGCTGGGTAGGGGGCTCATCCCCACCTCGCACACCCTCTCCTCCTCCCTCCCCGCCTGCCACGGCCTCGCCCTTGGCCGCGCCCTTCACGCCTACGCCTTCAAGCTGGCGCTCGCCGGCGACTCCTACGTCGCCACCGCGCTGCTCGGCATGTACGCGCGCGGGGGCGACGCCGACGCCGCGCGCGCGCTGTTCGACGAAATGCCCGATCCGCACGTCGTGCCAGTCACGGCGATGCTCACCTGCTACGCCAAGATGGGGGCACTCGACGACGCGCGCGAGCTGTTCGACGGGATGCCCAGCAAGGACTTCATCTGCTGGAACGCCATGATCGATGGCTACACGCAGCACGGGAGGCCGAACGAGGCGCTCCGGTTGTTCCGGTGGATGCTGCGGTCAGGTGTCGATCCCGATGAGGTGGCCATCATTCTTGCGCTCTCTGCAGTCGCGCAGCTCGGCACAGCAGAGTCCGGGAGGTGGCTTCATTCCTATGTCAAGAACAGCCGGCGAGTTCAGCTCAATGCCAGGGTTGGCACGGCGCTCATTGACATGTACTGCAAGTGTGGCAGCCTGGAGGACGCCGTGTCAGTGTTCAACAGCATCGGCGACAAAGACATCGTCGTCTGGAACGCCATGATCAACGGCTACGCGATGCACGGAGATAGCAGGAAGGCACTGGAGATGTTTTCGCAGCTGCGGTCACAAGGCCTCTGGCCAACTGACATCACCTTCATCGGCTTGCTCAATGCCTGCAGCCATTCTGGGCTTGTCGACGAAGGCCACCAATTCTTCCAATCAATGGAGGAGGAGTACGCCATTGTCCCCAAGATCGAGCACTACGGTTGCATGGTCGATCTCCTCGGTCGTGCCGGGCTCATAGAAGAAGCATTCCACCTTGTCCAGAGCATGACGATCGCCCCTGACACCGTCATGTGGGTGTCACTGCTCGCCGCGTGCCGGCTTCACAAGAACATGGCGTTAGGCCAGCAGATCGCCGACTATCTCGTCGCCGGTGGACTTGCCAACTCCGGTATGTACATCCTCCTGTCGAACATCTACGCGGCTGTTGGTAACTGGGAAGAAGTTGCAAGAGTAAGGTCCATGATGAAGGCCAGTGGCATCCAGAAGGAGCCCGGGTGCAGCGCCATCGAGGTCGGCCGCAAGGTCTACGAGTTCGTCGCCGGCGACATGAGCCATCCTCGCACAGATGAGATATACGCCATGCTGGAGAAGATGAACGGGATTGTGAAAGAGCAGGGACATGTTCCACAGACCGAGCTGGTGCTACATGATCTGGATGAGGTGACCAAGGAGAAGGCATTGGCAGTTCACAGCGAGAAGCTCGCCGTTGCGTTTGGGCTCATAAGCACGGCGCCCGGGGAGACGATCAAGATCGTCAAGAACCTGAGGGCGTGCGCCGATTGCCATGCCGTGCTGAAGCTGATATCGAAGATCACTGGGAGGAAGATCGTGTTCAGGGACAGGAACAGGTTTCACCATTTCGTTGATGGGTCATGCACTTGTGGAGATTACTGGTGATGCCGCCATGGCGTCTCACAGCTCATAGGATTGATTTGGTTTTAGCATTGCTACTAGATTTTGGTAGAATAGAATGAAGTGTTGATGTTTGGCTTTGCTAAAAATCGAGTTAGTATAGGTTACATTTTACAGTCTGCTTCCGGCTTTCCTGATCATGTTTGCAGCCATGTTGGGAAATCGGAGGCAGGCATCTTATTATAGAAAACAAAATCAAGTTGTACCATTCAAAGTGTAATTCTAAGCATCATTCTACAATTTCATGCGCCAAGGAGCCAACAAACTAGCATCAAAACATCTACCAGTCCACAGCAGCTAGCACAACCTGTTCCATGGCAAGGATCAGTTGGCACATTCACACCTGACCTGAGGGTATTCATTCCATAATAATTAAAAGTTAGTAACAGGATACTCACAAAGAACCAAAGGAGTTTTATTCTAACACAAAACTCCACAATAAATTTGTTGGTTTGTCTGTAATTGTCCAATTCAATTACATACTCCATCCATCCCTTATATTTTAGGATGGAGAGTGCCAAGGCTTTTGCAGCTTCTAACATTATGTGGTCTGCCTTTCTCTTAATCTTTTTCACGCCATCGTGAGAATTTCATAGTACAGTTTTGTGTGTATTTGAGTTTACTTTTATTAGTACAGTTTTGTGTGTATTTGAGTTTACTTTTATTTTTTTGTATGATTATTTCTTAGTATATTTGATAGGTTGATGTTAGGAGAACTGTGCATAAATAAACCAAGCAATCTCCTCACCTGCAAAGCTCAAGATTAATATTTCTTGCACGCATAAGTTTATCTTGAGAGATTTGGCACAATAAGTGTCTCCATGTATGATAAGATTATAAACAGATCAAGAAACGAAGATACTTTATGATATGTTTCATAACTTAAATAGGACAGATGACAACTAAAAATTGACTTTTGGGTGCCAAACTAGTATAACATAAATAAAATCTAATTAACATAAAGTGCAGAAGATCTTAGTCTTCGCAGAGCATAAGATATAGTGGTTTGATGTCATGTCAATAACAGATAACTCGATAGAGTTGTTTAAACACTAACAGCATTCTAACCGCAAAACTTGATAAACACAAATTATTTTCATCCAATCTCTCAATATGTTGTATAAGTTTCTAAACATTGACATCGGCACCAAAGTGCAGAAGATCTTAGTCTTCAAAGCAGAGCATAGGATATAGTGGTTTGGTGTCATGTCAATAACAGATAACTCGACAGAGTTGTTTAAACACTAACGGCATTGTAACCGCAAAACTTGATAAACACAAATTATTTTCATCTAATCTCTCAATATGTTGTATAAGTTTCTAAACATTGACATTGGCATATGTTGTATAAGTTTCAAACATTGACATTGGCACCACTAGCAGGCTTCACATATTTTTGATTAACTCTCTCTATATATATACCCGTTGTTATGAATTCATCAAATTGATGTGCTAGAGGTTTTGGGAGTAGTTAAGCATGAAACAAGCATTTCTCCATCATGGTACCATCCACAATCACAAGTTATTAGGGGTATTAGGTTCTGGCTCCGGCATGCATATGTTGTTTTTGTTTGTTTGGAAAGGGCTAAGAGCCTAAGATGTTCCGGATCAATGAAAGCTTTCCAGATTACCACGAGATAATTCTATTTGTACTTAAGTACAAATCCACTCTATAGTGTTAATGTAGATGGTGACTCTATAGAGAAGGAAACAAGTCACCATCTACGGTCTGTCCTTTAGACAAACTTGCTTTACTGTACTCAGGGAGCCTGTTTCAGATTTTTCCTGACCGCATTTGCGGTAATATATGTGCATTGAAGGCATATATATATATATGTACTACTATAAGTAAGAAAATCAAGCTGTATCATTCAAAGAATAATTCTAAGTAAGCATCTTTATACAATTTCATGCACCAGGTGCCAAAAAACTAATATAAAAACATCTATGTGAAATAACTTGAAACAAAACACCAGTCGACAGTGGCACAACCTGTCCCATGGCAAGGATCAGTGGGCACATTCAACACCCGAATTGGTAACTAAATAGTTACAAGCTACTCATTCAAGAATAACTAAAAATAGTTACAATTTAATGGAGTTTTCATCGGCGAGCCCGGGAGGCTGCCCGGGCTAGCTGGGCGGTGGCTCCGCCCTTGCTTCTAATCAATGGATTATTGTGTGATGCTTGTGCTTCCGTCTAGTAAGCTGGTCTGCTGGCTCATATATCCCATCATCACATCATTATTGTCGTAATTTCACATGGCTTCTAGGGTGAGAGAAGCTAATTACATATCTTACACAAGGAAGTGTGCACCTTGGCCAACGGATCAAAAGTTATTGCTATCATCCTGAGATCAGTTGCCCATCGAAATAGTTACCTCGGAAAAACAACTTCAATTCATGTTTCACTCCTTCAATACCATGTACTTTCACTTCTTGAAAATCCAAGGAGATGTGCTTAGTTTTCCAGTCATCTGGCTGACCACAAATACTTTACCCATCAGTCACCTAGTAATAACCATGCATAATACTAAATAAGGAGGATGCAATTTTACCTTCCAAGGCTGTAAGTCCACTATCAGTACATCCGTAGCACATGAAATACACAAGCTCCATAAGCATGGGGTCCTGATGATAACCGCAGGAACAGTTTCTCCGCATGTGGAAGTATAGTTATGTAGTCCATCATGTATTGCTTGTCATCAAGGTTCTGTTGCAGCAAAGTTTCGATTAGTCAAAAAGAAAGGACCACATATACATCACATAGCCACGGAAAAACCACAGGCATCTTTTTGTTAAAAGAAAAACAAATGCAAGGGAACGAGAACAAGAACAAGTCAGCCTTGTCGTAATGCTAGAGGAAGTGTCGCAACATGTTCTAAAATATTAGCTATCATTATGCAAACGATGTCATTACCATCATATCACATATATATGTCCAGAACTAAGTCATAGTGTTACTTTCTAATTTTACTCTATAATCTAAACACCGAAAACCTATTAAACAATATTTTTTCTCTTTTAAAAAATTGAAGTATAGGTAATGAGGTTTAGTGATAAGGAAGCTTGTTAAGACTTTATTGAAGGGCAATTAGTTGGAATATACTCTATTCGTAAAAAAAAGAGTAATTGTAGCATTCAAAACATGGTAATTGTAGCATTCAAAACATTCAAAACATGAATTAGTTGGGAGGGAAAAAAACCTAAATGCCTCTCATTAAATCATTACTCAAATAAATCATTTTGAGTCTTAGATTTGAGCTGTGCATGTGAGGAAGTTGTCGGTTTGCTTATGCACAATTCTCTTAACATTGACCTATCAAACGTATAAATAAACTGTTATATGTTTATTCAAAGATTCATTGAGTTATACAAGAATATCAACAATAAGGAGTACGTAAGTTATTCTGATAGATTTGGCATCCAATCTCTCGATATGTTGTATAAGTTTCTAAACATTAACATTTGGCACACCACTAGCAATCTTCATCTATTTTAGATTGACTATATATATGCACACGACACACGAATTGTTATGAATTCATCATATTGATGTGTAAGAGATTTTGGAAGTAGTTATGTATGAAAAAAGTGTTTCTCCGTCATGATGCCATTCATAATCACAAGATATCATAGGTATACCAAAGGTACAGGCTCTGGCATGCATATGTTGTTTTCGTTTGTTTAGAAACTGGTAGAAGCCTAAGACATTTAGATCCTAAGACGCTCAGATCAATTGAAGCTTTCCAGATTACTGCGAGAGAATCCAATTTGTATTTCTTGTGAATCCAATTTGTATTTCTTGTGAGATTTGTACAAATCCACACTCTGTTCCAACCACCAAACAAGCATTATTATGTACAAGTACCACATACATAAAATTCACTTGAGAAATTCATTGAAATTTGGACGAATAATGGTCCTTCAGCTCATCAAAGTAAAAATAAATAAATAAATAATAGCAAAACAAATGTTACATCCTCCAATATTCGGCTTTCTACGCCGCTCCATCCATTATGGCCTATTCAAAACCCATTACATTGAGATATGAGCCGACTAACCTATACTGGGATTTTTCTTCTACGACAAGTTTACCATTCACAATTTGAGTAGAAACAGAAAATTGAGGTTTGTCTTTGCTTTAAAAAAGAGAGCAAATATAGAGATGGAAAAAAGTTCCCATTCCCAAACTTAAAGTCAGTCTTTGCTTCCGGTTTTCCTGACAGTTGCCTTGGAAACCTAAGTCAGTCTTTGCTTCCGGAAGTAACTGAGACTGAAGCGAGAAAAACTGAAGCAGAAGCTGCTTGGTGTGCCTCCAAAATGACCCCAACGTCACTACTGTATAACATCCCACGTTCAACTCCATTTTACCCTCGAATCTAAACACTAAAAAAGCTATTAACACCAAAAAATTGTCCATAAAAATTTTTGACCACCACACACATATTTTGAATCAATAACATAATAACTATGCAGAAGAACACAAATCATGGTAAACGATCATAGCAAGGTAAAATCAGAGTACCAAAGCTCTGTATACATAGTACTGCAACCAGGTAAAGGTGACACTAAAAGTGTACATAGTACTGCAACTAGGTAAAGGTGACACTAAAAGTACCAGCAACAACAACCGTTTTAAGTTTTAATTGCAGTTTTACCACCACAAGGTATCACACCACCAAAAAGTATCAGATACCAAAGATCAAGCAACATACTTACTAACCATAATAATGATCATCAGGTGTCTTGGTGAAATTGCTTTGCCGAAATTCATAGAACACCCCACTCGTATTCTGGTGTATTTCAAGGCAAGCCCCAGGGTGGCCTGCTACAATCTCGCGTAGCTTCTGGCATGATTCCTCACTTGCATCAGCCATACAATCTAAAGTTATCGTCATTTTTTTAAGCGCTGGTGACACCAGGAACAGTAGCGCCACAAAGTTAAAATCATGCTCTGTTCCTCTGAAGCTGCGAATTTCTGCTTCCTCGAGACCATGCACGATGGCTTCCCATTCATTCCAGTCTGGGTGCTCATCACACTCGCAATTCGAATGGCAAGGACTATTCGCCTGAAATCAGTAGACAATATACTCATGGCTGATTGATTGGTATATAAACAAAATGAGGTGTGACAGGAAATATCACTAAAAACAATGTAGTGTAACATTTAAGCCTAGAGTATTGTGCCCATAGTTGCAAGTTTGCGCATTTAATAATCTTTACAATGGAATATCTTAATGTTCATGCCTCATAGTATAAAAGTA